GTGATGAGCCTACAGTCCACAAACTTCTGTAGAACTTCCTTTTTCCCTGAAGCACGATTAATAAAAACACAGACACAGAAACTGGGGTTCAACCTAAAGATCCAAAAAGCAAAGCAGCCAGCCACTGGTTCTTACCTCGACCTCAGTCTGAAAATGGTGATCCTGCCTCCAAGAATCTCACAACGAGACTGACACTGTAATCTGTCTCCTCCTGTTTTATAACCTTCTCTACTTCTGGGATTAAGGGTGTGCACCACTACCACCTGTTTTCTATGACAAGTTAGTGTGGCTACTAGGATTAAAAGTGTGTATCATTGTGGCTACTGGGATTAAAGATGTGTGTCCTCACTGCCTGGTCTGCAAGGCTGGCCAGTGTGGCTGTTGTACTTTTCTGATCTTCAGGCAAGCTTTATTTATTAAAATACAAATGGAATGCCACTCCATTTCCCTCCAGCAATCTTGACCTCACGTCTTGCCATCTGCTCAGTGATCAGAGCAGAGGAGTGTCACTTTGCCCCAGACATTACCGAGGGATTGTGTCAGGAGGTGGCTGAGCAAGGATATCAGCAGTCTTCATTGAGATGCGTGCCAACTCTAGGGTGACATTTTCACTTTCTCTAAGTAGATTTGGTTCTCTGTGAAACAGCCAGTAGGAAGCAAGCCAAGGATTTGATCACATGGCACCACAGACGGCCTGTATGACTACAGAGCCCACACCGGGCTCCCTATGCAGTTTAGCCACGGGCTTTCCGAGTCCTTTGAGGAGCCCAGAATTTGGGTCTTGGTACTTTTTTCCAACTTCCAAGTCTGCCTTTTTGCAATCTGGGAATCCATAAGATTTCTTTGGGGAGTTTTCCCTGTACCACAGATACAACAGAGAAGAGATGCCCCTGATCTGTATTCTGGAGGGAAGTTCCCTAATAATAGTGAGCTTCTTCTGAACAAAGGGGCTGGAGACAGGAAGTTTAAGAGCTGTTTCTGAGCCAGCAGACTGGCTTCAGGTCCTCAGTCTACCACAGGCTTGCAGATCTGTCCTTGAGCAAGCTGTTGTTAACAGAGGGAAGGAGTCACACCCCTTACTAGCTGATGATAGGACTGGGTGAGCGGGCCACGGCACATGCTACTCTATCCAGCTCAGAGCTGACCGTATGGAAGGCTTTGCAAGCTTCAACTTTGTACCAAATTCTTGACTTATTTTATCTCCTCGTGTAATGATCTGAGAGAGTATTTAAGGCAGGTTGTAAAAGGCTATTTTTACATACAACAAATAATTCTTTAAAATAGACAAGCAGAAGCATACCAAGTAAAAACAAAAAGGAGTGAAAGAGGGGCTGGGGAGTTGGCTCAGTCAGTATGGTGCTTGCTGTGCAAGTATGAGGACCCCCAGGAACCAGATCAAAAGGCCCAGTGTGATGGAAAGCTCCAATAAACCCAGCACTGGGGAAGCAGAGACAGGTGAACCCCTGGCGCTCCCTTGCCAGCTTAGCCTACTTGGCAAGCTCCATGCTAGTGAGAGACCCCATCTCTTATCTCTCTTCTTTTTTTTTTTTTTCAATACAGGGTTTCTCTATAGCTTTGGAGCCTGTTCTGGAACTAGCTCTTGTAGACCAGGCTGGCCTCAGACTCAAAGAGATCCACCTGCCTCTGCCTCCTGAGTGCTCGGATTAAAGGCATGTGCCATCACCGCCCGGCTGAGAGACCCTATCTCAAAAAGATAAAATGGTCAGGCAGGGTGGCACAGATCTTTAATCCCAGCACTAGGGAAGCAGAGACAGGTGGATCTCTGAGTTCAAGGCCAGTCTGGTCTACAAAGTGAGTTCCAGGACAGTCAGAGCTGTTACACAGAGAAACCAAAAATAAATAAATAAAGTGGACAACAGCTGAGGAACGAGACTTGAGGTTGACCTTTGGTCTACATACACGTCTCTCTCTTTCTCACACAAGATATAGATAAAGAGACACGTGCAACAAACACAATTTTAACTAATGAAAAGGAATGAGCAATGGTTAAAGAAGCATTCTATTTTTGTTTTGTCTTGTTTTTCAAGACAGGGTTTCACTATAGCTTTGAAGCCTGTCCTAGAACTAGCTCTTGTTGACCAGGCTGGCCTTGAACTCAGAGATTTGCCTGCCTCTGCCTCCCAAGTGCTGGGATTAAAGGTGTGTGTCACCACTGTCTGGCCTGTATGGCTGATTGGTATGGCTGCTTTGCCCTCTGATCTTCAGGCAAGCTTTATTTATTAAAACACAAATAATATACCACTGTAAGAAGTAATGGAGAAATGCCGTTTCATCTGTGGGGAGACTAAAGCGGAAAGGATTCCACCCCCTGGAAAGCACACCCAGCCCATAGGCGGGTGTGGTGAGGCCTTTCAGCCTTGCACTAGTGACGTCTGCAGCTGGATGACTGCTGTGAAGACTACACTGAACTACAGCAGCATTCCAACTTGTACCCACTAGATGCCAGTAGCATCTCTACAGCTGTGACAGATGTGCGGGAGGAGGTGCAAATGTGCCCAGTTGAGAAGCACCTGGTGTGCAGGTGAACACCTGGAGTGTGGAGGACTCCTTGAACACTTGTTAACCACTAATGTGCACACACGAGAAAGGCATGCAGGAAGGCCGGGCACCTCCCTTGCACAGGAGGGAAGGAACCTGTCCTCTCGAGGCACACATGGCTGGACCACGATGGGAGCGAGGCTGGTGTGGGAATGGAAACTGCAGTGGGAAGCAATGACTGAACTAATTTTTCCAAGTTTCCTCTCTCCTGGCCTCTGAGCACCTTGGTGACTTCTCTTTCTTCCCCAAAGAGCCAGCAGTTTGGTCCTATATAGAGGACTGTGCGGTGCAAACTCACATGGTGCCTTCTGGATACCTTAACCTTTGGTCAGCAACGAGGCAGAATTTCCTGGCGAAGTGCATTTGGCATGCTGTATTACTGGTTCTGTGAGAGCAGGCCCACACGGTTCACACAAGTGCAGGTTGTGGTGGGATGGATGCAGGATGGGAGAAAACTGGGAGAATGGGCACTGGGTGCAATCTTTGGGAGCAGGCAAACAGTAGGTGCCACCGAGCACAAAGCCACCCTGTTGACACCTGCTTCAGTGTAACCACTACAGAGCCTTCAGTGACACCTGGGACCTGCACCCAAAGTCCTTAACACAGAAGGGCAGAGGCACTTGCCGAACCAGAGGGATGGTTCTCCTTAGATATTGAGGGTCTAAGTTTTTAATTTGCTGAGCTGGGCTAGTCCAGAACCTTGCAAGAGGATTCTCCCACACAGCTGCACTCTAGCCCTTGTTCTTTCGGACAGGATCTTACTATGTAGGTCAAGTTGGTCTTGAATTCACATGGAGACTTTGAGCTAGAGAGTCCAAGTGCTGGACTTACATGTGTGTGCCATCAAGCCAAACTGTAATGTGTGGATAAGAATTTCTCACGGAACTGTTTTAGAGGAAATATTGGCTGTCAAACATCCCTTCCTTTTGGCCCTGTGGTGTCCCGGCAGGAACTCTGGAAGGTGGACATGCCGTTTCCCTAATGTGCTGGACTCGGAAGCTTTCTGCTGAGAGAACAGCACCTGTTTTCTGCCAGGCTTCGTGTTAGGTCATTGCAGCTGCCTTTAAAGCCCCTTTAAAACCCTGCAGACAATGTGTGGAACCAGAAGACATTGGCTATCTAGAGCTCACGCTAGGACCTAGGGCTAGAGACTCACTTCTGAGAAGTCGTCTCACAGTTATGTGAAGTTAGTTTTAAGTTAGAGTACTTAGGACTGGGTTAACTAAGCCTGTTCTTGCTGTATAATCTTCTGGAGCTCTTCCCACACACAGGTTGCATCCCAGGTCATTCTATCTTAATCTTGGAGTGTGGTTTTATTATCAGCCTTCTAAAATAGTCGCTAGGTGCCGGGGACAGAGTTTAGAGGTAGGCCTGGCATGAGCGCCCTGGGCTGTCCTCAGCACTGAAGGGGGATATGACTCCACTCCCAAGCAGAGGAGTAGCGAGAGCACATTGGGCTGTTCGTATCTAGAGCCTGCTCACCTCCCTCTCACGGGGTCATTTTATAGAATCACTTGTTTGTTTTGGTATTTCTCTGTTCGGAACCCTTTGAGGCTGGTCTCCATGGCAGGTTATGGCAACAGTCTTGGGAGTATTCTCAGGACTGCAAATGTTCTTTTTCTGAACAAAGTTTGAGTTTAAGAGTTACAGTGGCCCAAGTTAAATGTGAGAGAGAAGATGGAGACAGAGGGATCAGATACTGCGAGGATGGGTAGCCGCCACCACCTCAGGCTCCAGTACAGGCCAGGTCAGGCACAGGGGAGGTCAGTCCCTAGCCATGCTTTTCCACTCAGGGTTTGCTCCTTCAGCTCCATGCACTTCAGTTCCGGGGGAGGCTGGGGCCATGAAACCATATATTCTCTAGATGCCACAGCCCTAGCTTATTTTTCCTACGAGGACACCTTCTCACCACTCTACTCCACATAGAAACAGTAATGAGTTTACCTTTTCACCCTGAGAATGAGTGCCTTATCCTGCGGGCTGCGTCCTCAGGGTAGGGTTTTCCAGGGACCCTTCCTCCCTGCCTCCCTTTGAAGCTGTGACATTCTTCTATGCCATGTCCTATAGTCTGTCACAAGGTGCTGGCTTTCTTGGGTGCACACAGGAGGCACGGGCTGGATCCCATCATGAGCCTGGAAAAGGCTACAGAGTCTCTCTCTTGGCAAGGCCTACCTTTAACCCAGCTCATTCTTGAGGCCACTGCGGCCCTCTTACTCCACAAAGGTTGACACAAATTCTTCCCATAGGCTTCTGTTCTGTGCTTCTGGCCATGGGGCCTGGGAGTCAGAGGTGAAGAATGGGGGTCAGGGCTGAGACCTGTCCATAGATTGCCAAATAAAAGCAGGAAGAAGTAACTGAACTTTGACTGTGCCAAGAAAATCCCAATGATCAGATGTAAAAACTATAAATGAAGGGAACAGATTAAAAACCTATGTCTTGATTCTCTCCCAACAGCCAGTCCTGGCTATGTTTATTACTCAGACCATGCTGGAACAACAGTGGACAAAAATAGAATCGGCCATGGTCGAACAAAGCCTCTGCCCTTTCGTCCTAGTCAGGACACCTTATCGCATGCCTCAAAGACCTCACAGTACAGAGCCCGTGGGTGACTGCAGGCTTTGACATGAAGCTAGGAGCAGAGGCAGGAAGGCCAGGCTACTTGCTAAATAGCCCCAGAGGGACCCCTGGGGCTTTCTGTGAGGTAGAGAACTGCTGGGGTCCCGGAGATGTCCTGGCTGTGGGGCTAGTCTGCTCTGGTGCATGCAGTCATACAGCAATGCCAACAGGACCAGGCAGGGCCTTGCGTCACTTTGTCTTTGGCCTGGGTGGAGACTCTTTGAGTACTCTCCTCTGGAGGCTGCACCAAAGAGGGCAGGGAGGGGAAGCCATTTCATGTCCTTTCAGGCTCTTCAGGAGGCCCCAGGGATGCTTTCTCAGCCACTGGCAATGGTTCTCACCGGTGGCACCTGGGACTGCCAACAGCAATGGCTCACAGTGGCATTTTTGCTGTGAAGTCCTGGGCATTCGTCAGGGATTTGGCCGAGGCCTCCTGGAGCACAGGTAAAGCCATGGTCATCCTGAGGGCTTGGGCAGCCTTGTTACTGAACCCGAGATGGGAGCAGAAAAGTGAAGCTGGCCCAAGCTGCTTTCTGGAGCCCAAGGTCTGCTATGTCACTCTGAATGGCCAGCTGTGCCCACCCTCAGGTCCTCCGGGCTAGGCAGACAATGCTGCTATCTTAGGGGCTGCTTGAGCTCGAACAGGCCTGTCCCGCCTTTGACGACTTTCCCCACCACGAGACAGGCTGAAGGTGATTTCAGTTCATCATGGGATCCTGTGAGAAACAGAAGAGCCTGTGTCGGGGTCTGAGGACTCAATGCCGAGGTTGTGTAGCGGGTGCCTCAGAGGCCCTGCACACTCACACTGTGGCCCTGTACCTAGTTTGGAAGAGGAGACACCCCGCCTTATTCCATCAGAATGCAGACCTTTACTGTCTGTTGCTTCTCCACTTCTGATTCCAAGTTTACCCATGCAAAGACGCACTGCGGGACGAGCCAATTTGACTAGGGAAGGCCCAAGTCACTGCTCACACTCACCCATCATGGTTGCCTGTTTGAGAAACTGGAAGCTGGTTTCAAATGTCATCTGCTGCAAAGGGGAGGAACTTGACTGGATCCCAAAGCGATTGAGTGGCTTATAAACACCCTCAAAACACATATAGTCAGCGACCAGGGAGAGATGGCGAGGGTCAACTGCAATGCCTGTCACGGGGCAGAATTAGGAGGGGTAAGCAGTGACAGGAGAAGAGTTGGGGAGCAACACCTGACACAAGGCAGCTGCGACCACACCCCAAGGTGCCTCTCAGCTCCTCTACCCCTCACCCTACACCTGGCCCAGGCACTGCGCGGACTCCATCGTCACATAAGTTCATCTAGTAGCACAAGAAACAAGAATCTGTTGGACGGTGCTGTTTCTACCTGGAATCTAGAACCTTGATGGGTCAAGCCATGAACCCTGAACTTCACAAAAGGCACCAGCAACTGGGACATCACTGAGTGGCTTCAAGAGTCAAAGCCACCATCGCCCATGCTCTCTCATGGGGACTCTCAAGCAACTACAGCCCCTGTATACTCCACACCACGCTTCTGTTCCCACCTGCATGCACGGCTGACTCGGTTCTCTGCCATGCCATTGGGCACTCCCACTAGGCCAGGTATGCTGTCATGTTCTGCTTACCATACACTGCAAACACATCCTTAATCTCCTTCTCAATGACCCTCAGTGCAGCCTCGATGCCGTAAGTGTTGGCCATGGCGTGGATGTCATTGGAGTAGAGGCGGCGCAGGTCCAGCACCTGGGCAAGGGAAGGAGAGACTGACCTAAGTGCCCATTGCCAGCTCTCTTCTGTGTGCATGTCCTCTACCATTCTCGCTTGCCTTGTGCCCATGGCTGACCCAGCTGGTGCCAAGTGTGCAGAGGCAGCAGGGATGAGGGAAAGGGATGCTGCTGGCAGAACTGCTGCTGCACACCAGTCAGGGCTGTTGTGACCAGACAACTCAGGACGCACTTTAGATTCAGCAAGAAACATTTTTTCGTTGTTCATTATTATACTTTTAACAAAGATCTGTTTACTGGGATGGATGCTTGGGAGGTAAGGAGCAGTCCCTCAAACACCTCTCTAGGGTGCCCAGGGCAGGAACAGGTTGAACCCCACAAGTTCCTGGGCCTCATTAGAGGCCTGAGGCTCCAACTGAGCCAGAGGGACTCTCAGTGGCTCTGCACTATGGATGGAGCGGGCCCTGCCGCAGTACTAGCCACACTGCACAGGAGACGGAGATAGGCTGCCAGGCTGAGCACTTGAAACAAACCCCAAGTGAATATAGCCACATCCTGCGCACTCAGGAGATACAGATCTCTTCCTGCTCACCCCTTGGGCAAGCTCTTGGTAAAAAGCTCTAGAGCACCATTGGTGGAGGCAGAAGCACGGGAGCACAGGACTTTAGACAGTGCAATGTGGACGAGGAGATAAGGGACCAGAACAGCCCCAAACTCCTAAGTAGCCTGGAGGAAACCCTTATGCCCTGAAGCGTTCTATAGAAAGGAGAAAGGACTGGGGAGGAGATGGGATGGAGCACAGGGTCTCCTTCAGCTCCTGGCAGGCGCTCTGTGTTGGGCTGCAGCTACCTTTACCAGATAAAGCGAGCAGCAGTACTCAGGCCAGCAATGCAGCAAAGTGCTCCCTATACTCTACTTTAGGAAGAACTTCATTTCAAGAGAAAATAAAACACAAAGAGGGTTCTCAAATGACTCTGAGAAAGTCTGGGCTAATGTCGAGCAGGTTTCTATACTGCCAACCTAATAGGCACCAAGAGTTCCTGGGTCATGGATGAGGGCGCACACTTGATTTGGGGACCAGAGTGTATGTAGCACATATGTTTCAGCAGGGTCCAGTTGGCTGACTGGAGCTCAACTCCCAGGGCCTAGTTCCCAGAAGAATATGAGGTCAGGGCTGAGGATTTGTCACAGAGCAGCACCCAGGCTGCAGGCTCACACACCTCGGAGTACTTGAACAGCTCGGGGAGGTTGATTCCCTCTGTGTTCAGCACAAGCTCCTTCTCATTCTTACTGTTGGTTGTTTCGTTCAGGAGGCACCGAGTGATTCCCTTGGTTGTATAGACAATGGCATTGTGGGCCAAGGCCATAACCAAGGAGCTCATGTCAAAATTAGTCTTCATCAGTGGGAGCTTCAGAGTTACCTACAAGAGAAAGAGAGTTGGGTCAGGGAAGACACTTTTCCTAGCCCCATCAACAGGGCAGAAGCCTGCAGGTCCACTCAGTGGTCTGGTTGGGGAGACCATCCTGCTGCAGAGGCTGGCAGGAGGACTGAATTTGGGTAGTTTAACTGACCCAAACTCAAGGTTGAAACAGGCAACAGAAGTCAGTGAGGACACTGAGACTCAAGCCCACCCCACTGCCGGTCCTTTCAATGGCCACAATGCAGTGCCTGCTACTTTGGGCTCGGGGTCCACAGCAAGTTCTGTTATACAAGCTACCACTTGGGAACCATGGAGTTTGACTAAAGAGAAGACAAGGAGTACGTCGATGCTGATATCAAAACAATCAACAACCATGAAATCCTTAGGAGGGCCAGGGGACATTTGGGGGCAGAAGAACTGATGGGCTACTGTCTCCTGGCAGGAAGGAAGCTGTCATATCTGCGGTGTATGGTGACATGTTTGTGTGCAGAGATTAAAGGATGTGACTCATTTCAAAGATTTACACTTACAAGGCCTGTAGTTGAGACTCACAAGCACACTTTTCTGAGCACTGGTTGGAAAGAGGGGTGCGTAAGGCTGTGCTTTAGAGGATAGAGTCTTCTGGGGGTGCTGGAGAAATGGCTCAGTGGTTAATAACACTGGTTGCTCTCCCAAAGGACCTAGGTTTAATTCCCAGCACCCACATGGTGGCTTACAACCATCTGTAACTCCATTTTCTGGGGATCTGATGCCCTTTCTGGCCTCCAAGGGCACTGTACACATGTGCAGCCATCCTTAAAGACAAACACCCATATGCATAAAATATTAGAAAAGGAAGAGAGCTTCTTCAGGAGATGGCCCAGCTGAACAGACTGACCTGGCACCATAGGCTCTCCTCTGTGTCATACTGGTAGTCCTCAACGAATGAGTGGGCCTCCCGCACAGTCTGGATCCTGCGTTCCACAGCCTCTGCTCCCTGAGGCCTGGAGTGCCGGCGGGGAGGCTTCTGGGATGATTCCTCCTCCAGGCCTGAACCCTCTTCCTCACCTGGCTCATGAGCCTGGTGGGCACCTTCACTGTTGATGTTCCCTTCCTCTTGGGCATCCTCCTCCTCCACTTCCTCCTCCCCTTCTTCCTCACTCTCATAGTCAACCTGGCCAGGAAGTGAAATGCAGGCAGTTAGTGGGGGTCTAGTCACCTGGACTGTCTATGGAGCAAGCACTGCACCCCGTGCTGGCCCACACTAGTAGCTTTCCTGCTCTGGCCTGCTCACCTTCCTCCATTGACCTTCCTTGGCTGTTGCTCTGAGACTTCTCAGTCCTGAGAAGCAAGCCCTCCAAGGTGGCCTGCTTGCCACACAGCTTCCCTGGCTCACAGACTTTCTGAGCTATCTCTCCTATGACCCCTCCCCCCCCAACCGCCTCTGTAACCTTCTCTTTGTCCTTAGAGAGACTATGACACTAGGGATTGGTCTGACAAACAGGAGACACTCTGATTTATTGTCAGTCTCCTCCAGGTCCTTGAGTCTGACTTGTATCCAGGGTTAACCAGATTCAAGGAAAGTCCTGTCTGCTCAATCAAGAGGTATGCTGGACAGACAGGTCTTACTTCAATCTTCTGGTGGGGTCCAATCACGACAGAGAGGTATAGCCTCTAGGTCAGGGAGAATTCCTGAGGTGTGAGCACAGCCCCTGCACTAAGACAGCAGCCCTCACCTCCTCCTCTTGCTTCTCCTTGCGTTTGGTGTCAGAAGCATCTGCATCGCCCTCCTCAGCTTCAGCATCCACAATGTTCCCCTCCTCCTCTTCATCCCCTTCTTCCTCTCTCTGTAGTTTGAGAGTAAGGAGAAAAATAGTGATTCCCAATAATCAGTAGTCAGAGAATCCATCTGTCCACCCAATGACGCTTTTACTTAATGATCTATCCAATCCACCTTCCCACTTGTCCATCAGTCCACTACCCACCTGCTACCTAACCCAGTCCATCTACCCAGTGTCTACTCATCTAGCCTTGGGTTTGCAAACCTTTTTTTCCCCTTTAGCTTTTTTCCCTTTCACTTTTACATGCACCTGCGAAGTCTTTCAGGTTTAAGAGGTTTTTTTTTTTGTTTGTTTTTTCAAGACAAGGTTTCTCTAGGTAGCCCTGGCTGTTCTGGAATTCACTCTGTAGACCATCCTAGACTTGAACGCAGAGATCCCCTACCTCTGCCTCCTCAGTACTGGGATTAAAAGTGTGGGTCACCACCACCCAGTCAAGAGTTTTTAGAAATTACCTTTAGGTAGCATACACAGCGGTGGGCTTTGTTTAGCGCCTGAGTACTCTCGGTACACTTCCCCCTTCGTTGCCCTCTCCATCTTTCCTCCTTGCTCGTTCATTAGATCCTATGGCTCACCACACATTTCCTCCTTCCACTTTCACGTCATATATATATACTTCAGTACTCTTTCCTATTTACTCCTTAACTTTTAAAAAAGGGATTAGGGATGCAGTTTAGTGGTAGAGGGCCACCTCAAATCATTACAAGATGATAAAAATATTGCTCCAACAATGTTAGTGGAGGCAAGGAAGAAAAGCTGTCTTTCTCTTCCTGGCCTTAGTTTCAAGTTTCTAAGCCTCTTTCTGGCTAAGTCAAGACTGGGCAGATGGTTAAATACAACCCATGTCAATCTGTGCTTGAGTTAGTAAAATGGCAAAGCCACAGGACAGGAGGAACCTAGCACTTTCTCTGATCTAGATATGCCCAAAGACAGGTGGCACAGAGCCAGGCAGGGAATTCCCAGTACATGTGATACCTCACCCAGGTAGGCTCACTGCATCAGCACTGGCCTCTGCTTACAGCGCTAGGTAGTGCTAGTCCCTGGCCTTAGGGACCTCCTACACTGCCCCTTACCTGGTCCACTTCTACCTCCCCTGCTTTGCTACCAACAGTTTTTTCTGCTCCTTCTCTTTTGTCACTGAGGTTCAACTTCTCTGCTTCAAATCACATTTCTAGGCCTTGATGGTTTGGGCAAAGTTAAATGCAGAGAAAAATGAGACCAGAACAAGGACGTTCAAAGGCTCAGTGCACACCATCTTTGGGATGGAAACTTCTTACAGGCAGCCCCTGAGATCAGAGATGGATGTCTGTAGGTCCGACCCAGAGCTGGGCAAACCATATTGCTGGCACCCTCCCTGGCCTGGTCCACCACGCCTGGGAGTGAGTGCAGCTTGCAGGCCAAGAGCAGCAGATAATGCTGAGGTGTGTGGAAAGATGGGCTAGTGTCAAGAAGAATCTTGTAGAGTGCTGAGAACTGTCATGACACGGCCCCTGGAGACATGGGAGTCTTTCATGCCTCTCAGACTTAGGATGAGTCCTATGCACTTCGTAAGGGGTCTCTAGCACTTGCTCACCCGGTTCTTCCCGGAGTCCTCCGCGTCATCAAGGTCCTTCTGTGTAGCCCTTCTAGTATTCACACTTCTGAAGGCCGATGCTTTGCTATTCTTCTTTTTGATGGCTTCCATTAGTAGTTTAAAGAATCTGTATGAGAAGAAAGCCATGCAGTCCCGTCAGGATAAGTGTACCCTACCCTCTCGATGCTGAGCGATTGGCACGGGAGCTAGCACAAAGGACTAAGGCCAGTTTCTCCTACCTTCCTCTACCTTCTCCCACTTGATCTGTCAGAAAGAACATCAGTCCTACACTCTAGCCTGCTTCCTCTGGATACATACTCTGCAACTCCTAGACTAGAGTGATTCCTGCACATTTTGATTTGCTTGTCTGGACAATGCGGGTTTTAATATGTATGGTGTACACTTGTTCTAAGAAGCATCAGACACTTTCCCTAAGGCTTGGTAGAGCTTACATTTGGTAACTGATAGTTGTTGGTGCCACTGCACTACATTCTAATCAGCACAGCAGAACCAATTGTAGGAGATGGGAACCCACCCTGCCTGGGACAGCCTGTCCCATCCCAGACACCTGCAGTATCTCAAGAAAGTAGGTCTGGCTGGGTCAAAGGAACCCCCAGCCTCATATATGCAAACCCCATCAACTGAATGAGAGAAGGCTTTAAAGTGCACTAGAACTTCAAAAGGTAGTGCAGCAGGCTTTGTGGTACAGAATCATACACAGATCAGAAGCAAACCTAACTGCAAACACTCATCACCCCCATCCCTCCCAAGCTCCCTATTTTAAGGGTGCCTCAGTCTTTCAGCTTGCCCCATCTCTATCTTGCCATTTTTATAATCTCCATTCCCTAATCAGGCACTCAGACCATCCCAAATTGAACTGCTTTTAATTTTACAAAATATTAGTTCTTACCCCAACCCTTGCATTCATCCATTCTATATTCTGAGTCCAACCCTGCGCCTAAACCCACACTAGTCCTGTAGGTAAAGAGAATGATGAAAAGATAGGCTCCCAGCCCCCAAGAAGCATGGAGTCTTACTTTGAGAAGCAGGAGGTCAAATATTTTGATCATTAAATCCTAAAGAATGTCATTTCCCTACCCACATTTTATATTTTTTTAAAAACAATCTTTTTAAATACCAATCCCAGTTCACTCCCTCCTCCCTCTCCCCTCCCATTTTTAAAGATGTACTTATTTTATGTGTTCAGTGTTTGCCTGCATGTATGTATGGGCACCACGTGTGTGCCTGATACCCATGGAGTCCAGAAGAGGGCATCAAATTCCCTGGACCTGGAGTTACAGATGCTTGTAAACCACCATGCGGATGCTGGGAAGCAAACCTGGACCTCTACTGTGGTCTCTTAACCTCCGTTCCATTTCTCCAGCCACCCCCTCCTGTTTGCCTTTTTAAAGAGTGTATGGTTTTGTTGAGACCCACTAAGCCACTGACAAGCTTGCTCACCAGATGCTGAGGAAGGGGGGTAGGAGAGTCAGAAAAGAGGAGGCAGGGATGACTTTGGAAAGACACAATCTAAGTGGAAAGAGTGGACACTGAAGATGTGAGAGCCCAGATCTCATATGCTATGAGGAACCACTTAGGGTGGAACAAGGCAGACAGGTGCTTCTCCCTGAGGCTAGGTTCTCCCTATCGTCAGTGCCTCTGCCTGTCTCATGTGGACACCCAGCTCTGAGGTTTCTTGTTGTCCCTCTCTTCCTACTCTCAGGCATCCTTTGGTATCTGTATTCTAAGCAACATTCCCAATCTGCTACCATCCTCCAAGGCTAGGATGAAGCGAGGATGTAACTCCTCTAAAACACCTTTTGGTGTCCAGAACTATTGAGAACATGGGTGAAGGTGGACGAGCTAGGTGCTTCTGAATGGGGCGTAGCAATGTACAGTGTTTTCCTGAGGTGCTGTCAACGTGCTCTTCAGTGATGGTCTAAGAGCAAGGGGGTCACGACCCTCAGTGAATGCTCTTTGAAGGTCATGCTATTTGTCAGTGTGGCAAATGAAAGGAACCAGAGAGGCATATGGCAGAGGACCCACCCACCCCACAGAAACAATTATGAACTGGGAACATGACCCTTCGATGCCTCCAAAAGTGCCTGTCAAAAAATCCTCCCCACCTACTGCTTCAAGAGTCGGTTTCTGCTCAGTGGCTCAGATTGCAGGAGGGGCTGTAGGGTTAAGTCTCTGGTGGGGCAGGAGCCAGAACCTACGGTCCTTGAGTCTTAGTTCAGTGCTCTTTCTACTTTAGCACTCTGGCCCATTCTTGTAGGTTAGTCACACAAATAGTAAAAGTGATAGGTGCCTGTGGAGGAGATACCTAAGACCACCTGGGCTTCCGTGTCCCCATTATTCTTCCTTTTCTTTCCACTATGCATTAAAACAAACAAACTCCTGATCCCACAGATGAGGAGGAGAAAAGGAAAAGAGGTGGCAGAGGCAGGAGGCGAAGGGAAGGAAGGAAAAACAGCACAGGGGGAGGGCTCTCATGCCCTCTTCCATTTCCTGTGAGCTCTCAGGCCATAAGTGGTTGAGTCACTCACTGCCTGGGCTGACAAAGAACTCTAAAACCGCAGCCCAGATTACAGGCTGCTCTTACTTTTATTGGCCTGAGACCTCAGAGGCCTGCTACAGAGTCATGAAGAGTACTTCTGTCCAAAGTGTCGGAGTACACAAGGCCTTGTTTATCACAGCTTTTCAAGTGTGCAAGCAAAACATGCCTAAGAGCTGAAAAAGTACTTCACTGCTGAGAACAGCCATAGCTGTCACTTGCTGGGAAGAAACAAACAAAAACGTGGTATAGGAACTGATGTGATGGCTCAGTGGTTAAGAGCACTTGCGGCTCTTCCAAAGGCTAGAGAACCTATGTTACCTGTAAGCCCAGTACCAGGGAGATCTGACATCTCTGGCCTCTTTGGATCATGCCCGTACCCACAGACACACACATACAGACATAATTAAAATAATACATATAAATCTTTCTTTAAAAAATGTCTTACTGTCTTTACTCCCACAGGGTAGACAGAACTCTAAGTTCAGCTGGCATGTGCCTCATGGTGTCTTACCTGCTTGGCAGCTAAAGCTTCTGGGTGAAGAGAAATGGGGCAAACTGTCAACAGACAATTTTTGAGACTCAGTTCTTTCCTTCCACTCTATGAGATCCCAGGGATCAAATGTCAAGTTTGGTAGCATGTTTCTTTACCCACTGAGCCATCTTGCTGGCCTGGTTCTCTATAAGTTAGCAGCTCTGGGATCCTGTCTACATTAAAGGCAGTGGTCAGGGGCCTATGGCTGTATCCTGTTAACGATAGCATCTCTTTTGCCTAAAAGTGTATTTACTAGCTGCTGAGACTTAAACGTTAGGAGTCTGATTTCCTTTCTCTCCCTCTCCCCAACAAAACAAAACAAAACCAAAAAAAAAAAGCACGTAACACAAGACAAGAGGAGGCAAGCTTTTCATGTTTTAAAACAGAAGATATGGACACCCTGGCCCACATTTTTGCACATGAGAGCCAACCTCCTGAAATAAGTTCCACACTCTGCTAGTGGCCTCCCAACCCGCTTCACCACCATCAGGGTCAGGGGCAAGCCACCCTTCTGACCTTGTACACTCAGCATTATGGCCTATGCTTTCAAATACACAGCAGTAACCTGAACTTGAGAGAAAACGGAAGTTCATTCTCCGTACCTGATAGAAACCAGAATTTTTAAGCTGAGGATCCACTACAGAAGAACTTTAAAAACAACAGGCCACTGGTTTCCTATCAGCAGACTAGAAATACATGAGGAACCACATTACAGTCTGGAATCACACGGCATCCAACTCTATACCATGTGCTGGTCTGAACCACAGAAGCACCACAGGGAAGGGGCTCCTTCCATATGTTATACCATAAACTAGAGAGGACTCATCAATCCAAGACAAGCAGAGGGAATGACAAGTGACTCAGAAGGGTCTCACTAACAGGCCAGATTGGGGTAAGGGCTCAATATTAGGTGGCAGGGCCTACTGTTTTCTAAAACACTTCCTTTGTGGGATCACGCCAGGAGTGCTTCATGGGTCAAGGTCAAAGATGAACATAGTGAAGTCCTGACCTGGTTTCCATGAAGTGCAAGATGTCCTCAGGTCTCAGGCACTTCTCCTGCTGGTAATATGCATGTGGCAGGAACTGAAACCGGAGCTCATACATCCGGAATTTGTTCTGTTTTTCTCCCATATGGAAGGACTCTTGGACATCGACTTTCTGCAATACCTAGGACCAGATGAACACAGGCCCCAGGTGACTGTCCTGCACGTGGGTCACAAGATACCACGTCTGAGGCAGCTGCGGCCATAGCCCCAAACTCTGTACAAATCCTTGGGGTGTGTCGGGGAGTACAGCGCCTCCTGTGGTCATCTCCTGGGGTCTGCTAAGTTAACCCAGGGCTCATTCTTACTGCATCCATCAGGCAGGTGCTATGGAACTGACAATGACCTTCAAAGCTTCTTCCTGCTCAGTGCCTGGCAGAGACAGTGTCTATCTCTCCGGCAGAAGATGCCTGGGCAGCAGGATTAGACCTCCACCCAGTGTGTAATCCAGTATGAGAAACAGTTACCTCCCCCAGGCACACCCTGGTGAGCTGCTTCTTTAGGCTCTTCACTCTCTTCAATGCTTTCTTGGTGTTGAACACAGGCACACTCATCATGGGTGTCTTGATGTTGGCACTGGCCACCATGAGAATCTCCCTCAGTCTGTCAAAGAATAAGGACACATCTCATGAGATATAACCAAATCTTGTTTACCTGAAGCCTCTTTTAAAGATGGCAGTTTGTCTGTGGTATGAGAAGCCCTGGGATATTTATTACAGGGGAATATGTTTTGTCAGACTCCTCCCTGCAGTACTGGCTCGGCATGCAGAGTTAGATCTAAGGCCTGCTTCCTTCACTGTTCTCAGCACTTGGCAGCTGGAGCTAACCAAACAGATGAGAGAGAGGAAAGACTAAACTAGACCAGCCTTACCAACCCCACAGTCTGTGGGCTCAGCCTCCTGCAGTCATGGGTGAAGACCCTCGTGTTGGGAGGTTAGGGAAGCCACCCAGAGTCAATCTCCCTGCAATGGAATGACTTGAATGCCAGGACTGAGGGCCACACTTTCTGCTTTCTCAGAAATCATCACACTGCGTGTACAAACAAGTACCTAAAGGGCCAAGGCCACAGAAATGGCACTCCTGGAGTTGGGAGATCAGGGGGCACTGTGCTGGAGTGTTAACAATGTTCTTGTGTGTACGGTCTCATTAGCATTTCTGCTAACTTGATGAAGGAAGTGGCGGAGTGATAAAAAGGGATCTAAACATCTAGCCACAGAAAGCACTCTGGCTCCAAATACACTCCAAAATTTCAACTGAGGATCCAGACTAGAGAAGACATAATCTCTCACTCACCAGCTCCCTTCCCTGTCCCTTTCTCAGGGGCACCACAGACCTCACAACTGTACAGTGTGCACCCTCGTTCCCCCATACCTTGGAATGCCCAGAGTGACATTCATCTCGCCTCTGCCTGCAAAGTGGAAGGTGTTCAGTGTCATCTGTGTGGAGGGCTCCCCGATGCTCTGGGCAGCCAGTAGGCCAACAGCCTCGCCTGGGTCACACAGGGAGCGCTGCCACTTTAGCTGCAGTAAGGTTCTCAGGCTGGAGACAGAAGGGGACAGAAGAAATCAAGAACAAGTATTGGACTGCCCACCACACCACCAGAAACCAGAGCCCTAGCTGGTTCCTTGTTTGAATTATTCAGGTTTGCCACGAGAATATCAAGTGTCCTTGCCAGGCCAGACACAGGTCTCTCAGCAGTGGTTACTTTAGGGACCACTCACATCCCCTCCCCCACTAGCAAGAGAGGCTTGGAGAAGCCTACACTTCTTGCTGTGCAAACTGAAAACAGGTTCAGGCTTACCAAGCAGCCAGAGGTAGGGGTGTCCACTTGTATGTGGAGATCACATCACATGTACCTGCACTACCTTCACTCTCTTCACTCTCACAAACTGGGATGTGTATGAACAACTCTGTGTGGAGGGCAGTGCACATGTGCAGGAAGCCACAGAGCTACATGTCCATACATGTTCTTCCAGGTGCTTTCGAAGGCAATTGTCACCTTCTGGGAGGCAGGTAGAGGCTGCCTTCCTCTTCTGGAGAGGGTCAGGAGACCCACCCACCATGACACTGATCAACATCCTCACCTGTCTAGAGAAAGCTCTGATTTCTTGTAACTCCTCTCTGCTTGAGCTGCCCACTCCTGAGTGTAGTCATCAATTTTTTTTTCAAATGTTTCAGACACAGACGCAAAGTAGATGTCTGGGCGCCACACAGACAGGCTAGGGTCGGGACAAGGAGCAGCCCTCTTCTGGTATTTCCATCGGCTCTGCTCATCTAGTTCATACCACATCTGCAACATCTGAACAGACAGCAAGGCATGTCTTAGCTAGGTGGGAAGGCACAGCCAGTGGCACGAGAAGATGAAAGCAGAGAGCAGTGCGAGGCGGAAATCTAAAGTACCTCGACACTTAAACCAGGGGCACAGACTCTGTCCCACAGCATGCTGTTGACCAGGATGCTTTTGGCAATTCATCCTGGCCGGTCTGAAGCACAGTAGGGGCAGGACATCATTATTTACTGTCAAATGGGCAGTGCTCATGATTGTGGTCTGATAAGAGGCAAAGAACTGTCCCAGGCAACTAGGACACTAGGAGTGAGGCGACTACCAAATGCCAGTTAGCACCTCTCTTCCCTACCCAGGCTGGCCTCTCTCTAACAGAGCTCTGCCCACAGCTGCCTTCCCTCTCCACTTCTAGACTGGTCTCCTTGACCCTCATGCCTGGTGTGGTGAAGAACCCCAACCACCAGCCCGAGTAATTCCCTCAAGCTCTGCAACTCATAGCCTCTACTGAGTCTCCTAGTTAGAGTTTCACATGGCTGCCACTGGCATCTTGACTAATATCATTCTTTTTTTTTTATTAAATTTATTTATTTATTAAAGATTTCTGTCTCTTCCCAGCCACCGCCTCCCATTTCCCTCTCCCTCCCCCAATTAAGTCCCCCCCCCAAGCCCAAAAAGCAATCAGGGTTCCCTGTCCTGTGGGAAGTCCAAGGAACCCCCACCTCCATCCAGGTCTAGTAAGTTGAGCATCCAAACTGCCTAGAGCTGCAAAGGAAAAAGGCCAAGTAACTTATAAAGGTAAACCGATCAGAAAATAGTAAAAATATCATTCTTTATTACAGAGCAATCCCTTATCCTTCTCTAGCTGGGGCCTGAACACGCCAGGCACTGTGGACACAACCTCCCCATGTTACCTGCTGGGTTTCTGGGCTGCGGCCATTCTCGTTCTTGCCCTTTAGGTTCAAGGCTTTCACAGCTGCCTGAATCTTCTGGGAAAAACTCAGGAAGGCGCCTCTTCGCAGCAGGGCACTGGAATGCTTGCTATGCCATTTCTTAATGGCTTTGAAGTGGCGGAGCACTTTCTGGGGATCTGCTCTGGATAAAACTTCCTGAAGATGCTTGGACTTCATTATCACCTAAGAAGACAAATCACACAGACAAGACGACAGCGTGAAAGGTTGGTCACACTGCTGACTTCAAGGGGCCCAAGGTGCACAAGAGTCCTCAGTGCCTCTTGGAGGGATCAAGCACTCATTGGGGGAGAAAAGTCCTCACTATCAGAAGAGAAGGCAGCTCATTCAGAGCAGGACTAGGGAGAGGAAAAGACAGCCTGGGTAGCAAGACAGGTGCCAGAAAGGCAGGGCCCAGCCAAGAGTGAGATCTTCATCCTGCCTGGCAAACGTGCCTAATGGCACATGCCTTTAATCCTAGGAGGCAGAGGCATGCAGATCTCTGAGTTCAAGGCCAGCATGGTCTATAAAGTGAGTTCCAGGACAGCCAGGGATACAGAGCGATACCTTGAAACACTCCCTACCCCATCCCACCCCCCAAAACAACACTAAGTCCTGGACAGCTCATGATGGTTTCAGCTCCCCAATCTGCATTACTTGGCAGTAAGGAATATGTAAGTTACAGATGTGTGTAAAGTAGGCCTGAATTCAAAGCCTTGCCCCACCTCTTACCAGTTAGCTACTCTTTTAGTTGCCTCAGCTGTCAACTGGACAGGGTGCTACTACAGTCCTAGAACCAAGAACCAAGAAAGTACCCACTGACCCCAAAAGCAGCTACTATTCCACAGATATGTATTGTCATGGCCTAAGCAGGAGCTTTGAAGATATCAGATGCTTCAGGACAATGATGGGGGCTTTTCAAACTTCCAGCTTTTCTCAGTGGTCACACAGATGGAGTGGCGAGACTAGTCATCACTCACAGGCACAAGGGTGAGACCTTACCTCATAGTTGCTGGCCAGGAAGGGGAACTGCTTGGGCTGCAGGAACTGTGTCTTGGGGATGTCCAGGCCATCCTCCCCATATAGGAACTGTACCACGCTGCCGTCGCTATCACGGACTGTCAGATCATACTGGATGACCAGCCCTTCCAGGTGCTTGATGATACACCTGTGAAGAAACACCCCGTTCAGTGTCCACAGAGCAAACACCCCCAGGAGGCCCGAGAGGACCTGGTGACAGTAAAGGGGAAAAAAGGGGACTGCTGTACCAGATAAACACAACTCTAGGATGGACCACTTCCAATGCCCTGGGATCTAACATCCCTCAGCGAGAAGCTACATTTCCTGCCAGTTTTCCAGTGGTCTGGCTGCCACACTCCCAGAGCGAGGCTCCCATCAAGCCCAGCTGCTGGGGCTGTCCTTCACCCTTTCACTCTTCTGTATCTCAGAGCTCTAAGGGCATCCTTGGAATCACAGGCAGCCAAAGCAAAGAGAGATCAGTGTAGAGCTGACCAAGAAAACAAGGGGCATCATAAGAACTAAATGCTGACAAGATGTCCTTAATCTGAAAGCCTTCATCTTCAGTCCTCTCGTAGCGACTGGCTTTTTTTTTTTTTTTTTTTTTTACCTGCTTTTGCTTTCTGTCCTGGTCACAACTCAATGTCTGTTGCAGTTTCCCAAGACCCTGTTTGCTCTCCTCTGGCATTCAACCCAAGCTGGAAGGGTAGAGGTCAGTTCTGGCCACCAGTTTTCATGCTTGACTCAGAGCCTAGCAAGGTGGTGCCAAACACCAGCTTTCCCTTTACTACCCATGGCGGTGGTGTCGGTCTTTGGCCCTCTGCTATGCTGGCCTCACAGGTCCCAGCAGCTGCCCCTTGTGCCACATCTCTAGACTTCTTTCCTGAGCTCCAGGCCTATTGACATGCCTGCTTGGGATCTCCTGCTGCCACACCACAGGCAGCCATATTCCCCTCTCTGCAACAGCGCTCTTTCTACTTCCTATTAACTTAGATCTGCACTGCCTCTCGGGCCTAAACACTTCAGCAAGCAGTTCTGTGTCTTCCCGACTATCCCCGCCCTGAAGCCTGCCCTGTGCTCCTCATTCCTGAGTTCTCAGGAGCTCTCACTGGCAAGTGAATCCTGTGAGGTTTGCCCCAGTGTGACCTCTGCCCCACCGGCTGCTGCTCTTCTGTTCAGTGAGAAACTCCAACAACCTGCTGTTCCCTCTTCTTTCTATGGGTTCCATGCTGAGATTCTATCACACCCAGGTCTGTACTTCACACATACTGATCATGTACTTCCTGGTTTTTCTTAAACTACACAAGTATTCTTGAGTAATTGAGGGGCGAAGGGCCTCTGCTCATACAAAGGAACTGGTTAGGCGATCCAAGCCCCTGGGAAGAAAGGGGACTGACCTTACTTCCCTGACCCTGCTTGGGCACTGCCAGCCCTGCAGATGGGCATCTTACCAACAGATCACTCAATGTTATTTTTGTCCTCCCTTCTCTAATGCCATTGAGTCAAGGAGGAAGAGATTGGAACAGGGTGTGCACGCTTGAGTTCAGAAACAGAAGAAATGTCAAAGGCATAGAGAGGAAGCCATGAAGGAATTGTGCTGCCTGTTACCCTGCCCAGCAGGGCTCAGCAGAGCAGCTAGAGAAGCATGGGGTCTCCATCCCCTCCCTTCCCATCATTATTCTCAGAAGCATACATTCTTCGAGCTCAGGAAGAACCATGACAAAAGCCTTAGAGGCTGACCATCCCACTCTGCAGTGTGCGGGGGTGGACATGGGGCATGAGAATGCAGGATTTGCTTGCCTGGATGACTGGTCCCTGGAGTTGGGCTTGTCTAGGTTTAAGCTCTATAATCCATCTCCATAACAAGGTACTGACTCCTTTTCTACCAGAAAGGAAAGAAAAGGTCTTGGCTGGGAACCTCCCAGAGAACACCTGTTACTAGAGCACTCTGTACTTATCCCAGATTGCTGAGATTCTCAAACAAAGGACAAGCTACCATTACCACTCAGACATGTCCAACCTTTTGATCTTGCTCATCATATTGCCATCTACAAAGTTCAGCCCTGAGAACTGTGTAACCAGCTTTATATATGCATAGAGAAGCTCATAATGTTTGATGTAAGGTTATAAGTTTATGTTGGCTTGTTTCCACAGATATTTTGAGACACATGCAGCACATAGGTTGGGCACACGTAGAAGACCTGCAGAACACAGGACCTACTGTGTAAACCTCTGAGGGCAAGCTCTACCAGCAATGCAGAAATACTCTGTGCTATTTTCTGTCTCAGGCCACACATGGAGACATTTAAAAGAGATTTTATCATCCAAAGAACCCTTAGTGACACACGACAAGTGCAAGGTCCTGGGATACCAACTCCACCCACCAGAGGCTTCAGGTGCTTTTACCTTTGGAGATAGCCAGATCGGCTGGTTTTGACAGCAGTGTCCACCAGGCCTTCTCGTCCCGCCATGCAGTGAAAGAAGAACTCCTACGGAAATGTGAGAGCCAGGTCTCAAAGGCAGCAGTGAACACCACCCTATGCACCCTCTCCTAGCTATGCAGACTCTTCCTTTCCTAGAGCCTAGAACCCTGGTTTTCATAACCCCAATGGCTCCTAAAGACTTCTGTGGTCCTTGGACATGTGGATCAAAAGCACCAGAAGCCAGAAACCCTATATGTAGTTTGCCATCCTCAAGACACTCCATGCCAGATTTCCAGTGAGAAGAATATCAGTGTCAAATGACATTCTAAAGTCCCATGCTTGATTCTGCAGTTAAGGTGTTTTCCAAACTTCTCTGGTTTTAAGATAAGGACTTCATTTATAGTCCAAACTGACCTTCAATTGTGATCCTCCTGCTTCAGGCTCCTGACTAATTGAGATTACTGTTGTGAGCTGTAGTTGGGATTACACATGTGAGCTATCCCAGCGCAGTGATTTGATACACTAAAGGGTGGAAGTCAGAATTTGAAACATTTTTGTTTATCTCGCTTTTCCAAAATTGACTTCCATCACAAAAATACATTTACAACATCCATCAGCAAATATGCAAACACACACTGAGAGAGAGAGAGAGAGAGAGAGAGAGAGAGAGAGAACGAGAACTCAAGGTAAACTTTTATGGTACTATCTCATCCCTTATTACATGGGACAAACTATTTTCTTTACCACTCTACTCTACTTTATCACATAAAGGGATTGTGAACCCTATCTACTACAATGACAGGGTCTCTTTATTGTGTAACTCTGGCTATTCTGGAACCACTACGTAGAACAGCCTGGCCTCAAACTCAGAATCTGAAATATTCTAGACTACATCAACCCACTATCATCTCTTGCCTATAGGCTACAGATGACCCTGGGAATGCTTGTGTGGGGTCAATGGAGGGGCCTGTGGAGTACTCAGCAGCCTTGGAATAGTTCACTCTAGATTCGGCATCCTTTTAGACATACACAACACCATGGAAACAAGGGACTAACATCCAAAAGGCCATTCCCTTAAAGAATGTGTTTGCTGAAGCAAAATTAGGTACCTGATACAATATCCCACTATTATGAAGTGAGGGGAGGGAATGGGAAATGGGGACTTCATAAAATTAATCTCCACCAGCCGGGCGGTGGTGGCGCACACGCCTTTAATTCCAGCACTTGGGAGGCAGAGGCAGGCGGATCTCTGTGAGTTCGAGACCAGCCTGGTCTACAAGAGCTAGTTCCAGGACAGGCTCCAAAACCACAGAGAAACCCTGTCTCGAAAAAACCAAAAAAAAAAAAAAAAAAAAAAAAAAAATTAATCTCCACCATGTTCCTTTTAGTGACATGAGCACCATGGTGACTGACACTCCTTTTTTCTAGTTGCTTCTGAAGCAGCTAAGAACTGGCTTTGAGAGGCTACATCATAGACAAGGGTGAGGCCAAGATCAATCTTATCTTTTCATTTTCTTTTGAGATAAGGGCTGGCTATGGCTTTGGCTGGACTCAAACATGACAATTCTCCTTCCTTGGGCAAATACTGGGATTACAGCAAGAGCCACCACATCTGGCTCTTTCTTTTCACTTTTGCACTAAACATTTATCACATGCCTACTATGTGCTAGCACCCTGCTAGCTCAAGTATCACAGTGGGGACCACCACGAGATGGCTGTGGTCTTGGAACCTGTGGTCTAGCCTTTAACACTTTCCACTTGATTGTTCTTGTGGTGTTGTTGTCCCATGGCCTCACCACTACTAGGTCTAAAACTGAGAGAAAAATACTAAAAATACCACATACAGGAGGCCTGATACCAGTAAGGAACCTTCCAGTGACGAAGCCACCAGCCCTGGGGGTGAACTCGTAAGGCTCGAAGCAGGGTAGTGACTTGCCAGATGCCATCAAAGGGGGTCTCCGACCTTCCAACTCAATCTGGCCCAGCAGGCAAGAGATCTGGGGGAAGGAAACACAAAAGACACGCAAGGTTTCTGTGAGTGCTAAACAATGCTTTATCTGAAAACACTTCCAGCTTTCTTTCATGAGAGCATTCAGGAAGAGATCTAGAAGGCCAACCTAGTTGTTGTAACAAGTCATGGAAGCACATTTCCGGAAAAAGTTGGCTCTGGCTTACTTTTTACTTTTGGGGACAGTTGAGAACAAGTGATGTTTAGAAAAGAAGCTAAGACTTAGAATCATATTATACCTGGAAGGACCTTGAAGTTTTATCCTGGTTGGTTTTTAAATAACTTTACACAAGCTAGAATTACCTGGGTAAAGAAACCTCAGTTGAGAGAATGTCTCCATCAGGTTGTCTGGAAACAAGCCTATAGTGTAGTTTCTTTGTTAATGATTAATGTGGGTGGGCCCAGCTCACTGGGGGCAGGTTATCCTGAGCTGTAAAAGACAGCAGACTGAGCAAGCCATGGGGGACGAGTTGGTAAGCAGTATTCCTCTGTGGTTTCTGGTCCAGGTCCTGCCTTGAGTTTCTACTCTAATTTCCCTTAACCATGGAGTATGTCCTGAAAGTTGTAAGATGAAATAAACCCCTCCCCACATTGCTTTATCACAGCAATATAAACCCTAACTAAGAAAAGTTCCAATGGAGAAATGGAAATCCACAGGAAAAACTAATCCTAGAGCCAGTCAATGCACTCATGTGGGTGCTTAGGAAACGGCATGTGAAGACTCCTGGGCGGGGAGGCAATGTATCTATATTTCCTCTTGGTTAGTGGGCTTTTGGCAGGATGTTCAGTCTTTAAGCCCACTCTGTGTCGTGGTGCTACCTACAATGGAACATGCCCCTTAAGAGCCTCTCAAAGTCATCAGGATTGAAAAACAAAAAAATCCACATCACAACAGGTACTAAGAATTCTGAAAATGACTCCATAGCACCAGGGAACTCTGGGAAGACAATGAGGCTCAAGAGGTAAATGATCCTTAGACGAATGCTTACAATGCAATAGTAAATGAAAAAAGTGGAGCATGCAACATCATAAGGTTCTGCGTGTGTGGTGAGTGACAGTGTGAAATCATGTATTACTTGTTGAAGGCTAGAGGTTGGCACTGGCTGCTCCCTTAATCTCTTGTCACCTTTATGTTTAAAACAGGGTCTTTCACTGAACTTCAGACTAATCAATTTGGTTAGGCTGGCTGGCCAAAGAACCTCAGGGATCTGCCCCCACCCGCAAGAAGGGGATTACAGGCATCTTTTACTATATCCAGCTTTCTATGTGAGTTCTACAGATCTGAACTCAGGTCTTTGGGCTTATGAAGTGGACACTTTATTGACTGAGTCATCTCCTTATTTCAACATCAAGATCTATACTGAAATTTTACAGAGACACGGTGTGTAGATACAACATGAATATACACAGCACAATGCCTGCTGTTATAATACATTTCCATGTGGTATATAACTTGCTATTTCTATCAGCTCTGCCTACAGCACTGACACTGGATAACACCTGCACTGGTTTCTATATGCTTTAGTGTTTTTCAGTCTTCTCAAATCTGTTTTATGTGAATTGAAGATGTTTTAAAATCAGAAATGAATGAGAAAGCTGACTCCTGACAGCAGCCCACCCCTCTGGCACACTGAATAAGGTACTTTTGTTCATACTTGCATTGTGTTCACGGTTGACCCTTTGGCTCCCGACTGCACCATCATCTGCAGGTTGTTCTCAGGGAACTGTCTGTGCAAACCGAAAGGCATACATGCCTGTGGGTTAAATCAACACACAGGTCAGTTCAGAAGGCAAAATTATGACACAGAAACAATAAAGCCAGAGAGAGACTTTATCTATGGCCAAGGGCTAAATTGCATTAAAGACAAAGGAAAGCCTAATCTGGCACTATTCTTCCACTAAAATGTCAAATGGGTGCCTGCCCTCTGCTATGCTCAAAAGAACCAAGTTTCATTAACTGGCTAAATGGCAGCAAAAAGGGAAACAAAAAGCTGAGAAGCAGGGTGGGGCTGGCAAATCCACTCTGTGATTCTGACAAGGAGCTGGATGTGGTGGTTTGAATAAGGATGGCCCCAGAGACTTATTCACTTATTTGAATGCTTAGTCATTAGGAAGTGGCACTATTTGAGAGGATTAGAAGGATTAGGAAGTATGTCACTGCCCTCCTCCCCCACCCATCAAGAAGTAGAACTCACTCAGCTACTTCTCTGGCAACATGTCTGTCTGTGTGCTGTGATGTTCCCCACTGTGATAATAATAACTAACCACCGAAATTGTAAGCAAGTCCACAATTAAATGTTTTCCTTTATAAGAGTTGCTTTGGGGGCTGGAGAGATGGCTCAGAGGTTAAGAGCACTGCCTGCTCTTCCAAAGGTCCTGAGTTCAATTCCCAGCAACCACATGGTGGCTCACAACCATCTGTAATGAGATCTGGCACTTTCTTCTGGCCTGCAGGCACACATGCAGATAGAATACCGAGAATACTGTCTACATAATAAATAAATTAAAAAGAGTTGCCTTGGTCATGATGTCTCTTCACAGCAATAGAACAGTGACAAGATAATAGGTAAGAATAAAGTCTAAGCCTGCCTTGGTGGCGTATGCCTTTAATCCCACACTCAGGAGGCAGAAGCCTGGTCTACAGGTAAGTCTGGACAGCCAGGACTACATAGAAAAAACCCTTTTTTGGTTAAAAAAAAAAAAAAGCAAAAAAATAAATAAAATCTAAGATGAGGTCCTGATGAAGCAGGCCAGAAAAGCTCAGCCTAGATGCCCAGAGCTAGTGCACCACAATGTCCACACTTGCCAGCAAGCTCAGGAGAAGTAGGAAGCCCCACCAGGAGATCCTGAGGGACAACGGCATGGGGGCATGGGTTCTGCCTGGAGATCCAGACACCCTATTCAACACAGAAGGGGCAGAGCCTGGGTTGGAAGAGGGCAGGAAGTGGGAGCTGTGCTCTGTCAGTGCTGGTGGACAAGATCCCCACCTTCCCATGCAGTGCTAGAAGGCTCTCCGAATAAAACCGTCTATTGAGGAGCGCTATCTTCTAGGCCACCAATCGAATGCTGATAGGCAGGAAGGGGACCCACAGACAAACTCTGATGTTGTCCTTTCTTTCCTCAGGCTGGGCCCCAGGGTTGATCAGGCAGAGTGAAAGGTAGGCTGGCTTCTCCTAACCACAGGGTAGGGAGTTCAGGCTCTGGGGTAGGAGCACAGGGAGAAGCAAGCTGTGATCTTGACTTAGGCAGATTCCCCTCTCCTTCTGAACTGCACAGGCTGGGCTTGGCATTGTCTGCAAGCGCTGTGAACCAGTGCTCCCCACATGCCTGCTTCTAGGCAGGAACAACTCGGAGCCCAGGCACATTACTTATGGAAAGAAGTTCCCACAGCAAGTACAAAGCACAGCATGAACTTGAAGCCAGGCATTCACCCCAGCTCTGCGGCATAAGTAGCAGTGGCTTCTGCCCCTTCGTTCTGTTCACCCATTTACAGTGCTGGGGTTCTACTGTGCAGCTTCTTTCTTCAGTCCCATTTAATGCAGCAACTCCAAAGTAAACACATTTAGAAATGTGGTACAAACTGTTCCCTTTTTAGCAGGAACCTAGGGCCTTCCCAGACTCTCATGGAGAGAACGAGACCCGGAGCTCTTCATAAAGATGCAGTCTACCTACCCAACTTCCAACCTCACCTACTCTCAAGGGCCCAGAGTGAAAATCAAAATGTAACTAAAAACAAATCAACAAAAATCAGTATTCAAAAAGATGGGGATTTCTACAATGTATGTCTAGGCTAACCTTGTTGATCTCATTGCTGTAATGGTTCACTTCCTCCTTGAACTTCATATCAATCATATTAAAATCCCTCTGGTCTTTCCCCAGATGGGCATCCTGCCATTTCCCTTGGATCTCATCACATGATGCAGCTTCTGGCAGGTTCAATGCAGCTCTGACAGCCTAGAATGAAGAAAGGAACAGAAGATGGTAGCTAAAAGAGGGTGTGGTTTCTATCTGTGAGATGAGTGGCCCCTGGACAGCAGGTCAGCCTCCCAATCCTCTTCTTTACCCGGGGCCCACACTGGGTGGATTCTTCAATGATGCGCTGTCTCTTCATGTCTGCATCTGGCTTAACCAAAATGTCTTCTACACCTGCAAAGTCAAACAGATAAATTCAACAGGGCCCAGGCCTAATGTCTCACAGGCTTGTGAACTTGGTGATACTCAGAGCCAAAGCTGAGAGTCACAGACACAGGAAGATCTGGAAGAGTGATGTTCACATCAGTGCATGCATAAGAAGGTCTAAACATTTCATAAGAGATAAAATTAAGGCTTAAAATTGAGGTATGTAGGTAGGAAGTAAGCCTAGGCTTGAGCTACACTCTGCTGGCTACATCCAATAAATCTGTTTGGGGTGAAAAGGCTAGAGATTTTGGTTAAAAAGCTGTTCAGTGGTGGAAGAGAGGCAGTGAGTATCCCAGGAGCCCTATGTGCAGGTCACACCATGTCAAGTGTGGGCAACAGTGGTCCTCAGCACTGCCTCAGAAGAGTAGAAGACCTGCATCCATTAAGTAAAGCCCATCCTTTGGCCCAAAAGATTGAAGAACAGCTCACCCTAAACAGTAATTTCCTTTCAACCCAACAATATTTTGTTTCCACCTGTGAATGGCATAGACTTAAGAATACCTTATCCAAGGTTTGATTGGGAAGGCAACAACTGACGATTTAAAAACTAGAGCAAACATCTGGAATCCCAGTACAATAGCATGGAAACTGGAGACTACATGTGAGCACAAAGAAGAAGAAAAGATTCCTCTGTGTGGAAGCCAAAACCACAAATGCAGGCCCTGCTACAAGGACACATCCAGGCCATCCTTGTAATGATGACCTCTGTCTAAACAGAGCTGGAATGAGGTTGGCCAGCTTTCTCCCAAAGCTCCACTTGCTCCTAGCTTGGCTTTGTTTCCTCTGTCAGCTTTATGGCATATGGATCATCGATGCACTTGAGCCATTCAGGTTTGTACCATGTGCTCAGAATGCTACAAGCATGACAGTTGCTTAGGTCTGGTCTTTGCTTCTGAGTTGGGTGTAGGAGCATTTTCCATCATAAAGGGTGAGGTGAAGAAAGGAGCAGGATAGGAGGAGATGGGAAGAGTTGCTCTGTGCCGTGGCAGGGAAAGGGACAGTAGCTGCAGAAAGTCAGATAGATAGCACTGAAGGGAAGAGCCTAAACATCCACCAAGAAAATGATCTAGATGCCATCCGCAGGGTCTGCAGAGCCAGGGTCACGAGCCTAGTACTCACCCAAGGTGAAACCTCTATAGAGCTGCAGGTAGGCAGTGAAGAGGCGGGCTAGGCAGGTGAGAACCCTGCCGCTGGTCTCACCCCCATAGATCTCATAGCAGCAGTGGACCAGGCCATAGGCAGAGCTCCCGTAGTGTGCCTTGTCCAGCACTCCACAGAGCAGCTCCCCTTCCCTGATGATCACCTGTGCAGGGAAGGGTTACTAATGTCAGGTTGCAGGGGACATCTCTTGGAAGAGCCACCCACACAAGTCAAGAATTATTAGCTTTATTGTGCATGTCCCTCTACTGTGGCCTGCCTCAAATCCTTCAGGGAAAAAAGGAGGGATTATGTGAAACTAACACATACTTTAAATAAGGGAGATGAACACACACTGGCTAAGTTTTTAATTGCACACATTAAGTTGTTGATCTATTCAGGGAAAAGCAATAGCTGCTCCAGGTCTGCACAGGACGTCTGTCAGTCCTGCTACAGGACAGGGGATGAGCTTCATGGGTACAGTTCACGCTAAGCAATCAGGGACCCTAGGTTCAATACTCAAAACCACAGAAAAAAGAAAGCAAGAGGGAAGAGGGAGGGACGGAGGAAAGCAGGCCCTGTTAAAAATACACAGCCAGCTGCACACTTGAGATGCTTGCTCACGAAGAACATAGGGGCCTTGGAAATCTTTGGGGTGGGAGTATTCTCATAGCAGCAAAGCACTGGCCTTCCCCAAGCCTGGTTCCATGTTTAGAGCAAGGATTTGGAGACCTCATAGCAATTTGGTGAACTCAAGGCACCAGAGGCCTTGAAGAAAACATGGGCTCTACACTGTAAGCACTGCAGAATCAGCACCAGCTTCTGGGAAGCCTTCCCAAAACAACAGCAGTTTCATATGAGAGCCAGAGGGCAGAGAACAACCCTCTCCACTCACCCCTAAACAAAAGTGGATACCACCTTGGACAAAACTCATCTTCTGAGGCACAGCATCAGTTTCTGGATTCATTTTAAATCAACCTGCCTACCACCAGAAACAGAAAACAACTTTACAAAGAGCAGCCATACCTGAGACTCACACATGGAGTCAGGGTCAAAGTCAGGGACAGGCCGTGGAGTTTCCTTCACCCAGGCTTTACTGCCAATTTTTGCCTTTCCAGATAAGTTCAGGGGGATGTAGTCCTCTGGGATTATGTTTATGAGCAGGGTTGACACAACCTGGAGGAAAGGGGACAATATGATGGAAGGGGAAGAGTTAATTGCTCTTTTAGGACCATCTGCCTCATGATGCCATCTCTCAGGCTTTCAAGGCTCAGTAAGGTGATCAGGTCCTCTGAAAGACAAGCCCATCAAAAATACACTAAAACTTCATTAGGATTTTTATTCCCTAAATACTTCAACCTAAAGTGAGCATCTCTGAGAATTGCATTAAATTTCTGAACAGGCCAAAGGAAGGATAATTGTTTTGGGGTCAAAATAAGTATTTGGTAATGTGGTAAAATAACAAAGGCGAAGCTTTCGTGACGTTGAGAGAGATGGGGAGGCTCCTAACACTCGTCACCTGCCAGAAAAGACACGCTCCTCAGCTGTCCTGCAACAGAGACCATTATTCCTGTGTTTAGTAACTTCCTCCCTGCACAAGACTTGGCTTCTCAAGGCAGGGACATAACGGCGAAGAACTGACTAAGGAGCATTCCTTGGGAGGCCTGAAATGTCTAACTGAGACGTTTCAGTTAGACTGGCTGCAGAGTGGGGCACACCAGGGATTGGGGTGCCCTGGTATCAGTCATGCAATGAGGACACCTTCTGATTGAGCATTGTTTATTCATAGTCTTTAGACAAGCTAAATCTACTCATTTGGCAATTACCCATCAAATGCTATGAGCCAGGCACTGCGGACAGAGCCTTGACTCCCTAAGGATTCATGCTCTAGAGGAAGGTAGGACAAGGAAAGGTAACTCAGAGCAAGAGTGAGAAGGCACCAGGGCTTTAAATAAGCCAGGGAAGGCTTCAGCCAGCAGTGGTGAAATCCAGAGCAGTCAGGGACAGGATCATGTGTTTGCGGGCAAGGGGCAGGAAGAGTAGGTGGAAAGGCTTAGCCTGAGTGAGAAGGAGAGTATCTGGTAGGTATTGATGTGTTCTGCCTTGGCCAATTAGGGATACTATCCCCAATACCCTAACCTGCAAAGAGTGGGAATAGGAATTTATTTCTATGGTTATGGGAGCGGAGAAGGACAAAATGAGGCAGACTCAGAGTCTGGGAAGAGTCATGCTTTCTAGTTCATAAACAGAGATTTCTTAAGCTGTCTTGGCTTGGTGGAAAGAGTGTTTAGAAGACTTACAAGGGTGCTAATCCCATTCATTCTGCTCCCGTGACCTAAACATCTCCCAAGGCCTCATTCTGCAATACTATCCCAGGGGTGGGGAGTAGAGTGAGGGTTGTGAACAGGAATCTTGAGAAATAAATATTCAGACGAGAGCATGCTCTTATTAACTCCCGACAGGACCATTTACTGTAAATACATTCCAGGTCTACACTCTGAACAAAGTAAATGCCTTAGTGAACAGGTGTCACACTGATAAGACTGCTAAGCCCATAACCTGATTTGCCAATCAGCTTTTAGAACACTAAATGCTACATCAAGAATTAATTTTACTACAGAAAGGCCAGGGTGTCTTCCCAGAATCAACCAAAAAGATTATCACTTGGTAAACAGTCGCTGATAGAAGGCCAGGAGAGGCACTTTCTCAAGCTGGTGTTCTACAGAGGAAGGCAGGTGTCTCTAGGGACAAACAATGGACTAGCTTAGGAGGGCTGCCAAGCACATCCCCACAGAGGGAGCAGGCTGGGGGAAAACAGTCAGGTATTGTAGGCAAGGGGTTGGAGAGGTAGCTCAGTGGTTGAGAGCACTGACTGCTCTTAAAGGGGATGTAGGTTCAATTTCTAGGACCTACATGGCAGCTAACTGCCTATAACTTCAGTTCCGGGGATCTGATGGCCTCTTCTGGCTTCTGCAGGCACTGCATACACATGGTGCACAGATACACATGCAAACAAAATACCTGTGCACATATAAGTAAAAGAAAGAAAAATAAAGAAAGCAGATAACTCTGTTTCTGGAGCAGAAGGCTCACTCTCCCCCACACCTCAGCTCTACAGGCTAGGGTGAGGCGAGTGTGGGGTAAGAGTCGGGGCAAGAGGTGAGGCTTCCCTGGGCTGCTTACCACAAGCTACACCTTTAGCAAAACAACATATGGCTAGTGGGGGCTGCCAGGTTGGACACCGTCAAGACCAGAATTTGGTGTACGGTAACACACATAGGTAACCATTCACACACAGAGAAATAAGGCCTGCTATCTCACCCAAGAGAACATCTGACAGTGAAGAAAATGCCACAGACTAAAGACTGGAATAAATACCAACAGCCTGGGAAAGAAGCAGCATTTATGCAAAAGCACTGCTAACATACTCAGTAAAAGTCTGTGTGTTCTTGAGGAAAATCAGGGGCAGGACAAGGATGCCTACTCTTGTCGTTTCTGCTAAGCAGTGTCCTAGAGGTTCTTGCTGAGACGGTCAGGTAAGAAAAAAGACAACATGCACTCAGATTGGAGAGGAAAGAGGAAAATCATGGTATACAGAAGATGTTCTTAAGCATTCCACAAAAATTATCATCAGAGCTAGTATATGACTCTGAAGCTGAAGGGGATCAACTTACAGGAGCAATAATGCCACCATCTGTTGGCAACCAACAGTCTAAAAACTAACAACAAAACCCACATATAAACACTAAAACGAATCAAGTACTTCAGGAATAAATTTAAGCCAAGAAGGGCCAGCAGGATGCCTCAGCAGCTAAAGGGTGCTTGTGCTAAACTTGAAGATCTGAGCTTGATCTCAAGGACTCGCACGGTAGAAGAGAACGGACTCCTGCAAGCTGTGCTTCGACCATGACACACATACACAAACCCTAAAAACAGTAAAAACAAAACAAAAAAAGAAAAAAGGAAGAAACAAAAAGAAAGAATAAAAGAAAAATTTGAACCACACATGGGCAAGTGGCTGAGGGGATAAGAGCACTGGCTGTTCTTGCAGAGGCCCCAGGTTAGTTAGTTCCTAGCACCCCATCAGGCAGCTCTCGACTGCCTATGAGTCTAGTTCCAGGGGATCTGATACCTTCTTCTTGTCTCCGTGGGTGGCTGAATGTATGTGCTGCACAGACAGACCAACAAGCACAAAACACTTACACAATAAAGATGACAGCACAGCTGAGAGGAGTGAAAAGGGCCAGCTGACCCTAAAATTCGTGGGAATGCAAAGGATCTCTTGGTCAAAGCAATCTCAAAACAGAAGAACAGAGCTGGAAGACTTTCATTCTGATTTTAAACCTCACTAAGAAGCTATAGAAACCAAGGCAGAATGGCCCCGGCATTATGATACACACTAACAAAAGGAATATAAATGAGTCAGGAAGAAATATCTGCAAGTAATTGCTTTTAGATCTAGTGTTGAGGACATTCAATGGAAAAGATCAATACTATCAGCAACTGTGCTGACAAAAAAGCACACACACACAGACACATATATATCCAAGAACCAATTTTGAACCCCATCTTATACCACAAAAGTTAACCCAAAATGGACCCAAGACCTAAATGTATAGCTAAACCAATAAGATGATTAGCCATCACAAGAGGAGCACAAGCGACAACACAAACACCTGGTAAATTGGACTTTATCTAAATTTAAAACTTCTGTCAGTTGAATGACAAGAAAATAGAAAAATATTTCATACAATAAGAAAAAATTTTATAAACCACATATATGGTGTAATGCTAATGGCCAGAAAATATAAAAATTCTTATGACTCAATAAAAAGACAAGTACCATAGTAAATGGGCAAATAACTTGAACAGACATTTGTCTAAAAGACATTTGTCTAATCTATTGACATTGCTGGGACAAATATAAACTATGTCAACTTCAAAAAACAGCTTGGGTGTTCCTCAAAAAATTACAGAATTACAGTATGACTCTATTACTATAGCATACATACAGAATTATAGTATGATTCAAATAAGAACTGAAAACACATGCTTACAAGGGGAGCAGGTAGAAGAGTTCATGGCAGCTTTACTTGTAATATTCAAGTGGAAACAACCCTAAATATCCATTCTTAACTGAAAATGAATAAACAAAATGTAGTATGTCCACATGACAGCATGTTCTTCAGCCACAAAAACAGTGAGTAATACACGTTAGCCTTCAGAACATTATACTAAATCAAAGAAGCGTGTCACAAAGTCTCACTGTAGATTTAGATGAAATGTACAAATCAGGCAAAGTCACAGAGACTAGGAGTTGAGGGGAGGAAGTGGGACTGATCACTAATGTTCACTAATAGATAACAGAATTTCTTTGTAGGGTGAGAGCAATATTCTAGAATTAATTCTTAAAAGTTGTCCTCTGCACTTACGGAAATGTTCAACATCCTTAGCCATCAGAGAAATGCAAATCAAAACAAATATGAGATTCCATCTTACAACTGTAAGAATGGCCAAGATCAAAAACACTGATGACAACTTATGTTGGAGAGGATGTGGGGTAAAGGGAACACTTCTGCATTGCTGGTGGGGGTGCAAACTGGTACAGCCCCTTTGGATATCAGTATGGTGATTTCTCAGAAAACTAGAAAACAACCTTCCTCAAGACCCAATAATACCATTTTTGGGTATATACCCAAAGGATGCTCAATATTACTACAAGGACATGTGCTCAACTATGTTAATAGCAGCATTATTTATCATAGCCAGAACCTGGAAACAACCTAAATGCCCCTCGACCAAAGACTGGATAAGGAAAATGTGGTACATTTACACAATGGAGTACTACACAGCGGAATAAAACAATGACATCTTGAGATTTGCAGGCAAATGGATGGGTCTAGAAAACATAATACTGAATGAGGTAACTCAGACCCAGAAAGACAAACATCATATGTATTCACTCATAAGTAGCTTTTAGACATAAAGCAAAGAAAACCAGGCTACAAATCATAATCTCAGAGAACCTAGACAACAAAGAGGACCCTAAGAGAGACATACATGGATCTAATCTACATGCAAAGTAGAGAAAGACAAGATCTCCTGAGTAAATTAGGAGCATGGAGACCATGGGAGAGGGGAGGGGAGAGGAAGGAAAGGGAGCAGAGAAAAATGTATAGCTTAATAAAATCAACTAAAAAAAAAAGTAAAAAAAAAGTTGTCCTCTGACTTCCACATGAGCGACACACACACACAAACAATACAGTAAAACAAATTTGTGATTTGCAATGGTGAATCTTCATTGTCAACTTGATGGGATTTAGAATCACCATAGGAACACAACTCTGCGTGTGTCTGTGTATTTCTAGAAAAGTTTAATTGAAGAGACCCACTCCTGGATGTGGCTGGCACCACCCAAGGGAGAGCTGAGCACCAGGGTTCATGTCTCCATGCTTCTTGACTGTGCATGCAATGTGACAGCTGACTCCTGGCCACCAACCTTTCCTGCCATGTCAGGTATTCAGTTACAGCAATGAGAAAAGTAATAGCTGTTCTAAACAAAATATTAGCAAGTCAAATTCAACAGCTGCAATGATGATTTAGATATGAACTATTCTTTCAAAATTCCCCTTGTGGTGAAGGTTCTGCCCCCAGCTGGTGGGACTACTGAGAGATGGCTGCACCTTGAAAGTGCTAACTCCATCAAATGGGCCAATCCACTGAGTTTACTGGATCTGCTGATGTAGTAGAAGGCATAGAGTAGAAGGCCTGGAGCACAGCCCTGAAGGGCCTCTCTTCCATGCTTCTTCTTGGTTCTTTTTCTGTCTACTGTCCCTCTACTATACCCTTAACGTTCTGATTCACCAAACAAAGGTCTGGAAGCAACAGAGTCAAGTGACCAAAACTGAAAGCTCTGAAACTGAGCTACAGTAAACTCTTCCTCATATAAAGGGCTTTGTTACTGCAACAAAATGGAGACATAATCATTCATAAAATAGTCATGGTGTTTTAAGACTTTTATAGACTAAGCTGGCAGTGGTGGCACAGGTCTTTAATCCCAGCACTTGGGAGGCTAAGGTAGGTGGATCTCTGAGTTTGAGGCCAGCCTGGTCTACAAAGTGAGTTCTAGGATAGCCAGGGTTACACAGAAAAACCCTGTCTTGAAAAGAAAAACAAAAAAACAAAAACCAAGACACTTTCACAGACTTAAAGAATTATAGAGCTGGAGGAGGCCACAGAGATTTTTTTCAAATCCACTTTTTATGGGTAAAAAGTCAAGACTCTAGAAGTTGATCCTTGAAGCTGAACTTAGAGGCCCAGGCAACAGTAGAAGAATATACTGTAGTGTATTTCATCATTTGGTTTCCATGTATACTATTATATGTTTGCTTTGGGCATTAAAAATCCTGAGTTTGAATTCCAATTCTTCCTCTAATAACCCCGAACATGTAATTTAACATTAGTCTCAGCATTATCATCTGTTAAAGAGAGAAAGCTAGATTTAAACACTAAAAAAATCAGGTGTCAATGAACTCAGCAAAGCCTTTGGTTATTTCTCAATGAACCTTAATACTAGAACTGTAACACCATTGGCATTTGCACTGCATCTGAATTAGGGGACACCAACTTCATGTTAAAATCAATAAACAGGAACCATGCAACCTGCTCTTAGAATCACCTTGAGTTTTCCCAGACCTTGGAGCCCCACGCAAAGGGAAGGATTAGAGACTTTGTTGTCTCTGCTCTAGGATCTCTTGGAATTGAAACTGTTATATGAGTGGCTTATTTCCTTTTAAAATATACACTGGCTGCTTTCTCCCAATTACCTGCTTTCCTGTCCACAGTGGGTAGGGCTTCAGGATGGCAGGAGCAAAGAGCTTCACACGTCCCACTTTGTCTGTGAGCCCTCGGTACACCAGCTCCATGTACTGCTCCCGGGTGAAAAAGCATCCCCGAATGGTCATGTTTGCACCTGAAACCATGTGATCTTGAATCAGTCCTGCCAATGGCTGGCCATCCTGAAAATCAAAGAGAAAAGAACAAAGCCAAACTTCAAGTCACAGTCTCCAATTTGTAACCATGTTCTTGGAAGTCACTTTGATCAAGAGCTTTCATATAAAGGCCAGACTATCCACCCCATGCTCTCCCTTAGAAACAGGCCTCACAATCACATGACCAGGAGTTACACTCGCCTCAACTTTTGCCAGCCGCCTACTGTCTTATGGCAAAAGTATTTCAAGCTCATTTAGTTCCACAAGCCGTCCTTTTCCTATGACCATCTGGTTCTGGTTACTCAGCAGATTTCTGGCATTTATGCAGAAGTTTGGTCTGGCTGCTGTCAGTCGTGTTCTTGTTTTTTGTAGTTTGGTTTTATGCTTTTGCGTTTTCACACATTTCTGGCCTTGTTCTTCTGTAAATCAGTCATCCATTTAACAAATATTTATTGAGAGCCTACTGTATGCCTAGGCATTAGGCGGATCATCAGACTATTTCAGGAAAAGACAGATAGTAAACAAATGCTGAGACGAGTACATGACCACAAAGTGTTTTAAATGTCACAGAAGAGCAGCACCGAATGGGCCATTTACAGACTGGGGAGGGGTGGCCAGACCCCATCTCTCTGGGAGAAGCGCTGCAGCTGAAGTCTTAGGAATGACTTGCTCTTTTTGAGACAGGGTCTCACTATGTACCTCTGGCTGTCTGGAACTCATTAAGTAGACAAGGCTGGCCTTGAATGCAGAGATCTGCCTGACTCTGCCTCCTGAGTGCTGTGACTAAAGGTGCGGGACACCACAGCCTGGGCTCAGGATTCCTGAGAGGATCTTGATGTATTCGACTACACGGAGAAAGAACGTCCTTGACTAGTGTGTCTTCAGAATACAGCATGTGGTTTAGGTAAGTTCTCACGAAGGTACTACCTACCTAAGGCCAAAACATGGGATTTTATTAAAACCCCAGGTTCAGAGGGCACATTAAATTCGTTTGACATTTTCTGTCGTTGCAATACCCAGTCTCCTGGACCTTATCTGCCAGGTCTGTGTTCATGGTAACATAGGCAAACGGAAGTAAAAATAGCACACTGACTGATATTCTGTAAGTAGTTTCTGAAAACTTTTCAATGTTTACAGGAATCTGAGGAAAAACTGATACTAGAGCTCAAAGAGCATTATCAGCTGTCATATTATGGCCATGTTTCATAACCAAGGGCTTGGCTTGGGACCTCACAGCACAGTTGTTGGAAGAGCCGGAATGTGAACACATGTACTAATTCAAAGACTGAGGATTCTTGTCAAATGGTCTAAACACTGTAACGACGGGTCTATGAAAGCTCATATAGTCATTAGAGATGGGCTAAAAAGAGGTGCCATAAACATACGCCAGGACAGATGGACTGTGCAGCCTTTCTAATGAAGGCTTTGAGTTACTAACACAAATAAAAACTATCTTCCCTAGTGACACTGGGGAAATCCACTGCATTCCAGGGCCAGCCCCTTGTCCAGAAGTAGCTGGCCAATATAAAACAGATTGCATGCATTTTTGTGTGTGTGCTTTTGTTTTGTTATATTCTGTATTATTGATTTTTTTTAGTTTTAATTTTTGTTCCTATTTTTTTAAAGAACATGATGAAAAATACTGTATGAAAAAGGTTTAAATAAAAAGTTAAATAAAAAAATCTTAATCCACATTTTAATCCAAAAATGATCTTATTTTTCTTAGAAGAAAAATCCAAGCTAGGGGCTGGAGAGATGGCTCAGAGGTTGAGAGAACTGACTGCTGTTCTGGAGGTCCTGAGTTCAATTCCCAGCAACCACATGATGGCTCACACCCATCGATAATGAGATCTGGTGCCCAGAACACTATATACATAATAAATAAAAAAATTAAAAAAAATTCCAAGCTATGCATTGATCTATCCCACAAACTACAGTGAAGGGACTTTATCCCAGTCTCTTGGAGCAGATACTACAGAATTTCCACTCTTTAGGAAAAGCAATAATTACTTATATGACATACCTGGTGCCTTTTTTTTCTATATAGATTTTTCCAGGACTAGAAAATTCCTTAAAGAGCTAAATTGCTTTCAATGCATTAATCATGGACTCTAGGGAAAAATGCTAATTAATTTGATTATTAAGGAACTACTTATAATTTTGAATTTCCTAAAAAACTTTTTAGGGTTGGAAAGCACAATTCTGAATTAAAGCCCCAGAAAACTGTCAGTGCTGCTACTATCTAACATTCCAGCAAGATGACATTAATATTAATATCTTTGGTTAGTATGCTAAGAAAATAGTGTGTTTTATATCTTGAATTTTATAGTTAAGTAAAAGTCAGGAAACTGCATCTTAAGTTTTGTTAAGAAATTTCCACAAAGCTTTGGCCCTTGGAAAACAAAGGAAACAGAAGGGGAATATTATTCAAACAGATAAATGAAAAATTAGGTTCTTTTCTTTCTTTTTTTTTTTTAAAGTTAAAGTTCTATTCATCTGAGCTTTTAATTAAGAGGACAACACAAACTACAGTGAAGGGACTTTAACTTGGCCCCACAGTTAGGCAAAGATGCAGAAAAAATGAAGCAATGAACACTGTGAAATGTAAATGAAAGGAAGGAAAACGACCAAAGAGAGAAAGAAAGAGTCCTAAAACAATGGGTTTTCTGTTTAGCTAAACCAACCCTGACTATTATTACTCTGCCATCAATGATGCTGCATTTTTTACAACCATAAGGATTGTAAAATAAGGATTTCCCTCTCAATATTTATACTAAAGACTAAATAAAACTGATCAAAATCTTAACTATATTGACAAAACAAGCTGGCTGAAAGTAAAGAGAACTTGTAGACAACCTCCAAGGTTCCTTTAATTCAAGGGCTGGGGACATAGCTCAGTGGGGCTGGGGACACAGCTCAGTAGAAGAATGCATGAGTAGCATAAGCAGTGTCCTAGGTTTGGTTTTTGGTATTAAAAACAATTTTTAAAAAAAATTTATTTGGGCTAGGCGGTGGTGGCGCACGCCTTTAATCCCAGCACTCGGGAGGCAGAGGCAGGCGGATCTCTGGGAGTTCGAGGCCAGCCTGGTCTACAAGAGCTAGTTCCGGGACAGGCTCCAAAGCTACAGAGAAACCCTGTCTCGAAAAACCAAAAAAAAAAAAAAAACTTATTTGAGTTCTGCTTATCGCTCTTAAGCATAAGCTGAACCTAAAACCTAAGACACGGGGCACGCGATGAGGTTCATATGGAGTCACAGGCCGGTCCTTTTCAGGGCACATCACAAAAGGAAGCCTCCGACTGCTCTGTGGACTAGCCCATGCAAGCTCATTAGTCTGAAGACCTCAGGGTGCCCCAACTCCCCACGGACACAAAACTCAGGTCACTGTCACCACCTCACCTGCCACTTCCTGGTAGTGTCCACCTTTGGTGAAATGGGCTCAAACAGTCCCTGGTGTCCACACCTAGGCCCAAGCCCAGCCCCAGCCATTAAGTGAGGCTAAGGATTAGAGGTCTGAGTCTTGACCTCGACACTGAAGGCAACTATTTCTCTGTTTCTTACCTGAAAATGGCACCTATTTCTAAGACTGCTGTGAAGCCTGCATAGGAAAATGTAAATTGCTGACATCATGTACTGACCAGTGTCTAGGGCCTGGTACATGATCACTTCATGCTACTATCACTCTGACAGCTACTCCTGCTATTATTAATTTTTTCATCTACTGTTATTACATGAAAAAGTAAAGAGCCAATTTTCACATTAGCAAATTATCTTTTCTAATTTCTGAGTGGTCTAATGGGCTCAGAACTCCTTCCTGTATTAGGCTTTCTGCTAATCAATGGCCTGTAAATGTGGGCAGAAAAAGCAAAGTTAAGCACCAACTGGTACCGGGTAAGCTACAGTGATATATTAGGGTAACAGAAAGCTGACAGGGGAGAAGAGCTAAGGGGCAGACAATGCTGGGCAGCTTCTAGCATTCCCCGAGTTCATGTTTTCCCTCTCTGTAGCAGAGCCAACACAGGGACCTACAAGCTCCCTGTGACATTCCTCAAGTGTAACGTGTAGATGTTAGTAGTACTTACCTGTGAGGACTGTCAACAGTGGGAAATAAGAAGTGTGCACAGAACTTTGCAGTGTCTGGCATGGAATACACACTTGTAAATGGTACCTGTGGCTTCCATTGCTATTTCTAGTTTCTTCAGAATCCACCACACTCCAAATGAATGTTATATATCAGTGCCAAGAAACTGTACATTCTGAAAAGGCTTCAGTCCTTTGAATAGGTGGAAAAGACGAAATAGAGCCTGGAAAATACTCAGCCTTTCTCCTCAGTCTGGCTTTCTTTGCTCTGTTCCTCCCTTAAGCACTCACTGACTCCAGACCCCTGACATGAAGTGAGCACATCAGGGGATAAGGAACAATAGGAGAACATTATATCCTTCTTCCCGTACCTTCACTTGGACAGCTCTGACCACATCATGTTGCCCATGAAGAATAACCATGGAGGGAAATGGAAGGAATTCAAAGAGATGCCTTCATGGATTGTTGGGGAATCTCACCTGGACTCCTGGGATTAAGCTGCCTCTTAAAACAGGCTCAGAGATGGGAAAATGAGGTCAATATAGCAGGAAAAAGAGGGAGGAAGGAGGAAAGAAAACACTTAATATATATGAAAAAGCCTTCGGGAATCATACTATTTTTATTTATCTAAAATCACAGATGATATATTTAAGTATACATGTATGTATACACACACATAACTTAAATGAAGTTCTCCTACTTGGGCTAATAATGTTCCCCTTGAGCCATGGACTATTAAGCAAAAACCAGTAATGAATAACTCCCTTTTGAGCTGTTGGTCAGGGGAACCCAAGAGATGTGCCCTCTTCTGTTAATGCCCCTGACCACCTCCCAGAAGTCAAGTCCCTATTGCTGAGATATCATGAACTTCAGCCACAGAATTTAGTGGATCCAAACTAGATTTGACCCAAAAGCCTCCTTCCTGAGGACTAGTTTTCATAGAAAGTGCTATGCGAGCTGCCAAGGGAAGGAAGCAACCACTAGCCCTCCTCAGCTTTGGTGCCCATGAACCACATCAATGACCAGCACAGTAGGTATCTGTGCAATACTGGCACTCAAGTCTTAGAAATAACTCACAGCTGTCTCACTGGACTTACAGCCTGCTTAAGAGAAAGGAAATCATGACTGGTACTAGAAACCAAGATAACTACCTGAGCCTAGATAGGTTATAGAAGCAAGTATTATTGACATTTTACTAAATTAGCTAATTTCTAACTGTATTCCAAATACTTACACATACATCCTCTCACCCCTCATCAAAGAAAACTACAACTGGTCAAAATGAAGAGAACAGCTGACCTAGTACCTCGCCCAACTGAGATATAACTGTGTGTGTGTGTGTTTTGGGTATATAATCTATAACACAATTATTGCATCTAAGACACAGGGAACATGATGAGAGGATTGAGAGACTGTGAAAGCCAGAGCACCAAAAGCCTGCTATGAGACTGTGTCTCCTAAAAATGATACACTTTAACCAGGATACCTCAATAATACGGCTGCCTAAACAAGACCCCAACAATAATAATACCACCACACATACGATCACGGAAGGGGAAAATCTTATAGGGCCCAAACCCAAGACAAAGACAGTGAACTAAGGGATGCTAAGAGTGGGAGAAATAGTCTTGCCTAGGAATAAGTCCCTTAATTGGTTATCCAATACCAAGCACAACACCCTGAAATCATATTGAACATAACCTGTTCAGTTCATTTTGTTTTGCATACAGTTAATATTTATGCACTTAAACACACACACACAATAATAACAAAATAGAAAGAAAACATAAATTTGAGAAAGGAGTATGGAAGAGGCTGGGGGGAAGAAGTGATGTAATTATATTTCAATAAAAAATTTATAAAAATAAACAAGACTAACCAAACGGGAAAAATACACAACCTTAGGCTCCTCATAACTAAAGAATCAATCTTCTGTGGGTCTTCATATTTTGCATGCTAAATGCTTGCTAAACCAGTAAGTTAGAGAATGCAGACAAGTCTGGAACAAAATGCTATTATTCAGCTACTGAATCTGAATCTGGCTCCCTGGGATGGCTGTGAGAGTCAGAGGACCAGAAGTCTGCTGTGAGACTGTCCCAGGTTTTATCCTAACGTTTTAAGTCACAAGACAAAAATATTTCACTGATTTTAGGCACTAAGAGCTGAAAAACACACTGTGAAGAACCTAGAACCTCCTATTCCACACACGCCTCTCCTGGAGCTGTCCACCAGCCAAGGTCCAGACTCAGCACGGTAAGTCATGCTGGTGACAACCACGACATGGTCTCAAGGTCAGACTTACCTTGGGAACAAGATACTGCTGATCAGTGCAGGCCAGGACATAGGCTTCAGCTCGGCCTAACTCACTCTGGGGGAAGTGGGCGTTCATCTCGTCTCCATCAAAGTCAGCATTATAGGCTTTGCAGTTGGCATAGTGAAGGCGTAGGACCTTTTCTTCAGGCAGAATGTGGGCACGGTGGGCCTGGATGGAGGGTCTGTGCAAGGTAGGCTGTCGGTTCAGTAGGAGAATGTCCCCATTCTTCACGTGCCGGCACACCTGGGGACACAGAAAGACGAGTAGATGAGTGCCAGTGGGAACATCTGCAATATCACCGATCCCTTCAAGGGCTTACCACACTTCATTCTGTCAACTCTGTAGGCCTCGTGTTCTAGTCAACTAGATGAAAGGGGAGTTTTTGATCTACAGAAAAGCTCTACAAACTGAGAAATTCTCAACGGGCCCCTCTGCTCAGAGGTGTAAGGAGCAGACATGGGTGGCCACACATCTGTGCAGCAAGCATCACCTTATCCAAAATGCACAGCTGAGCAGAGCCCTAGGCTCCTCTTTCAGAGTTAACAGAGAAACAGATCAAAAGTCCGCAAGACTGCAAGCCTCCATGGATTTCAAAGAGCTCAACAGTTTCCCAAATCCTCCCAAGGTCACACATGAATCCCACAGTTTAGTAGTAATTAGACCAGCTTCTCACAGAATATCCAAGACTCGGAAGACATGGCTTGGTGAGCCTCAGTTCAGTGACCCCGAAAACATTTTGTGCTTCAAAAATTCAAAACAAATATAAAAGCTAAAAACTGTCATAATCTTTTGAGGAAAAAGATCTGAAAATACCCCTTACAACATTCAAACCATTTCCTTTTAGCCTTTCAGGAGGGAGAAAGCATCAAGGTAAGCAAAAAGAAGGTATGTTTGTGCCACCCTGTTTACAGTAGGAAAGAAGTAGAAATACCCCAACTGTCCCACAGAAGTAGCTGTAAATCCCAGGGTATGCTCATTACAGAATGCTACACAGAGATAACAGATACTAAATTAAATCAATACTAGTCTGAGTGTGATGATGAAAGACATATTAACACAAAGAAAAAAAATAAAATCCCTGCAGCATGTAAGGAGAGCACCTGCATATGGGAAAAGGTGAGAAGCGCCTCACTGCTAGGTCCCTGGGGCATGGACTCAAAAGGAAGGGGAGTAAGGCACACAGTAATGTCTGAACCATCACAGACAGGTCATAGTATTGTTCATATCAGAATACATACTACTTCTACAAATAGATTTTTTTTGTAAACAGGGTCTTGCTGTGCTGCCAAAGTTGGTCTCAAAATTATGGTCCTCCTGCTCTGCCTGCCAAAGATGACTCTGTGTTAGGCAAAAGCACTTCCCACTGAGCCTGGTGGCCTGACTTCGATCCCTGGGACTCACATGGTGGAGAGAGTGATGTGCTCACCGAAGGGAAAAACCAGAAGATACAAACTTTAAAGAATAAAAAAGCACAAGAAATTTTCCCCATCTAGACAAACACTGATCAGACTTCCCCTTTCAAACCCACTCTGCCGTGCTCCTTTGACAGAACACCTCTGTCTCAAAGCTGATTTAAAACCCAAATGACACTTTTGAAAACAACTACCATCAAGTGCCCCAGAGGACATGGACCCTTGTTAACTGTCTCTCTTCCTCAGGTCCCCTCTGGGCCGCAGCAGTTGGGAGGTGGGAGGAAACAGATCTAGTATCCTGCTGTTGCCGTGTGTCTGAGGGCACACTGAGAAGCTGGGCCTGTAAGCTGGTCTTCAGGCTGTGAAGAGATTTATTTCTTCGCTCCTTCCCACAGGCCGTGTCAGTTCTGCTCAAGTTCCATCAGAGGAGCAGTCTTAAAAGCACAGGGCCCGTGTTTTCACTTCCCAAGGAATTCCAACCTTTCTATGCCCACACCAGAGTCCTTCCTGTGTTCCCAAGGAGACCTGACCTCTGAAGATTCCCATGAGCATCTCTGCTCAAGAAACTGGCTGGCTCAGTGCGTCACAGCCTGAGGTTTTCTTTCCTTAGCGTCTCAAGGGAAAAGTTGGCCAGATCTGTGGTCCAGTCTCAAAAACACAGGCTGCGCCTAGGATCTGAGTCTAGTGAATCTAGCACAAGCAGCTTCACTGCAGCTGGGAAGAGATGTAGGCCAGTCTGCCAGACAGTGGCCAAGCCAAACAAAAACCTGGAGCACAGGGCACTCCCCTTGCCAACCCAAACCAGGGCTTTTCCTTTCTCTTGTCACTAAATAAACACTACGGTGAAAATTAGTGTGCCCCAGAGCCTGGGTCAGAGTTTGCAAAGGCAGGCATGGGGCCAGAGGCTGCTTAGGGTAGCTGACAGGCAGAAAAACAAGCCTACACTATCCTGACCACTTCCTTCTTGATGAGGCCCAGGGGAAAGAACAGGGGTTACCTCTGTCACATGGAAAATGACCTTTCCGCCAACCCTTCCCCCTCATCTAACCTGTAGGTTAACCCTTCATCTCCTTCTGAGTCGCCTCTCCCAGGCCTTCTGCCCTGTCCTGAGCTCTGTGTAGTAAATGCCCAAACTCTTTCAAATGACAAACAAATTAGAAGTGCATGAATACAGAAGTCGAAGCATCCTAAATTTACATAGCATTATTGACATTTTGACATGAAACTTGCCATCCCAAGTCGCAGGACCTGATGGGAGGACCACTTTTCTTTGCACAGGAATGGGGAACTCAAACACAAGAGAGATGGGCACACACAGGGATAATAAAACGTGGTGAGAGCAAGAAGCAGGGAAAGGGATAAGGGTACAGACTGTGTGCTGGGGAACACATCAAGGAGGTACCTAACGAATACCATCTGCGGCATGGCTTCCTAGTTTATAAATAAATATTTTCGGACACACATTCATCTGTCTACATTGCTTTTACACTACGTAGTAAGAGCTAAATAGTTGCAATAGCCTGTAAGACCAATTAAAGTTGAGATATTTACTATGATCTTAGGGAAGAGAGGGTTGGGCTGAGACTTGAAGGAACAGCAGAAATCAGCCATGGAGTCAGAGGGCAGAGCCCCAAGCATATGCAAAGCCTGAAAGGAGATGAAGCCAGCTGCAGAGAGCATCAAACAGTTTGGGTTGAAAGGTAGGACCAGTGGAGAAAGCAAAGACCACAGGTGGCCTCATGACCTTGGTAAGGGTTTGAGCCCAAGTAGGAAGATAATCAACTGAGCCACCCTAATTCACCGTCACAGCTATTCAGGGATCTCTCACTGGCACCATGTGATCTCCCGAGCACACTGCAGTTGAGCAACCTCCCTCAGTGGAGCTCCCTACCTACCATTTGCCTAGCCCCACCTGAGCCCACAGAAGTAACCAGGTCACCTGAAGAAAGCACCCTAGTGCCTCTGCATTATCCTTACACCCCCATAATGTCAGACCGTTTCTGACTGACCTTTCAAATGTCCCTAGCTACTTACTGCCTATTTCCTCAACCCGAGGGCTCTGAAATCTGTCTCCCTCTATGCTCACAGGTGACTTTGGCTTCACCCTAAAGAACCCCTAAAGAACTACATACAAGAAACAAGAGCAGACACAAACCCAGCAAGTCCAGTCTCATCGCTCCCTAACTTCCCTGCTGCTCCCCAGCTCACATTCCCAGGGAACCTCCTCTTCTCTTTTCAATGTACTCTGCTCAATGAGTTTAATGTTTTGACAGCTTTTTCTTAATTCCATGGTCTCTCCCATCTAAGCCTCACACTTCTACTTTTTACAGATGAACCCTTATTTTCTCCAAAGTCATCTCAAATCTAGAAGGGCTAAAAAATGGTCTCTTTCCTTGACGCCTGCCCCTCTTCTCTCCTGATGGAAACTATGTTCCTCTCCTCTCAGCAGCCTCCAGGGCAGTGTCCCAGTACTTGGCCTTGATTCCCCGGCAGCCCAAGGGCTCACTTCTGGCTGACAGCAGATATTTATTGGCAATCCCTGCTGTGTCCTTGCAAAGCCTGAGCACACAGTAGGACCTCAGTTCTAATGATCCCTCATCATGCACTCTTGAAACCTTTCTTCTCACTGCAACTGTTTAAGAGAACAGGAAGATTATTCTACATTTGCCTGGATTCATCAAAGTTAAGTGAAACAAACTTCTCAAATCCCTCACATAGCTCCAAGCAAAAAACCTAACAATGTACCAACATGACAAAGAACAAAATTGGTATCTTGACCTATCTATTGGTCTGAATGGTGTCCCTGTCACCAAAGCAAAATGGCATAGAGCACAATTTAATTCAAGTAGTGTTGCTGTTCTGATGGAGTGGAACTATAAAAACAAGGAAAGGGAGGACGGGCCTATAGTGCTGCTGCTAGCACTGGACAGCAATAGGAATGAATGGTCACCATGCCAAGCCCAGAGTGTCTCTGCTCTTTCAAAGTTCCTTCTAGACAGGTGGGAACTTTGTCGTGTTTGTACCCATTATTACAAACGGCCAACCTTAGAAATGCTAATTCAGTATGAGGGCTGAGTTCAAATTGTATTTCTCCCTAGCTCCAGTGAAGTTGCTCCTGATCTGAGTACCACCTTTCAAGTAGCCCCTTGCAAAGGTAGCATGCAGGAACCAGAAGGAACTAATCCTAAACCTTCATTCACTCACAATTTTTGTCCCCTGGGGCTTAGGAGCGCCTGTGGCTGGTGTCAAGAGCTGTTTGGCCACAGCTTCCCGCTGTGTAGCATCTACTGCGCTCAGGGCTGTGCGACTGCCATCCTCATTGATGACCATGGAGGCTCCTGGGTGCACGTTGGGTCCATTAATGACTGCTTGTCTCAGTTCCTGCACGTTCCAGGGGGTAACTGGCTGAGGGTAGGTCAGTTTTGTGGCAAATACCTAGAAACAGGATTGCATGTTAAAATTCAAGAGGGGCAGACAAAGGTTCCAGGAATACAAAAACTAACAAAATGAATTATCTGATATCCTTCCAAACTGTAGGGACCATCCACTTAGCCAAGGCTTTTGGTAGGCAGAACAACATCTGTCTCCTTTGTGGAGTCATTGTGCTTTGCTCGCTCCTTTAAGGGAACAAACTGAGTAAATGATGTATTAGTTTCTTAAACGCACGCTGAAACTTTACAGGTTTGCCAATAAAATCAGGATCGCCAAAGGAGTGGTATGGGGCACTTGCTTGAGAGCCACCGTACCCTCCACATCTTAGCAGGCATCACTAACTGCTAAGGGTACTTGTGCTGAGCCCAGGTGTAGCATCAGCCAGTGGCATTTGAGGGGAAATGGATTTGCAATTCTGAGACCCGAGAACATTAAACACTAGACTGAAACCTGCTCTAAAACAGGTGAGTTCTCTACAGTTAAGAGAGTTTCTGAACCACTGATTTTTATTTATTTGATACTTCAACATATACACAAGTGCATCAAAGACTTTGGAGTTCAGGAAGTTAACACCCCAGGTCCTGTGCAGGAGCAGTGTAGGAGCCCTGCCATGATCCCACCTCTTTAACTTTGTGCTAACGGACTCATCTACTGTTTGGTCACCACTTGGCCCACAGCTTTAGGAGACACTAATCTGGTATGTGGTTTCCTGCCAGACTTTAGCTCCTTATCTCCCTGTGGGGGAGGGGAGGAGAGCTGCAGTTTTACCCACTCTGTTCTTCCTGGTTCTCTTGTAACAACCCCTGGCCTCCACTACTCTGAGAACTGGGGTAGAGTAGGGGCTAGTAAGTGAACAGCATTATAATCTCTCCTCAGGATACAAGCCATTAGTAAATAAACCAGACACTCTAGGCACTGAGGTCAAAGCTAGGGTGGCCTCTACATTCTGTCTAGAGAAGAAAATGAACATGCCTAGGCCTTTCCTTCTAGGGCTTCACACTTAAGAATACAGTTAGCTTTCATAGCGCCTTTCTTTGGTATAGAGTCCAGCTTTCTGTTGCAAGGACCTGCAGTTCCTGGGAGCCAAGGAACACAGGGTAGAGCCTTCTCTGCCTGTTCTTGACACAGCAGGCTCTTGCCCAGGAAGCCAAAATGTGCCGGAGAATCACAACACTTTAGCTCTGCTCATTAGCAACTTCCCAAGAGATGCAGGGTGGCGTATAAGGAAATGAACTTTGCACAGAGGGAATTAAACCATCTTCAAATTATCGACCTCAAGGCCCATTACGGAGGAGTCTGCCGGAGAGCTGCTGCTAATGAGCGCCAAGGCTTTAACTGGTGGGGAAGTGAGAAAAGGAAGCTGGCTCGCCAAGGGAGCAAATGGTGGACAGGCGAGCCACTCATCCCTGGAACTGGGAGGGACAGGTGACACACGCTACCTTTCTGAGGGCTTTCCTACTCTCCACGGTCAGACACCCACATGGGATTGAAAGCCCCTTGCCCTCTCCTTTTCCCACCATGGACTCAGCTGGACATGGAAGGTATAAAAACTAGGTTAAGACTGACAAGAATACGATACAGACACAGATGTGGAATAACCTCGGTAAAAGGATGGCAACACTGTTCTGCACCTCAAGTTCCTCCCCACATGTGAAGCACTAGATGTTCTCCCCACCGCAAACTAAACTCTGCCCCCAGACCTTTATGGCACACCAGCTATCTCCCAGCTACCACCAGCAAAATGAGGCCTCTCCCCAACAACACACCAAGGGAATCCCAATCTCATTCGTGTTGATGTACATATCTGGGCAAATGACCGAACGGGCAGCATAGTCGACTCGCTTTCCCATCATGTGCTTCCGGAACAGGCCTTCCTTCTTCTCAAGGATCTGTAAGGAGCAGAAGTGACAGTGACAGAACACCAGGTAACTCCACTACATTTACTATTTTCCTGCTTCTGTGGCAGTGTGGATAATGTGCATTTATAAACATGTGGATGGGAGCTGGGGACGTAGACCAGTTGTAAGCTGTGTATTACGGACCTTCACCAACTTGTGATGGGAATCCAATTCCCTGCTCACCTGTCTTATGCCAGGGTACTTTTCCAACATTAATTTGTCCATCTCACTGTCAAACACAATATTGACGTGGCTCTGAAGGCGAATCCAAATGTTGTAAAGCTTATCTGTGAGAGATTGGCCTGGAAGCATACTTAAAAAGGATCGGTCGATAACAACTGAAGATTCATTTTCCTGGGAAGACAAACCCAAGGGAATAGGAATGATTAGAGAAAAACCTGTTTTTACTCAACCTAGTTTTGATTTAAAAAAAAAAAATAAGAGCTCAGCCTTGGAAATGCTAAAACTGGAGTTTAGCCTCTGAAGCTGACAGAAGACGAACTAAACTTGTCGTACGTATCAGTACACATCAGCCCCATCATATACCTATCAGCTTGTCTCTTTTAGTAGTAAAGTTTACTCAAAATTCATAAGCAGAGCAACACTGTGCTACGCACATGAGAAGCTGAGGCAGGAGAGTCTTGAGACCCTCCTGGTATACATAGGAAATCCTATCTCAAAAATCAAAACTAAACTAAGATTTAAAAAAAAAACATGTGTGTGTGTAGGCTCCTATCTTAAGCTTCCTAATGTCTTGTGCACCAAAATAAAGAGAGCCTTAGAAGCCCTTCCCTTGGGTACTCTACTTCTGAGGCTTCTACCAGACAAGCGAGTTTCATGTGGAGTTGCCTCTTTAGTTAAAGGTTTAGGAAAACGTGCTTTGGTGAATTTATAAAAATGCGGGTGGAATGCTTGCTGCCATGCAGGAGCTCCACCCCAGCACTGCAGAAACTGTGTGATGGTACACTCTTGTAATTTCAGCACGAGGTAGCAGGAGAAGTAAAGTCTAAGGTCAGTCTTGGCTATATAGTGACTTAAAGGCTAGCATGGAGTACATGAGATGCTATCTCCAAATAATAATAAACAAATAATAACAATAATAGTATTACTATTATTTTAATGTAGGTCAAATAATTTCTTAAAAAGAAAAAAAGGCTTCCCATATAGTACTGTAGGTTTATAAGTCCTAAAGTGGGTTAGATTAAGTTACGGGCTGATCCTCAAGCTTAAATACTTATCTAATCACTTAAAAATATTTCTATCCCATATCCTGTCTCTTCTGCTTCTCCTGTTATCTGCTCAGGAAAGAGAAGTACAGAGATCCTAGAATGTCTTAGAGCACCACCTACTGGCCAAATTGGGCTGCAACTGGCCTAGGTGTTCAAGTCCTCCACTGTAGTTTAAACTATCGGTGTATCAAGGTTAAGGGCAGGTGATGATCCAATAGATTATAGTGTCATGGTGATAGTCTGGGTTTGCCCCCACAATCAAGGAATAAAGGAATCATCTAGGAGGGTACATGCAGTTCTGCAGGCAACATTATGGTCTCTTTCATCATGTGCATGACGGCAGAGGCATGTAGAGCTGAACCCATGGCCTATACAGCATTTGCTGGTTCAAAGCCACATGATTACTGTTGAAATGAACAAGATCTTGTCCACTGGCTTCTAGTCCCTAGGAACTGCTCCCGGGAGAGCACTGCTATGGGAATACAATGATGAACACAAACTGGGAAAAGGACAAGAATATGTCTAATTAATCAAAGGGAAATTGGCTTAAGGATCAAGATGGCACTGGTTCTTCCCCAAAGATCAAGCCCTGTTATTACAAAAGTTTATCTCTACTCTGAAGGGACATTAAAATAAAATTTGTAGTCCTGGTCACTGGATTTGGTTATGTTATGGTTTTGTTTCCCATACTGGACCAGGGTCTGCAGATGGGAACTCTCTCTTACACTAAAACCTGTTAAAAGACGCCTATACTGACTGAAGTAAACTTCAGCAGAACCAGAGAAAGTTTCAAGGAGCCATGCAAAGCTAAGTGCCCAGGGGCAGTTTCAAGGAGCCATGCAAAGCTAAGTGCCCAGGGGCAGTGGTGTCAATTTGTGACATCACTGGTTAATAGCAGGACTGTCTGAGTAGCTGGCAGGGAGTCTGAGAGGCTGTCTCTCCAAAGCTGGAGAAGGCCATTTCTATTTGCATCCTGACTGCATTTCGGGGATGAGAGTGACTTTAGCAAGTATTCTAAGTACCCAATTCAGCTTTATGTTCACTACAGTTAGTATAAGACCCAGAATAATGAAAGGGGTAAGGAAATGTCAATAGGAACAGTCTTATTCTAGAAAACCCACTCTATATTGTCCCCGCTGCATTGCTGAAGTCCTTATTGAGCCTACAACACACATTCTTAGAGCCCGAGGGAAGACTGCTTGCCTTAGAGCAGCTAGTGGTGCAGAGCAGCCTAGGTGTGAAACCTCACCATAACTACATACACTACAGCGGAGATGAGTCCAAGAAATCAAAGGGACTGACGAAACCATGGCACTGTCATTGGGCACAGAACCTAAACTACACCTAGATTTATCTAGAATCAGGTCTGTGTTTGTCCCAACAATTCATACTGCCCACCATGGGTGCTGCCCACTGAATTAACATCTTGCACAGCCATAGGTTCTGTGCCTGCGAAGGGTTAGAACCCAGTGTGTAGTTCTTATCACACCAATCATTAACCAAGCCTATTATACCAGCACCGAGGCAGTCCTGACCTTGTCTGTGGTGAGTTCTGTCACCTCACAGGGTAGCTTCTGTTCTTGGGCCATCAACGCCAGAAGTTTCCGGATCAAAACTGCATCCTTCATGACAGCTTGCAAGTTCACGGTCTGGCCGTTAGTAAACATCTGGTCCCCCAGGCGGTTGACGGGGCGATATCTGCAGAGTGACATAAGATTCTTCAGCCTCTTAACCTATTTACCGAATTAACACAACACAACCAACTCAAACAACCATCGTGTCGAGGACAATCAAATAACAGAGAATGCTCTGGCCACTACCTGCAGCCTTGGGCTGACAGTTTGATTTCTCAGTGCTCTAGCCTTTCCAGTCCTTGCTCAATACCTCTGCCCACCCTTCTTATGCAAAGTTAAGTTCAAACACATTACCTGGAAGGCGGCACCACTATGAAATCTAGAAAGAACATACTAGGGTTGAAACTGGACTCCATGCCAATATCATCCAATCCCGAAAAAAGGTAATTCAGGAAGAATCCTGCATTTGAAATAGAAACCAACAAGACTATTTAAGCCGATGTATAAAGATATAAAAATATCACTGAGAAAAAAAAAAACCCTCAAGGTATGGCAATGTGGGAGGTCCTTCTGTATATGTGTTGCTTTTATTGGTTAATGAATAACTGCTTTCGGCCAATGGTTTAACAGAATATAGCCAGGCTGAAAGATATATATATATATATATATATATATAGATAGAGAGAGAGAGAGAGAGAGAGAGAGAGAGAAAGAGTAGGTGGAGTCAGAGTGAAGCCATGTAGCCACAACTGGGGACAGATGTGCCAGAACCTTGTCAGTAAGCCACAACCATGTGGCGATACACAAATTAATAGAAATGGGTTAATTTAAGATATAAGAAACATGCTTAAGTTATTGGCCAAACAATGTTGCAAATAATTTGGTTTCTCAGTGATTACTTCAGGTATGGGCAACTGGGAACGAACAAGCAGCCTCCACCTACAGTATGGGATCATATGTAATTAGAAAACAGTTTTTCATAAAAACAAACCAAAACCAGCCTGGGTATATGACAGCTTGTGTGCAAGTTAGATAACAAAAAGACACTCAGGGACAATAAGTAAGTAAGAAATGAGCTGTGCAGGAACATGAAATTGTTATCACCCTCTTGATGTGTAATCTTATATACATAATTAAATATTCGCTACTTTGGACTCTAGACAAACTTAATCAAAATTTAAAAAAAAATCAGGTCAAAATAAAGTTTAGCCTTTTAAGAACAAAAGATAAACTGGGCAGTGTAGCCTTTAATCCTGAGTTCAAGGCCTGGTCTACGTAGTAAGTTCAAGGCCAACCAGGGCTATATAGAGAAACCCTGTCTCAAAACCTCAGGGGGAAAAATGTAACATTCTTTCCATGGGTATGCCAAAGCCAATCTTCTGCAAACTGAATCAAAGACATATTTTTAAGTTTCAGGGGACCTCCAACAGCTTGGAGAAAACAAATAAAACCTGCCATAGAGAGCATCTTGCTAACTTGCCTATGCTTTCATTTCTGATAACCCGTTAACGCCATGCTTGTCTGTGAGCACTTAGCAGAGACCACAAGCAGTGTCCCAGAACACCCCCTCAGAAGAGGGATGCAAGGACTTGAGTATCCTGCATAGATTGATACAGATTTAAAAGAGAACAGAGATTTCCCTTTCTGTGGGGAACTGAAATGTACAAAAGCTCATTCCTTGATTCACAAAATGAATTACCATAGAACATTTAAAAGATTTTTATCTGGGGCTGAGATGGAGTTTCAAGACAGGGTCTCAGTATGAAGCCTCAGCTGTCTTAGAACTCACTCTGTAGACCAGGCTTGCCTGGAACTCAGAGATCCACCCGCCTCTGCCTCCTGAGGGCTAGGACTAAAGGTGTGCATCACCATGCCTAACTAAAACATCTTTTTTCAAAAAAAATTATTTTTATTTATGTGCATTGGTGTTTTGCCTGCATGTATGTCTGTGTGAGGGTGTCAGATCTTAGAGTTACAGACAGTTGTTAGCTGCCATATAGATGCTGGGAACTGAACTCGGGTCCTCTAGAAGAGCAACCAGTGCTCTTAACCACACTAAGACCAGCCCCTTAAAACATTTTTTTTTTAAAACTGGCATTTAAAAATAGATGCCAATGAAACTTCCAGAAATGTTATCAGTGTAGGAGTGACTGGACTCAATTATATCAATTTCTTGGTGCTGGGTGTGAGCTGCCCCTGCTCCTTTATGGCTCTAAGTCAATGTGCCCTGAAGCCTGCCCCAGACATATGGATGGATTCAGGCGAGAGTTACATTAATTAGAACTTTGGTTAAGGAAGTAAGAGGGTGGGCTAATGAAATGAACCAGGAAATCAAAGGTCACAGACTGAGGCTGTTTCTCTAGCACCTTCGTTCTTCCAAATGGCAAAAAGATGCTCTTGGGCGCTGCTAGGTGTCAGGTACCCTCGCTTCCCCAGCAGAGCGTCTTCAATTCCTGGAGCTGCCGGTACTCCTTCTGTAATGAGATAGATCCTTTTTTTTTTTTTTGTCCCCATTCCAAAAAATTTGAAACTTGTCCACAAACCTCAAACTTTTCAACCCAGATTTCCACCTGTACTCTAATTTCCAGAATAATGAAAACAAAACAACACATTATCATACAAAACCAGAGAGGCAGAGCAATAGACGATCACCAATAGCTCACAGTATTAATGAAACTATTTTCAGTGTTAAATAAGTACTTTCCACGACACTGAAACCTTGCCAGGAACAGTGGTGCAGTCCTATTACCATCAGGAGGAGGATGCAGAAGGATCAGGAGCTTCAGGACAGTGTGGACTACACAATGAAATATTACCCCAAGACTACAAAAATCTTCTATGGATTTCTCTTCTCTCTTTTTCTTTCTTTTTGGTTATTGTTATTGTCTGCTTTTGTTTTTTTTTTTTGGTTTTTCGAGACAGGGTTTCTCTGTAGCTTTGGTGCCCGTCCCGGAACTAGCTCTTGTAGACCAGGCTGGCCTCGAACTCCCAGAGATCCGCCTGCCTCTGCCTCCCGAGTGCTGGGATTAAAGGCGTGCGCCACCACCGCCCGGCTTTGCTTTTGTTTTTGAGACAGGGTTCTCTGTGTGTAGCCCTGGCTGTCCTGAAACTTGCTCTGTAGACCAGGCTGACCTTGAACACACAGAGATCCGCTTACCTCTGCCTCCCAAGTGCTGGGATTTATTTTCTGCATGGATGTATTTTCACCAGAACTCTGTTCATTTGGTGATATCAAAGGAAAACAAGAACAATTGCTACCAAGTTTTCATCTAACTGACCACTATTCTGTTTGTTACTGAGACTACCTTATATAGCCCAGGCTAGCCTTGGAGTCCTGAGCCTCCTGACTCCACCTCCTGAGAGCTGGGTTTAGATAGTTTATACTACCAAGCCCAGTTTCAATCACCAATTCTTTTTCCCTGTTTTTTTTTTTTTTTTGAGACAGGGTTTCTCTGTATAGCCCTGGCTGTCCTGGAACTTGCTCTGTAGACCAGGCTAGTCTCAAACTCAGAGATCTGCCTGCCTCTGCCTTCTGAGTACATCACCACGCCCAGCTCCAATCACATTTCTGGTTGCATGAAGTTTCCTAATGTACTTAACCAAGGTTTTTTTGTTTTTGTCTTTTTTTTTTTTTGGTTTTTCAAGGCAGAGTTTCTCTGTAGCTTTGGAGCCTGTCCTGGAACTAGCTCTTAGAGACCAGAATGGCCTCGAACTCACAGGGATCAACCTGCCTCTGCTTCCTAAGTGCTGGGATTAAAGACATGCGCCACCATCACTAGGCTTTAACTATACTCTTCTATTTGGACATCCAGCTCGATTCTAGTGTTCTGCTTTTCTAAATAAACAATGGGCTGGGATACTAATTACTGGGAGAATATACCTTGCACAAATGAGGCCCTGGGTTCAATGTTCAGTATGAAAACAAGTAACATTATCTTTATACATATGGTATTCACCAGAAAGAGTTACAAAAGCAGAAGTAATACTTGTGGAGATTTTTTTCTTTATTGTGTGAATGTGAGAACACATGTACCACCATGCACACATGGAAATCACACATATGAAATTTTGGGGAGTTGGTTCTTTCTCCCAGTATGGGTTCTGGGGACAGAACATAGATTTGGACCCTAAGCACTTTCATTCACTGAGTATTCTTGCTAGTCCCTGTGTGAAGATTTCTACAGATTCAAATATACTGACTTTAGAAATATCACCTTAGTAGGTGAAGTTGGCTTCTCAGACTAGGCAAAATCTTTGAGAGGCTGATTACTAGCTATGCACAGATTAAGTAGAAAATTTTATTTAGGATTGCCATTTAAGAGGCCAACTTCTAACACTCAGATGAAGAACAAAAGCAATTTAAGTATCCTGTAGGCTCAAAATTGTCAGCATTTCCTATGATGCCATACTAAAATGAAGCACTGCTCAATTTCCCCTTTTCTGGATCTATCAGGCAGGAGCCATGCGGTGCTTGTGCTCACAGCACCAGTGGCTAGGACACAGGTGACAGCTGCCAGCAGAGAACACACATTCTGCATATTCTAAACTATTCATAAACAACATCACTGTTTTACCCTGTTTTGTACTTTTAGCTAATCTTTCCCTTAACTAATAAAAAATAAAACCGACTAATCTACCGTGGAGTGGGTGTGTATGTAATAGTGGATGGCACGGCGAAGGTCAGAGGACAACTTTCAGGAGTCAGTTCTGTCTTCCACCATGCAGGACCTGGAGACTGACCTCAGGTTGTCTGGCTTATCCGAACCATCTCGCCAGCCCAATGTGGGTAAATAACATTTAAATGTTATTTATGCCGGGTGTGATGGCACACACCTTTAAGCCAGTACCTGGAAGACAGAGGCAGGATGACCTCTGTGAGTTCTAGGACAGCCTGGTCTACCTCGAGAGTTCCAGGACAGCCAGGACCATGAAGAGAGACGCTGTCTCAAACTCCTTCCAACCAAAGAGTTATTAAATAAAAAACAAAAACAAACAAACAAAAAAATCAATCCTAAAGCCAAAACAAAGACTATTTTCTACAGGTTTCTAATGCCCAGCCTTTTGGTTGCACCTTATTTTTGCAGTTACAGCAAAAGATTGCCTCACATGAATGTGCTTTGTTGTGCCCAGATTATGACCCCCATAGAGAGACCACCAGAGAGGTCCAGGCTATAATAATACAGCCTGATTATTATGATTATAATCGGCATAATACAAACATGTTTGGAACCCCTGTCTCTAAATGACCCCGTTATAGCAAGGTAGAGAGAGGAGTTGTATCTCCTCTGTGGGGTAAGCTTTTAAAGGCTTAACTACAAAGACACTTTTTGAAGTTGCTTTGGCACGGGTGTAAGGATTTTTGCTCCCTCCCATCCTGCTAAGTCAGCTTTCTCCTTGTTCTTAGAGCAAGGCCATCTTTATCAGCCTGTACCAGATGGCCAGGCATAATTTCTAAGGTGAGAGAAAAAAAGGCCACTATCTTCCTAAAAACAAGCAAATCTGGGTTTCTATTTTTAAAACATTCTGCTAAAAAATTCCTTTTCGTCCCTTTAAAAATACGGGATGAGGGTCCCACAGGCTTGACTAAGACAGGCTACCTTCCCTGGGCACTGCCCCCTAACTGGAGCTATTCTCTAAAATTCTGAACATCTGTTTTCAATGTCTCAGCATTTTCTAGGATAGACTGGGGGTGCGGTAGCAACTGTTAAGTGTCAGTGTGAGGAAATACTTCCATGGCCATTCGCAGGTAAGGGAAGGAAAATCCACTCTTGCGCTGTTAGCTGTTCACCATCAAACAGCACTTAGCAGTCTTTCAGGGCGTGGGATCTCACTCTGGGTACTAGAAAACAGAAAGGCCACGACCAGAAAACCTGGCACACTTCAAATGAGTGTGTAAGTTAGTTAATAGAGCCACACCTACACTAGTTCTGATGAGTGCTCAGGGAAATCTACAGTGTTACAGGGGACAAACTAAATAGAGATTGTATAGGAACTCACTGTGCTTGCTACCCTGTAAGTCTAAGTTGAATCTACAAAGGTTATTAAAAATCAGTACACAGAGCCGGGCGGTGTTGGTACACACCTTTAATCTCAGCACTTGGGAGACAGAGGTAGGTGGATTTCTGAGTTTGAGGCTAGCCTGTTCTACAGAGTGAATTCCAGGTCTACACAGAGAAACCCTGTCTTAAAAAAACAAAAATAAAACAAAACAAAACAAGAAAACAAAAACAAAACAGCAACCCTTGCCAGAGTCTCAAAGTAAAAAAAAAAAAAAAGAAGATAAAGCCAGGCAATAGTGGTTCACGCCTTTAATTTTAGCACTTAGGAGGCAGAGGCAGACAGATCTCTTTGAGTTCGAGGCCAGCCTGGTCTATAAGAACTAGTTCTAGGACAGGCTCCAAAGCTACAGAGATACCCTGTATCAAAAAACCAAAAAAGAACAAAAGAACACTCACTCTCCAGACCCAAGAAGCCAGGACTCACCTGAGGTGACACACGCATCGCTAGAGCTCCTCAGAGACCCGGTCTGCTTACCTGGGGGCTCTGCATCCTTCTGGCCAGACTTTCTGTGCACCGTGGCTGGGTAGGTAATTGTTAGCTTACTGTTGTGTTCCTTTCGAACCACTGACCGTCCGGTCCTACACATGAGAATACGTGCGGGGAGAAACAAACCCCAATGAGACATTTAGCAATGGTGCTAGGTGACTGGCCAAAGCAGCTCAACTAGGGATGGGAAAGGCTGGTGGACAATACTCACTTGCAGTGCGGACATCGCTTAGCGGCCATATGCGTCTTCCAGAAGTGAGCAACAAGTTTGCTCCTGCTTTCACAGACATTTTTCACCTGTTTAAAGTCAGAGAATGTTACAGTGCCTTATTTTAGGTAGTCTCACTTTGTAGCCCAGATTAGCCTAAGATGTGTGAGATCATTACTGTAGTACAGATGTGTACTCCATGCCTGCACTGCAGTGTCATTCTGAGGAGATTACAATCTCTATGTATTTAGCAGTTCTCCACTTTTACTTTAACTGGAGGAAATCATCCTGGTAGCTTGAATGAGAAATACCCTCTGTAATGCTCAGGCATCTGAATACTTGGTCCCTAGTTGGTGGCACTGTTTGGGTAGGTTATGGAACCTTTGGGGATTTGGCCTGGCTAGAGGAAGTCTATCAGTGGGCACTATCTAAGAGTTCATAGACTTGCCCCATTTCCAGTTTGCTCTCTGCTTCATATTTGCAGCTTATTTCTTAGTCTGGGGCCTCCCGCCATCACAACTCCACTTCTGGAAGCATAAGAGCAATAAACTCTGCATCCTTAAGCCGTCTTTGTCAGGGTGTTTTATTTACCACAGCAACAAAAGTTACTAAAACACACCCTTACTTAAACAAAATGTCCCTCAAAACACTCTTTAACACAGCTATCTGGGGGTTAGAGAGATGGCTCAGCGGTTAAGAGCACTGGCAGCTCTTCCAGAGGTCCTGAGTTCCATTTATTTATATTTTTTATGTATGAATGCTCTGTGTGTATTCCTACATGCCAGAAGAGGGCATCAGATCCTATGGATGGCTGTGAGCCACCATGGGACTGAAACCTAAGTCTACCCTGAGAAGCCAGAAACGTATGCAGAAGATGGCACAGAGAAACTATGGTTACCAGGCTAAAAGCAGAATGTTACGGAAAGGGAGATGGTGGGAACTCACATGTGCACCTTGGGACCCCAAGAGGTTGTTCTGTAGAATTTTGTTTGTGTATTCTTCTAACTCTTCTTGAATTTCAAAGGCAGAAGGATCAGCAGTTTCTTCCAGAAACTGAAACAGAGGAAGACTATTGTAATACCTTACAGTAACTGTCTGATGAACAGTAGGGTTAGGGCTGGCCTCTTCAAGGACTGAGATCAATCTAAGGGAGGAAAGGAAGCCTGAGTTACTGTGCTACACTTACACACAGTGAAGTGGGCTAGGGATGTGGTCAGTGGTGAGCGGAGCATTTGCTTGCCCAGCACAAACAAGGCCACAGGTTTTACCCCGAAACACAACAACAAATCCTTTTCTAGTGACTGTGGCCTGGACTATTTGGGTCAAATTAAAGACTGCAAAGACCTGAGACAAAAGTGTTTCTAACACCTCAATTCTCTGAAGAGCTGATAGGTCAATGGGGAAGCAGCAGGCCAAACTAAAGTAAAAAGAGGGGTCCAGTGAGGTCAGTGTATATGAGCTGGGGATCACCCAGTACTCTTATGCATCTCTGTGGAAGATACTGGCACAGATGTCTCTGAGAGGCCCTGGAAATCTGTGTAGAGATAGCCCTGGCCTCAAATTCATTTTCTAACTCATCAATTTCTGTAGGCCCATATTTCTATATGGTGTGGCAGCCAGACTCTGAAGCCATAGCCCGACCTGAGGCAGTCAGTAGCGTTAACAAAGGGTCAGGATGTTGTTATTCCTTTCTTTGTAATTTGGAGGATGCCTGATAGAGATGCTGATTCAAGCCTACATGATAGCTAGCATACAGAGCAGACAGGTAGTTGTGGAGGTGACCAAAAGCCATTCACCTGGTTACCTAAGAGACAGAATGCTAATGTATTTCCCCTAAGTTAAGTTTTGGTATAAAGACTGTTTGGGGAATAAGCAGAAAATTTCTTCAGGATGTGAACTGAGGATATCATGAGGGATCTCAGAGAATCTCCCTCCCAATGAAACCATGTGAGTCATGTCTTTATTCCCGTCTCCTCCACGCCAGAGAGAGTTTATGTTGGGGTCTGGTAGAGAAATAATTGAGGGTCCGGGCTAGCACCGGACCCCAACAGATTTTATGCTTTTCATTTTGAAGCCCTCAATGATGAAGAAACAGAAATCAACACCAAGAATGAGTACAAAGGTAGTATCAAATGGGACATTGGCCACTTCCCAAACCCAACACACAGGCCTATTAAGGTAAGGACCTGAAGGGTCCCTCTCAGGAAACAAGCCAAGTAAGTACAACTGCACAGGTAGACCAGGGCCTTAAGCCTGGACAATGAAGGTTTCAGACTAGGAATACCACCCAAGTGGAGAAGTAGCCTGACTCCTCTCTGAAGACGGCGACAGCACCTAGCAATCGAAAGTACATATATGATGACCAGACATCAAAGGGTGCCAAATGTATACAGGATTATATTTCTGTTTGCACATTTCATAACAAAATAAAGAAAATAAACATAGGAGCCATGAGTACTTTTACGAAGATAAAATTAAATTTGGATAAGAGAAATCCCTAGAAACATATAACTTCTTTGATTAAAGGCTTAGCAAAATCTTTATCTCCCTTCACTCTCTTGCAGGTAAATTTGACTGTGGGTTAATGGCTTAGCTTTGTTTTCTTGGAGGCAAAAAGGATGAGAATTTCTACTGTTGGCAGAAACTGGCCCAGGCTTTGAGACTGCTTCTCTCAAAGGGTTGTGAGTACCTAGTGCAAACCTCAGCTCTCTGCTTTCCCAAAGCAGGTCCTCGAGGCTCCCCAGCAGTGCTGAACTACTACAAAACACGATATGTCAGGCACTGATGCCTTGGCATCTCTCATCCTCTACAAATGCTTTCTTTCAGGGCGTTTTATAGAGAACTTCTTGAGACTGGAAAGATGGATTAGGAATTAAGAGCATCAGCTTCTCTCCCAGAGGACCTGAGTTAGGTTCCCAGAATGTACACGGCGGCTGACACCATGTAGATAGTTAGCCTCTCTAGCAGTAGTCAGAAGATCCAACAGTCTCCTCCAAGGCATCAGGCATGTTATGTAGAACACACATACACACAAGCAAAACATTCATACATATAAAATAAAAATATCCAAAAAAATTTAAAGAGAGAAGTTCCTTAACTCATTTTTTTAAGATTGAATCAATGCAGGTACCCAAACTCTATAGGACAATATGAGAAAGGAAATTTACAGGTCAATCCAACTCAAGATTAGATGTAAAAATCCTAAGCTAAATACTAGGAAGCCAAATCTACAACACATTACAAAGCAATTTATATCACGGGGCATGGTGACACAGGTCTTTAATTCCAGTACCCAGGAGGCAGAGGAAGGAGATCTCTATGAATTCGAGGCCAGTCTACATAGCAAGTTCCAGGACAGCTGGGGCTATATACAGAGAAACCCTGCCTCAAATGATTAAAAAAAAAAAAATACAAGGGTCAAACATTCTGAAGACTATTGGGGTGGCAATTAAGGACAACATACAAACAAGCATCTCTTGATGTCCTGGTTACCATACCAACCTACCCTGCTCAGAATTCCTTCAAGCTCATAGACCGCTTGTAGAGCTCCAACTTCCAGGACTCGAAGCTGGCAGACCAACAGGTGAATGGCAGCCCGAGGACAAGTCAGCATGTGGCAACTTAAACAGGAACCTCGGAGCAGAAGGTAGAGTTTCTAAAGAGTGGGGACAAAAAGAAGCAAGACATTATAAGGAGACAGAGAACTCATGATGATTTCCATTGTACAAGCGATTTTCTTCACATAGTCTGTCTCCTGAAGAATTCCACTTCTGCCTCTGCTATAGTCTTTTAGACCTATAAATAAACTAGACAAACATTCCCAAATATCTTTTGATTTCATTTTAAACCATTCAAATTTGAAATTCATATAAAATGAATTCATGGTCTGAGAAAAGGAATTCTTTTAGTTTTATACCAACTACTTAACTAAGACAATAGCCTTTCTTTAATCTGCTTGACTCCCGGAGGCTAGGTTCCTTGAAATAAGACCTAAACAGACCCAAGTGACAGTTTAGACAGGAGCTTCATTGTGATGTTACTGGTCTTCCTTTGGGGGCTTTGCTTCTCCTGCCAAGAAACCACACTTGGCAGACCTAGCTGAAAAGCCAATGGTCTTGGGAGCACCAGAAATCCCTATATTACTAGGGAGGTGACTGCCACCCAGCTTTCTGAAGGACACAGAGCCCTTGAAATGAAAGGGCATAAATCAGGATTAGACCCTGAGTCTTGGATAGGTGGATGTGTGGCTCCCTAAACATTTCCCTCTTGCATGAACAGAAACTTGCTATGGCTTTCCTCAACTGGAATCAAACTGAAGTTCTCCACGTAAGTCTGTAGCATAAGCTGAAGTTACATGGCAAGCATCCCTAATCTGAGAATCTAAAACCCTGAACTCCTTGAGCCCTGACATACAAGAAAACAAATTCAACATATGACTTCATGGATTAAGGGTTTAGTAAAAATGTAGGAACATCAGGAATACAATCTCCTTTAGGCTATGTATATGAGGTATGTATAATTATGAGTGAATTCATGTTTATATATGGTTCCATCCTATAATATCACCATAATGTAGACTGCAAATATTCTAAATCCTGAAATTCAAACCATTTTTGGTCTCAAGCATTTTGGACAATAGATACTCAAGGAACTTGTACTTGGTCCCTCAAGGTTTTTTCTTTCTAAAGAAAGAGGAACAAAGGACGGTCCTCACAACACCAGCACCCCCAAGACCAACAAGCCCTGCACGTACATCGAAGAGGAGAGGGTTGTACACGGTGAGCGGGAGCTCAATGTGGCCCAGGTGTCCCGAGCAGTTGTTGAAGTCCTGCACGCAGGTAGAGCACACTTCTTTGGAATCTGCCGGACCCAAAGCCAAATCATACAGGCCATTTGCTGAAGGGTTTCCCAGGCTGTCCACATAGCGAGGATTTGTAATGGATTTAACACTTAATTTCCTGAGGAGATGAAAAAAAGAACCAAGGAAAGCTCAGGTTATTAGCTTCTCTGATGTTGAAGTGAGAGAGGCGGCTTATAAACCAGACCTGACTGGAAAGCTCAAATTCTTCAATGAAGGGATTGCCATAAAACAGAATAACAAATTCAAGAAAATTCAACACAAATAAAATCATAAAAAAACAACTTCCTTTATGCAAAATTTCATCCCTTTGCTTAATGGAATCTTGTAACTGTCAAATAACTAGTCTTGTACCCACTAACAGCATGTTACTGCGTCACATTTGACAGCAAGTGTGCAGCCTGTGTGTGTTCTACTCAATTCTATTTGGGTGTTCACACAACAATGAAACAGCTGGAAAGTATCCTTCTTAAACGTCATATAAACGTACTTTACAAGGCCTAGTTTGCCTTTTGCGGATCTTTGTGAGTTCGAGACCAGCCTGGTCTACAGAGCTAGTTCCAGGACAGGCTCCAAAGCCACAGAGAAACCCTGTCTCGAAAAACCAAAAAAAAAAAAAAAATTATCTAGTTTAGACAATCGAGGGGAGCCAGACTAACCCAAAGTTTTCTCAGAGGCCCTGATGAAAGGATAAAGAAAACTTCAGTTCTGTGTCCTTGTCCAGAAGGGGACTTGGTAAGGCCAGTCCAGAGGAGGAGCCAGTGCCTCTAAAGGAGTCAGGGTTGCAGCTTCTGAGGAACCAACTCTTCCTCCTAGGCTGCGGCTATCAGTCCTAAGGCAGTGGTGTCTGAAGTTTCCTGCGTTCTCTTTGCCAACACTGTCTGACTTAGCTCTCTGCAGACCTTGGCGGACTTCCTCCCTATAAATAGTATATAAGATGCTGTACTTCCTAATAAGTTTGGTTGGCATAAGACATAGCTTGTGCAAGACCTCCTGACATCAGCTTTTCTCTTCTCTTATGTTTCCATCCCTTGGCATCTCCCCATCAGGACCCTGTCACTGAAGAACGACCTGCTGGTCCGGGTCAGACAACAAATGTAAGAACAGATACCACCCCTATCTTGCACTCTAGAGGGAACAACAACAGCAACCAAAGTCAGTGAGCTGTACGGCCAGGAGAACTGATGGTGGTCCATAGGAATGAAGCTGCACAGATCTGAAAGACTCTCATGGCCCATGCCACTGTAAGAACTAAGAATAGACGGAGACAGCTCTCCTGCTTGGCTCTCTTTTCTACTGGTAAACCAATGTCAGCACTTTATCTAACTCACTGCTGTATAGGTGGTCTCTTCCTCCAGCATGGAGGCAGCTGGCAACCTTGAACTCAGTAATACTGAAAAAAATTACTTAGTTGTTCTGTTTTACAATCCTAATTTTTGAAACTGCAATAAAATATACATAAAACATACCGTGTTAACCAATTTTAGGGTGCAGTTAAGTGGTATTAACACAGCACGCTGTGCCATTATCAGCATTACCCACCTCTAGAACCTTATTTCCCTGTCCCTAACTCCTGGCAACCATCTCTGTACTTTCTATCTCAATTAATCTGACTGTTCCAGCACCTATTAATAAATGGAATCAGTCAGTACCTACCTTCTCATGACTGGATTATTTTGTTAAGCACTTCACAGTTATAGATAAAATATATCAGAACTTCTTTCCTTTTTAGGGATGAGTCAATAATAGTGCACACTGTGTCAACGGTGCACGCTGTCAACGGTGCACGCTGTCAACGGTGCACGCTGTCAACAGTACACGCTGTCAACAGTCCACGCTGTGTCAACAGTCCATGCTGTGTCAACGGTGCACACTGTGTCAACGGTGCACGCTGTCAACAGTGCATGCTGTCAATGGTGCACGCTGTGTCGACAGTGCATGCTGTCAACAGTGCACACTGTGTCGACAGTGCACGCTGTCAACAGTGCATGCTGTCAACAGTGCACGCTGTGTCGACAGTGCACGCTGTCAACAGTGCATGCTGTCAACGGTGCACGCTGTCAACAGTGCATGCTGTCAACAGTGCATGCTGTCAACGGTGCACGCTGTCAACAGTCCACGCTGTGTCAACAGTCCATGCTGTGTCAATAGTGCATGCTGCATCTCACCTCATCAACTCACCCACTGATGGACATTTGGGCTAGTTCTACTTTCTGGCAATAGCAAATACAGCTGCTCTGAAGGTGTGTGCACAAAGCCAAGAGAATTCCTAGATCTGACATCAATGCCATTTTAACTTGATGAACAAGTTATTTGATTTTCACAATGTCAGCACCATCTTCATCAACACCTGTATTTTCTAGGTGTATGTGTGTGTGTATTTGCTCTTTTGAGGACACAATAATGGTGCTGAGGTGGCGCCTCACTGTGCTTCTGATCCACACTGATTTTAGGATGCTGAGCATCTTCTCATGTCCATCTGTGAATATTCTGTAGCACTATGTATATTCAAGTCCTTTACTGCCTGTGGTGTTCAGGAACAGCAAGAAGGCCAAGGTAACTGTAGTAAAAGTTAAGTTCGGAGATCAGAACGACCCTTCCATGTTATTAAGGGCATGGTAATAATTTGGAAGAGGATGAAAAGCTACCAGCTCCTAATAATAAAATGGAGCATTAACTATTTAATGCCAGAGCCAAATGTCAGCATCAAGGAAGTCCTTGTAGACCCATGAGACTCAACTCAACCCCTCTGGGGAGGGGGTGTCACATTGAGATATCCTGCATATCAGATAATTACAATACCATTTATAACAGTAGCAGAGTAAAAACTTTATGGTTGGAGGTCACTACAACATGAGGAACACTAGTAAATGGTTGCAGCGTTAGGAAGGTTGAGAACCACTGTTGTGGTTACACTAAGCATCTTTCCCCAAGGGTAAACTCCTAGGGAGGTTTGAAGAGTAATAGGATGCCGACAATTTGCACTTTAGAATAATGTTGACAGCTGTGTGGAAGACTGACAGGACTAGACATAGATGAGGGTGGAAATGGAAGAAAAAGACGAGCAGAGAATGACAAAAGAACTGACCTAAGGCAGTGGCGATAGAGATAAAAGGAAGGTAAAGTCAAGTTACGTATGTAGGTAACTGACAGCGAAAGACTAGTAAATGAGATGTCAGAGTGGGATCCAGAATGACATAATTTTGTATTAAACCTGGCACGCCACTATGGAAAGGTAGGTCCTTTCAGTTTGGAAGAGAGGGAGCATGCTGCGTTTCGAGTGCAGGTTTCAGATGCGAGTATGTTATCGTGACCAAAATGAGGATTAAAGAAGAGTTCATAAAGTAGAACAAGGCCTTAATCTGAGATTTAAAGGTTCATCTCGCTTGTACAAGAAGAGACTAATTAGGTAATTAATAAGCGCGTGGTGGACGTGAGAGCATACAAGACGTAACACTGGTTCGTTAACGAAGAAGATGAACGGAATAAAATGAAGCAAGACAGGACAACCCCAGTCCCAGCTCATTCCTTCCGAGTTCCCGCGAACAGGCGCCAGCCACACAGACCCAGAGACAGGCTCAGCGCGAGGCCTTCTGGGAACCGTAGTTCCCGGCGCCGACGGCCACAACCAGGGGCTAAGCGCATCCCATTAACTCCTTACTTGAGCTCCTCGGCCGAATACATCCCGAACGAAATGCCCTGAAGCCGCCTCCATGGCGTGTGCTTGGAGGCCAGCATCTTCCCAGTCAGTTTTGATATCCGTCTGCCAGAAAGAAGTTCCCGCAAGCTCCGGCGAAACCCTCTCACGTTCACTAGCGCGGACCACCATGTGTTTTCCACTGCGCTTGCGTACAGGAAGCGCTGCTTAGCGTTTTGGCTTGGACGAGCTCACTTTTGCTGTTGGGGTGGGTGGGAGTGGAAGAAAATAGTCTAAGACCCTCTTTCCGTTTAAAAGCAAAATTACAACTGAGACTTCAGAAGAAATGTATCAAGTAAATATATCTGAGGTGAATGATGTGCATTGAGCCTTCCTTTGGTATCCTTGCCAAACAGGACCTTGTAACCACCCATCCCGAGTTGAGACGTTCCACGGCCGCCCCGCCCCTCGCGACCTTGTAGGCGGAGGGCGTTCCCAACGTGCTCTGCGCACAGTCCGAAGATGGCGGCGGCCCTGTCTGCTCGCTGCCTCCGTTTCCGCAGAGGTTCTGCCTTGCTGCAGACCGCTCGGGGCCCAGGTGTGTGTGAAGCGAAGCTCGGCTGCAGGTAAGAAAGACCCTGGGTTAATTGCATCTTGAATTTCTCCGAGAGTTGTAGAACTAGGTGGTTTGCAACGCTGGAGGCCGCGCGCCCCCAAGGGTAGCACGAGGTAGCTGTGGTTTGAGATCACACGTTTCGAACAACGTGTTTTCTTTCGGGAGGTTTCTGTTATTGGGTTTTAATACTCTATAAAGTTGAAGTTGCCCTTTAAAACAGGGCCATGTTTGCGTGAAGTTTCCGTTTCCGTGAGTGCTTCTACAAGCCCTTTTACAAGTTTCTTTTTTTTTTTCTTTTTTCTTTTTTTTTTTTGGTTTTTTGAGACAGAGTTTCTCTGTGGTTTTGGAGCCTGTCCTGGAACTAGCTCTGTAGACCAGGCTGGTCTCGAACTCACAGAGAACCGTCTGCCTCTGCCTCCCGAGTGCTGGGATTAAAGGCGTGCGCCACCGCTGCCCGGCTACAAGTTTCTTTAAACCGCTTCTCATATTCATTTTAACTGTGCCTAAAGGAAAGGGCGAAGTAACAGATTTTCCCCCAAATAAAGGGCAGGCTGTTATCGCCACTGCGGATCGAATGTTAGAGAATGTTATGAGCCAAGACAATTAGGCTTTAGTAATAGCAAAAAAGTCTCAAACGCCAGACCCCACTCTTTGGATCCCATGTTAGCTACGTCTGGGTAATTTAATTTTACACCCTTCGAACAGTGGCCTTGTGAAAGTGTGAGGCATTTAGGTGTAGTAAAAACTTGAAACCCAATTTAACTTATTTTTGGATATGGATTCCAAGGCCTCATGCATGCCAATTACCCCACTCTGCTGCTGAATTAAAACTACCAACCAACCCAAGAAAAACTTAATTTTTATTTTATTGGTATTTATTGAGCTCTACATTTTTCTCTGCTCCCCTCCCTGTCTCCCCCCCCCCACTTCAGCCCTCCCCCAAGGTCCCCATGCTTCCAGTTTACTTGGGAGATCTTGTCTTTTTCTACTTTCTACTTCCCATGTAGATTAGATCTATGTAAGTCTCTCTTAGTGTCTGCATTGTTGTCTAAGTTCTCTGGGATTGTGGTTTGTAGGCTGGCTTTCTTTGCTTTATATTTAAAAACCACCTATGAGTGAGTACATGTGATAATTGCCTTTCTGGGTCTGGGTTACCTCACTCAAAATGATCTTTTCTACCTCCATCCATTTTCCTGCAAAATTCAAGTTGTCATTTTTTTTTCTGCTGTGTAGTACTCCATTGTGTAAATGTACCACATTTTCCTTTTCCATTCTTTGGTCGAGGGGCATTTAGGTTGTTTGTTTCCAGGTTCTGGCTATGATAAACAAAGCTGCTATGAACATATCTGAGCACATGTCCTTGTGGCATGATTGAGCATCCTTTGGATATATACCCAAAAGTGGTATTGCTGGGTCTTGAGGAAGGTTGTTTCCTAATTCTCTGAGAAATCGCCATGCTGACATCCAAAGGGGTTGTCCCAGCTTGCATTCCCATCAGCAGTGCAGAAGTGTTCCCTTTTCCCCACAACCTTTCCAGCATAAGTTGTCATCAGTGTGTTTGATCTTGGCCATTCTTACACGTGCAAGATGGAATCTTGGTTGTTTTGATTTGCATTTCTCTGATGACTAAGGATGTTGAACATTTCCTTAAGTGTCTTTCGGCCATTTTAGATTCCTTTGTTGAGAGTTCTCTGTTTAGGTCTGTACTCCATTTTCTTTTATTGGATTATGTGATCTTTTGGTGTCCAATTTCTTGAACTCTTTGTATATTTTGGAGATCAGACCTCTGTCTGATGTGGGGTTGGTGAAGATCTTTTCCCATTCTGTAGGCTGTCGTTTTGTCTTGTTGACCATGTCCTTTGCTTTACAGAAGCTTTTCAGTTTCAGGAGGTTCCATTTTATTATTTCTCTCAGTGTCTGTGCTGCTGGGGTTATATTTAGGAAGTGGTTCCCTGTGCCAATGCGTTCAAGTGTACTTTCTCTTCTATAAGGTTCAGTGTGGCTGGCTTTATGTTGAGGTCTTTGATCCATTTGAACTTGAGTTTTGTGCATGGTGATAGATATGGGTCTATTTTCATTTTTCTACATGTTGATATCCAGTACCAGCACCACTTGTTAAATATGCTTTCTTTTTTCCATTTGATATTTTTTACTTCTTTATCAAAGATCAGGTGTTCGAAGATGTGTGGGTTGATATCCGGGTCTTCTATTCGGTTCCGTTGGTGGTTCTTATGCCAATACCAAGAAAAACTTTTATATTCAGTGTCTGCCTTTTCTTCAGTTGGATGACAATAAGCACTTTTTCCCTAAGTCGATTCTAACTAGTAATAATTGTCAGAAAGAACGCTAGGGAATGAATGAAATGTAACTTACAGTATACATTTTGTACCTACTTCATCTCAATTTGAGAACACCAGCTTTACCATTTTGCATACTGGTTACCCCCACCCCCACCCTCCCCCGTGCCTGTTTTCTTTGCCTGGTGGCTACTTGTTCAACATAAGATGATGCTCTCTTCATGTTGTCATTGGCTAACAAATGACTTTTGAAAGAGTTGATCCACTTCTAAAACGCCCCTGTCACAGAAGTGTCGCTTTCAAATGTTGCCTGAAGGACAGGGAGATGGCCCAGTGGGTAAGATGCCTGTCATCCAAGCCTCCATTATAGTTTCATGTTAAGTTGGAAGGAAAGAACCAACTCCACAGAGTTGTACTCTGGCTGCGTGTGCCATGGTACATACAATCACACAAAAATAATGAATGCTTAAGTAAAATGATACCTTAGACCAGGTAGGTATCAGTGGATGATGTGCTTTCCTCTGTGATCACATATAAAATTTCTGATGCCCTTTAGGAATGGAAGAGACAAGATATTATTAACTTCATTATTTTTGTTGATTTTATTTTAGGATACCAATAAGTGTATTGTTACCAGTGAATAAGATAAGCACTGACTATCCTGGAACTTGTTCCGTAGGGTAATATTTCTATACCAGGCAAAAAAAAAAAATAAAACCTTGGTGGCCTCTGAGAATGTAGCAGCCTTGTGTTGTTGATACGGTTTTGGTAGTTAAAAGTGATATACTGTAAGGCTATGGGTGATCGTAGCTTTGTTCTGATTGCTTTGAATGAAGTGCGCATTTACTGTCTGGGTTCTGTCTGTTAAAAGCAACGGCTCACTGAATTGTTCCTTGTCCTATGTTTTCCAGGTTAATTTCTGTGTATTTCAAACCAGCTGTTCAGATGTTTCAGTGCCATTCAGTTTCAGTTCTAACCTTGTTTATTTTGTGATGAGATTAAATGCCCAAAACATTTTGGCTGAGACTGTAGCTTAATTGGTGTTCCAGAGCTTGGCTTAGCATGGGTGAGGCTCACCTTCAATTCCTAACATCACGAATGAGTCAATCAGTCTTGATCTCCTGTTTCTTGCATTAAACTTGTGTTGGTCATGATGTGTGGTATGGAGTCTGGTCTGTTTGATCATGATGGTTAGAAAATGTATGCATGCAGGTGGAGATGAACTGAGAACGTCTTTAGTGAGCAGTATTAACATTAGAGGGTTTTTTTGTTTTTATTTTAATGCAGATTTTATTCTGGAAGTGAATCCCTCCCTAAGGTTGAAGGAACAAATGTAACAGGTATTTTTTAAAATTATGGAAATAGTTTTTTATTTAAAAACAAAAAATACACAATTATATTTCTTTGTAGTTAGGAAGCTATTTTTATTTTTATCTTTAAGGAATTGAAGAAATAGTCATTCCAAAAAAGAAAACATGGTGAGTATTAATTTGCTATTCGTTTAACCAGTGGTTGGGTGTTTACTGCAAATAAAACATAAGTTTTTTTTTTTCTTTTTCTTTTTTTTTCGAGACAGGGTTTCTCTGTGGCTTTGGAGCCTGTCCTGAAACTAGCTCTGTAGATCAGGCTGGTCTCGAGCTCACAGAGATCCGCCTGCCTCTGCCTCCCAAGTGCTGGGATTAAAGGCGTGTGCCACCATCACCCAGCTCAGAGGTTAAGAGCATTGCCTGCTCTTTCAAAGGTCCTGAGTTCAATTCCCAGCAACCACATGCTGGCTCACAACCATCTGTAATGGGGTCTAGTGCCCTCTTCTGGCCTGCAGGCATACACACAGACAGAATATTGTATACATAACAAATAAAACATAAGTTTTAAGCAGTACCTAGAACGTAGGCAAATATTTATGTTAACTATTATTTTGAAGTTTTGTGATGTCATTTTTGTGTAAAACTATACATTTAGTTTAGAATTGAACTATTAGATATACTTTTGTATAATACTTTTAAATTTTAGTGGCTGTATTATATTTCATTATCTAAATATGACTAGATTCTTGTTTTAGTGGCCAAGAGCAAGAACAGTGGCTGGCCATGGTGCCACCTGCCTTTAATCCCAGCACTCAGGAGGCAGAGGCAGGGGGATTTCTGTGAGTTCAAGGACAACCTGGTCTACCTGGTGAGTTCATACAGTGAGAGGCCCTGTCTTTAGAAAAAAGGACTCAGAGCTAAGAGTAGAAACTTGTCTGTGAATAGAGCATCCAGTGTACAGCACTTTGCCAACATCTGTATGCAGAAAACTACAAGAGGTCCAGCAGGAGGAATATTTGGAGTGTGTTACAATGTAATGGCCACCCGCTTGTATTGTATCTTATAGTCCTCTATGTATGTAAATTTACCCATACAGCTGGCAGGAATCCAGATACGTTGAGTGTTGTTTTGTGGTGGCATACACCTGTAATCCCAGCACTCTGGAGGCAGAAGCTAAAGGGTTGTCAAAGGTTCCAGGGCTAGTTAGCAAGGTCTTGACTCAAAACACAAATTAAAAGTATTATTTATACCAATCAAGTTGCTTTTCATTTAATATTTATAGTTTAGCTATACTGAAACTAGGTCTGATCACTCCAGGGTTTTATTACAGATGCACCTTCCTATTGGTAGTTCTTCTGAGATTCAGGAAGGCAGATTGTTGTTGACTGTGGTTGTAGGAGTCCAGGAAGGCCGGTGGAAAATGTTAGGAAACGGGATAGGAGTTGGTTGATACAAAGTGCGGTCAGCAAATCAAGGCCCCTTTTTAAAAATTTAGTTTATAAGATTAGTTTTTGTTTCTTATATAGTGGGGGAAGGGGGCTAAAGAAAATAACATCAAAAAAAAAAAGAAAGCTGGGCAGTGGTGGCACACACTTTTAAATCCCAGCACTTTGGAGGCAGAGGTGGGTAAATCTCTGTGAGTTCGAGGCCAGCTGGTCTACAGCGTGAGTTCCAAGACAGCCAAGACTACAGCATAAAACCCTGTCTTGAAAAACCAAAAAGGGAAAAAAAAGTAACCTGAAAAATTGTGTCAAATTCTGTGTGGAATGCAGCTTAGTTTGTTTACATGTTTCCTTTTATTGCGTGCTGACAGTTTGGACAGTAAACTTTTAGTCCCACCATAGTTTACTAAATCTGGGGCTGCAGAGATGACTCAGCCATTAATGGTTAGACTCACAACCAAAATATTTACTCTATCCCCTTACCCCCACCCTGCAAAAGAAGAAAAAAGGAAGGAAAGAGAAATGGTGTGGGGTGTACTTTGAACCCTGATTTCTAAGTTGAACCAGTATTTTCAGACTACACATTCCTTCTGTCCTTTAAGGCAGTGTATTCTGAGATCTCACCATGCCACAGAGAACTTGAATAAATTACAGTCATTGTGAATATGACATTATGGAGGCAGTGTCTAGCAGGATAGTATGGATTATAAGAAGCCTAAGAAGTATAATTTTCTGGCTCTTGAAACGCAGAGGCAGGTGAACCTTAGTGAGTTCAAGGCCAGCCTGGTCTACAAAGCGAATTTCAGTATAGCCAGGACTGTTACACAGAGAAACCCTGTCTAGAAGAACTAAAAAGAAGAAAGAAAAAGAATAATAAGCTCGGTAGCTGTGTACTTACTTGTCTTGAAATGGATGTATAGAATAGGCCCCACGCCCATAATTAATGACCCCGATGAAGCTGAGGAAGGAGGAGCTTGCATTCAAGGACTACATAAAGTGACCCTGTCCCAACACAACCAAACAAAAACAGCCAACATAGCATATCCAGTGGCTGTTTTGTACAATAGAATTATTCAACTTCTTATGTCATAAAACTTAATGTTTCTTTCTCTTTCTCAGATGACTTACAATCTTAAAAATGTTCTCTTAATTTAGAATAACCCTTAGTTTTTTTTTTTAAATCACAGTGATTCTTTTGGAAATGAAGCACCTAACTCTAACAATAGAGTAAACATAAGGGGCTGGAGAGATGGTTCAGAGGATAAGAAGACAATTCAGTTTTGTTTTCTTGAGACAGGGTTTCTCTAGCTTTGAAACCTGTCCTGGAACTCTCTCTGTATACCAGACTGCCCTCGAACTCTGCCTTGACAGTTCAGTTTCTAAAGTCAGATGGCCCATAACCTCCTGTAACTTTAGCTCCAGGGGGATCCAGTGCCTCAGGCTTCCACAGGCTCCTGCATTCATGAGCATATAACCACACAGACACATAGATACATAATTAACTAGATGGTGTCATCTGTCATTTATGCTGGTGAAGCTTTTCCAGTAGTTCAGCAACAGAGGTAAAGTGTGCTGCTGGCCTAAGGGTCTTTTGCCCTCCCTGAATAAAAAAGTAGGTAAGAAGTTTATTCAGTATGGCCAATTAGGAAGAGAGACAAAGATCCAGTGGGAACCTCCCCCTCCCACCCCAGTCACCAGTAAGGAAAGGGCTGGAGTTATAAATAGGTGGTCCAGGCTATGGCATGGTCTCACATCATGTCCCACCATTGCCTACGCTTCAGTCTGACAAGTTAGAACTGCATGAGATCTATTTATGAGAGAAAATTCTTTTTTTGGCTAGCCCCAGACTTCAGCATTTTTCTTCTCCCAACATGAAGTTCTCTGGGGTACCCCGGGAGGGACAGAGGTGTGTGATATCCTCATTTTTCCTTGCCTATCACTCTTAGCATTAGATTTAGATAAAGAAGTGCCTCAGTCCTGTGGGATTCAGTAAGGATACAAGTGAGTCATTGCAGAGGCTTTGCTTTAGTTTCAGGTCAGAGTTCAGAGCCAGTACTTTGGCTAGTTAAAGGCAAAAATCTAGAGATCTTCTCTACGAATACATGAGGAAGTCACAAGATAGATTTATGAGGCAGGAGAGGGAATCACCAGCCCTGGGTAATGGTATTAGGGACAGGTCAGGATGCATATGAAGCAAGGGAAGGTAGCATGTGTGCCCATCAAAAGAACCAGTGCTGAGGGTCTGCCCTCACAGGACTCTAAGCCCCATCCTCTAGCACTGATTATTGAGTTGGAGTTCAGCTCTGGAGCCAGGAGTCTCCAACCTTCCTCCTGCCTCTGCCTCCCTGTCCCTGAGATTAAGGATTTGCATACCTGCTTCTGTTCTGGTGGTTTTGAGAAGTAAGCCCTGGCTCTGGGTGAGGCCTTGTCTTGTGGCCAAGTCCTCTAAGAGTAGAGCGACTTGCTCGCTTTGTAAGTGTGAGTAGTCTTGGTAAAGACTGACTTGTGTGGTTCTTATTCTAGGGATAAAGTGGCTGTTCTTCAGGCACTTGCAACCACAGTGAACAGGGTAAGTAGGATTTTTTGATTAGTAACACATTAAGTGTTATAGCTCTTTATTCAGAGTTAAACTATAGTGTATCTAGAAATTTTTTTTGCAATCTAACCCAATCCCTCCTTTTGGAAAATGGGTATACAGGTTTGTGAAGTGACCAGCCTAGGTCTGGCTAGGATGTAATGCTCATGGAGTGTTTTTACAGCATACGATAATTGTTTGTTTTGAGAGACAGTCTTTCTGTAGTCCTTGCTGTGCTGGAACTTGGTATGTCGAGCAGGCTGGACTCAAGATCACAGAGATCCTCCTCCTGCCTCTGCTTCCCAAGTGTTAGGGTTTTATTTATTATGTATACAGTGTTCTGTCTGCATGCTTGCCTGCACGCCGGAAGAGGGCATCAGATCTCATTATAGATAGTTGTGAGCCGCCATGTGGTTGCTGGGAATTGAACTCTGGTCATTGCTCTTAACCTTTGAGCCATCTCTCCAACTCCCAAATTTATTTATTTTTATTTTGTGAGCATTGGTGTTTTGCCTGCATGTATGTCTGTGTGAGGGTGTCAAATGCTCTGGAACTGGAGTTACAGCTACTTATGAGCCATCCACCATGTGGGTGTTGGAAAATTGAACCTGGGTCCTCTGCAAGAGCCGTCTTTCCAGCCCCAGAGTGTTAGGATTTTTCAGGGCTTGTACTGTCGAGCCTATCAAAATTGCTATCAGTAATTTTTTTTAAGTTACTGGAAAAGCTATTTGACATGCTTGTTTCTAAAAAGGAATGAAATAAAAATTAATTAATTAAAAAACAGATGCTTGTTTCTGAGGGATTTGGTAACCAAGCAGAGATGTGTGACTCTGGGACTTGGGTCCTTCCTGCTGGTGATAATACACTGGTCAAAATACAGATCTTATATCAGGTGCGGTGGTACATGCCTTTGATCCCAGAAATTGGGAGACAAAGGCTGGGTAGAGGGCTGGAGTTCTGTAGCTCCTGAGGCCTCCAAAAGGCACACACACACAGTTCTGAATAGCATTTCAGATGCTTATTTACAGACAAATGAACTGCTCAATCACTGTCCACCTGATTAATTGGGGCAGGGTCTCAATTTTACCAAGAGCTTGCTATAAAGGTTGCTTTAGCTAGCCAGTATTCTGGGAATCCCTTGTCTCTGTGTTCTGAACACTAGAATTACAGGAGGACTAGCGCAACCATCCAGTACTTAAAAGTTCTGTAGTTCATACTTGCATGGCAGGTGCTGTATCTACATGGCCATTTCCCAGCCCCTGAAGACAGTTTCTTTGTAGCATTGGCTGTCCTGGAACTTGCTCTTTAGACCAGGCTAGCCTCAAACTCAAAAGATGCACACCCGTCCCCCGTCTCCCACCAGTACTGCAATTAAAAGTGTTCACCACTACCTAGTAAGAAGAAACTCTTAAAAAAAAAAAAAGAAGGAACTCTTCAGGGAATATACATATGGATGCAGAGTGGCTGTGCTGTGAAGGGATCTTACTATAGGAAACTGTCAAGGGACTAGTTAATTCAGGGAGTCCTTAACTAACATTTAAAACTGTGATAGTCCTAACTGACAACAGACTGAACTCCTAAGAAATAAGGCGGAGGATTAGCACAGTGCCTAAATGCTAATTAATTCTGTGAAGCTCTGGGTTCAATCCCTAGTACCAAGAGAAGAGAAAATCTCGTAGGATGGAGCCATGGGGATTTGTACTTGTTTTAAGTTGTACATAATTTGGGGAAAATCTTTTGACGTGTGTGTTTTCTTTCTATATATGCAGACATATGACCATACATATTCCTGCATATATGTTTCATATATTACAGAATTTGTGATCATCAATAAAGCTTAGAGAGTATGAATGAAAATCTAAAAAGCTGTGCATTTCCACAGGACCCCACAGCTGTACCTTATGTCTATCAAGATGACCCTTACCTCATCCCAACCTCTACTGTGGAGTCGGTGAGTGCTGTTATGAAACTTCTCAAATACTTTTAAGACCCTTACTAATTTGTGTAACAGTATGTAAATAGTTGAATTATTAAAATAAAATAAACCTTGAAAAGCTTATACATGCTGACAAATGTTAGGCTCTGAATCTTCTATCAAAAAAGTATTTAAGTATTGTCTCTGAAGAAAGTTGTGCTTGTAATTTTTCTTTTATTAAGGTCTTAACTAACACATAGCAAACCATTTGTGTGCGTGTATGTATGTGTGTGGGAGGTGGGTGGGTGGTGTAGGTTGCGCTGTATATAAAATGTGACCTGAAATAGTCATACTCAGAAGTGAGCTATGTGGTGTACTGTAACTTGGCTTGTAATTGGAACTTCTTGTATTATTGCATTTTTCTTTCTTTTTTTTTTTTCTGGGGGGAAGGGAGTAATTTTGCCGAAGGTGGAGCTTTGCTTAAGTCTAAATTTTATGTTAAGTGCTAATTTGTATTTAAATCTCTTCCCCTCTCCCATATAGCGTTCGTTTTTATTGGCAAAGAAGTCTGGGGAGAATGCAGCAAAGTTTATTATTAATTCACATCCCAAATATTTCCAAAAGGATGTAGCTGAGCCTCATATTCCGGTAAGGAGAAGTGATTGTGTGTTTTACATACTTAAATGAATGCAGATTAAATCACGCTTCCATAGCTGATTTAGCCATTTTAGTGCCCTGGATGCTGGAGTGAGAACATTTGCTAACCTTTTAAAATCCTTCTTGTGTGATTCCTAATGCTACTCCTGAGTCTTCTCTGTGACCGTTCCTTTTCAGGGTGCTCTAGTGGCTTCCTACATTTCCTTATAAATGTTTATCTTTATGATGTCTCTGCTCCTCTTTCTGTTTTTACAGTCTGCACTTGCTGTTTTGGTCATCCTTGCACTCTGTAAATATTGCCATGTATCTTGGCCAGGTTCCTCTTCTTGGGGCTTGAGGCTGTGCTTGTGACTCTCCCTTGTTCTGCAGTATGCAGTGTTACACTGTCTGCCACTGCAGTCCATTCCTTCTGCACAACAGTGAGCAAAATAGGTTCATCCTTTCCTCCCAGAGTCGTGAAAACACCAGCTTCACGTCTTGCTTACAGCCACTCACTTTCCCTTTTGTTCCCCAACTCACACCCAGACCCGGCCTTCCTCCAGTCACTTCTGGTGACTGGTCAGCATGCCAACACTGTTATGTGGTAAGATCAAAACCCTGATTAAAACGATGGAAGTTGTGGACTGTTGGCTCACCTCTCTCCCTTTAAGTTTTTGGTTGACAGTGTTCATGTGCTTGGCTTTGGGGTCACTGTCACTGGAAGCCTTGCAGGGTCTCTGCCTTGGAGATAGTGCCATAGCACATTGTACTAGAATGAGCTGTCTCTATCTCTGGTTTTTAGTTTGTTTGTTTTATTTTGCTGTTGGTGTGGGGGATGTTAATGACGGAATGCATGGCCTTGTGTAGGCTCCCTGCCACTACTTACACCCCTGTATAGGTTGCTTTTCCTGTTGTGACAAAATACATGACTTAATGAAGAAAAGCGTTGGTTTAGCTTAGTGTTTAAGGAAATTACAACCCATTGTGTAGGGTCAGTGTTGGCAGCAGGAGCAGCAGGCAGGTAGTCACACTGGAACTGCATGCAAGCAGGGAGCAGAAGCCTCGTGTCCCCAGTGGTTAGCTCACTTTCTCTTTATATGCAATCCAGATCTTGTATGGAATGATGCTGCCCACGTTTAGGATGGGTTTTCCCTCCTCAAGAACCTGATGTAGAAAATCCCTCCCCCAAAAACTTGACTTTTTAGAGATTATTGATTCTGTCAAGTTGACAGCATTAACTGCCACTACTGACTCTGATGTCTTAAGTACTTTGATGGAAGAGAATCCCCCCTCCTTTGATAAAATATCAGAATCCCTAATGCCTAGCCTAGTACCTGGAGTAAAGTGGTACCTACTCCAAATATATTTGAGAAATTAGTGAATGAGCTACAATCAAGATACCTTGGTGGTATTGAGTGTTCAAAGGAAAAGCAAACTCCAGGCAACAGTTTTGACTTTTAGAAACTCATGCTCTGGTGACTTTAACCAAGATGGGCAGTGAAGGAGGAACAAAAAGTTTTGGGGCCGGGCGGTGGTGGCGCACGCCTTTAATCCCAGCACTCGGGAGGCAGAGGCAGGCGGATCTCTGTGAGTTCGAGACCAGCCTGGTCTACAAGAGCTAGTTCCAGGACAGGCTCCAAAACCACAGAGAAACCCTGTCTCGAAAAATCACAAAAAAAAAAAAAAAAAAAAAAAGTTTTGGGTTTGGGGGTGTGCTAGCTGGCATTGTGTGTCAACTTGACACAAGGTAGAATCATGAGAGAGGAAGGAACCTCAGTTGAGGAAATGCCTCCATGAGATGTGTGGCATTTTCTCAATTAGTGATCAGTGGGGTAGGGCTCAGCCCATGGTGGGTGGTGCCATTCCTGGACTGTGGTCCTGAGTTCTATTTAAAAAAAAAAAAAAAAGCAGGGTGAGCAAGTCATGTGAGGCAAGCCAGTAAACAGCACCCCTCCATGGCCTCTGCATTAACTCCTGCCTCCGGGATCCTATCCTGTTTGACTTCTTGTCCTGGCTTCCTTCAGTGGTGAGCAGCAACATAAAAGTGTAACCCAAATGGACCCTTTTCCTAACTTGCTTTGTGTTCATGGTGTTTGTCACAGCAATAGGAACCCCAGCTAAGACGGGGGGGGGGTATTGTTCTTTGTCGTTTTTCTATTTTCAAGACAGGCGCTCACCAAGTACCCTGGTTGGCCTGGAACTCAGAAGAAATCCACCTGCCTCTCCTTGCAGGGTGCTGGGTTTTAAGATGTGTTCCACCATGCCTGGCTTTATGTTTCATTGTTTTGTTTTGGAAGCAGTTTTTTTTTTTTTTTACTGGAACCAAAGTATTCAGCTTCAACCTGGGGTTGAGACCCTTGGTTGGAAATAGGGTATTCAAAGTATGGATTGGATGTTTATGACTGAATATTTTAAATTTTTCATAAAGTCAGGAGATGATTAAGTAGTCTTCTATGTTCGGGTTGAAGTTTATTGGCCTTTCTTGTTCATTTATTTGTTTTGATTTTGGTTTTTCAAGACAGGATTTCTCTGTGTAGCCTTGACTGTCCTGGAACTTGCTCTGTAGATCAGGCTGGCCTCAAATTCACAGAGCACCAAGGTTTGCCTGCCACTGCTTCTGCAGTACTGGGGTTAGAGTAAAGGCATTCACCGCCACCCATCCAGCTTCTTGTTCTTATCTGTATATTTTATTTTAATGTTCGGATGTAAGTCGTGTGTAGTAAGGAAAACAGGAACTGGAGCCGTTAATTTTTTTTTTATTTTTTTATTTTATTTATTTTTTGGTGTGTTGGTGCTAATAGCCCCATCCTACTGTCAACCTGTTTCCTTTGCCTGTTTGCCATCATTTATTCGTCTTATTTTCTAGTGCTTAATGCCAGAGTCCTTTGAGCCTCAGATTGAAGATGTGAGTGAAGCCGCCCTGAGGGAACGGATCAGACTCAGGAGAGTCAAGGCTTCTGTGGACCTCTTTGATCAACTCTTACAAGCAGGTGACTCCCCTCAGTCAGAGCCCCTCTTGGAACACAGGGCCGTTTAATAGGATCCAAGTAGTATTAAGTAAAAATGACCAATAGTGTCTTTGCTTGATGGTGTTGTTTCTGTTTTAAGTGGTGTGCTATACATAATTCATTTTCTGCTCCAGCTTCATACTGACGCTGTCAGTGAAGCAGAACTGAAGGCTCATCCTTTTGTTTTTGTCCTGTGCACTGGGAAAGAAAGCACATGTTGACGATTATTCCTTGGCCTCCTTTTTTTTAACATTAGGTGTGAGAAGACATGGCCAAATAAATCAGAAATATGCTGGGTGGTGGTAACGCACACCATTAATCCCAGCACTTGGGAGGCAGAGGCAGGACAGCCAGGGCTACACAGAGAAACCCTGTCTTGAAAAAACAAAACAAAAACCAGAAATATTTTAAGTTTTGTGTGAATTTTGTTTACATGTATTATCTGTGCATCATATGTGGGCCTGGTGCCTGCGGAGAGCAGAAGAGGGCATCAGATCCTCAGTAACTGGAGTTATAGATGGATATTTTGCCACCATTTTGGGTCCTGGGAATCAAGCCAGGTCCTGTGGAAGAACAGCGAGTGCTCTTAACTGCTGAGCCATCTCTTCAGCCCCAGAGGAGTATTTTAAAAGAAAGATTGTTCAACTGGGATCAGAGACTTGGATATTGATGTGATTCTGCCTCACTTAGTAACCTAGATAAAGGCCATGCAACGTTTCCCAAGTGTCTAACATCATGTTGTGCTTTGAGTTAGATATGGAGAACTCTTGGTTTTTTGAGATAAGGTTTCTCTGTATGTCTCTGACTATCCTGGAACTCACTCTGTAGACCAGACTGGCCTTGAACTCACAGAGATCTGCCTGCATCTGCTTCCATGAGTGTTGGGATAAAAGGCATGCACCACTATTGCCTGGCTAGATCTGAAGAACTTTATAGGAAATACAATTCTAGATATTGTGGCTGGTAAGCTACAGTGAATGTACATGTGGTCACCTCAGAGGGACCATTATCATTAAATTTTAGGAGTCTAGAATACTGTTTAATGAATTAGAATAGAAGAAATAAAAACATGGGAAATCATTGAAAATACGATTTGAACCCAAAACATTTTCTCATACCCTTCAGGAATTTAGGTGTCTGACACCTGAAGGACGACAGCAGATAGTATGTTGGTGAGGTTTTTCTGCTTTCCGGGTGTGAGCAGTGCTTGGCAGGAATCTGGATTGCGCTCCTCGGGGATAGTGGTATAGGTGTGTGCAGCCCCTCAGTAAATTCTTTTGGGGTTTTTGAGGAGGCAGGGTGTCATGTGGCTTAAACTGGTCTTAAACACTTTTTGGTCAAGGATGGCCTTGAACTCCTTCCACCTCTGTCTAAAATGCTGGGTTGTAGGTCTGGGCAGTTATACCAAGCTTAATAAATTGGGCCTTTAACCTTTTAAAAAAATACTTCTTTTTGAAAAAAGATTATATTTATATATTTTTTGTGTGTATGGGTGTTTTTCCTCCGTATATGTAAGTATGGTTGTCATGTCCTTGCCTGCTATTTGTGGAGGTCAGAAGAGACTATTCACTCCCTTGGAACTGAAGTCATGCTTGTGGTCCACCATGTGGGGGGTCAAAGTTCAGGTCCTCTGCAAGAGCAAAAATGCTCCCGGCTGCTGAGCCATCTCTTCAGCCCCCTCTTTTCTTTCCTTTGTACTTTTCTCTGTAAAATGAGTGCTGACATGGGAGTCGTTTTGAGCAGTAGGTTTTTGGTGGGTTTTGTTGTGGATTTTTGAGGTGCTGGGAGTCAAATGAGTGGTTTTTAAGATGATTGTGATTCTTCATTTATGCTAGTCGTTCTTAGTACAGTTTTACTGAGGGCCTGAATCCAGTTGGGATAATTGTTTTTGTATATTCAGTGGATCTGTCTAAGGGAATTAAGTGGAAATTGACCTGGACCTGCAGGTCATTCTTCAGTGACAGGTTCCAGAGAGGAAAAACCAAGGGGTCAGAAAGCAGAAGATACCAAAACTGGGGTCAAAAGGTCTCACACAAGCTTTGTCTTATGGCAAACAAGTTTATTAATAAACAGCATCTTACATGCAGTTTGCAGGGGGACAGTGGGACAGAGTCACCAGAAAGCCATCATGGTTAATTGGTAACGTGGTAGGAGGGATTAAGTATGTATCCAAATAAGCCGCCATTAATAGAAAAAAAATGAAGAATTTTATCTAACAGGCTTTCTTTGGCTCTTGGATATTTGAAGGTTTCTTTTTTTTTTTTTTCTCCTAACCACAGGAACCACAGTCTCTCTTGAAACAACTAATAGTCTCTTGGATTTATTGTGCTACTATGGTGACCAAGAGCCCCCAGCTGACTATCCATTTCAACAAAATGAGCATACGGAAAACTTGGTAAAAAAAAAAAATGGCTTTTTGTTTCTAAAATAATGTTTTCTCAAAATGGGCCACGGAGGCCGGGCGTGGTGGCGCACGCCTTTAATCCCAGCACTCGGGAGGCAGAGGCAGGCGGATCTCTGTGAGTTCGAGGCTAGCCTGGTCTACAAGAGCTAGTTCCAGGACAGGAACCAAAAAGCTACGGAGAAACCCTGTCTCAAAAATCAAAAAAAAAAAAAAAAGCAAAAAAAATGGGCCAGGGTTCTGTGCCATGTGTCAGAGTAGTAAAGGGTCTATACTGAGAGGGCAAAGTAGCCTTCAGTAAGCAGTGATTGATGAAGGAAGGCACATATGAACATTGGTTTGTATTCATTTTTAATCAGTGTATATTATACAAAAATGATGTTTTATTATGACATTTCATTGATATATACACTGTATTTTAATAATACTCCCCCCCCCCCTTACCCTATCACCTTTCCCAGTGGTCTCTTTCATTTTCCCAAATAGCTCCCCTTCTACTTTGTTCGTATGAGGAAAAAACAAGCAACGTCTGCTTTTCTGACTACATATAATCTCTATCTAGTTCTACCCATTTTTCTACAAATGACAGAATTTTGATCTTTATGGCTGAATATGTGCCACACATTTTGGGGGGAGGTGAACGTAGGGTTCTACACATACCAGATAAGTACTGAATCGTGGAACCCTTTCTCCAGAGCCTCCCCCCCTTTTGTTTGTTTGTTTTTGAGATAAGGATCTTGCTAACGTGCTTGGACTATTCTCTTTTTTGTTGTTGTTGTTGTTGTTTTTGTTTGTTTTTTTGAGACAGGGTTTTTCTGTAGGTTTTTGAACTCTGTCCTGAACTCACAGAGATCCACCTGTCTCTGCCTCCTGAGTGCTGGGATTAAAGGCCCCACCACTGCTCGACTGGACTGCCCCTTAAATTCATATTCTGCATGCATCAGCCTCCTAAGTACCTGGGATGCAGGCACCACCGTTAGTTCTAGCTACACATAGCTGGGAGTGGTGCACACACATTTAATCCCAGCATAGAGGCAGAGGCTGGTAAATCTCTGCATTTGAGGCCAACCTGTTCTGCATGGTGAATAAGGCCCAGCATAGTCAGTGCTACAGTTCAGCTATTGTAAATGGGGCCATAGTAAGTATAAGTGTGCAGGTATCTTTACAGTATGTAGTTTTTCGGGCATATACATGCATTGTGGAAGGGCATAGCTGGATTGGATGCTGTTTTGAGGAAATTTCATGCTGATTTCCATAGCAGCTCCACTAGTTTTGTGTCCCCAACAGCCGTGAGTATTTAAGGATTCCTTTTATCCTGCAGCCTCACCAACATTTGTGGCTAAGGTGAGGTAGAATCTCAGAATAGTTTTGATTTGTGTTTTCTTAATGAAACAATTACCTTAATTTTATTCTACTTAGCAATAGTTTGTCTTCATGTACTATATACTCAGGCAAAGTTTTGGTCAGGAACATTTGATCCAGTCCTCTGTCACTATGGTGACTTTGTGTTGGGTAATGATCAAGGAAAGATTCTGTATTTTGTCACTGGTTACCCTTTGCCTAAAAATTGTACATATAGGGCCAGTGAGATAGTTGAGCAGGTAAAGGTACTACTACACAGGCCTGAGAACCCCGAGTTTGGTACCTGGAGCCATTGTAAAGATGCTACGAAAGAGCCAACTAGTTCCTCAGAGTTGTCCTGTGATCTCTGTGTGTGCTATAGCATTTGCAGGTCCATACTGAACACGATGGATTTTTAAAATTTATACAGATGTGGGCAGAGGAGGGAGCATGCTGGGCTTAAGCCAAGTATTGCCTGTAGATGGAATAGTAACAGTCAAGTTGGGGGGTTTTATTTCTAGAAATAGATTTCAAGGGATCCTTTGTATCCGGTATACAGAGGTGTGTATGAAGTGTTTTTCTAAACTGGTATGGATTTATGCCTGTATGTGCAAAGATCCTGAAAACAGTGTAGATAGCCAATAGCAGGTGATGATGGTGAAGCTGTTGAGCTGTCAGGATAGCCCTGGTGGTATGGAATGATTCATCCTGGAAGGAAGAGGATACTGAGCATCCATAATTAAAAATCCCCAATCCAAATTTTATTGCTGAAACTGATGGAGGAAGGTCATTGGTTAAATAAAAAGAAACTGCTTGGCCCTCATTGGTTAGAAGATAGGTGGGAGGAGTAAACAGAACAGAACGCTGGGAGGAGGAGGAAGTGAGCTCAGACTCCACAGCTCTCCTCTCGGGAGCAGACGCCTCAGAGAGACGCCATGCTCCCAGCTCCCAGGCAGACGCACGCGATGAAGTTCCGACCCAGGATGGACATAGGCTAGAATCTTCCTGGTAAGCGCACCTAGGGGCGCTACACAGATGATTAGAAATGGGCTAAATTGATATGTGAGAATTAGCCTAGAAGAGGCTAGATAGAAATGGGCCAAGCAGTGTTTAAATGAATACAGTTTGTGTGTTGTTATTTCGGGCATAAGCTAGCCAGGCAGCCGGGGTGCTGGGGACGCAGCCCCGCTGACCCATATTACTACAAATGGCGCCCAACGTGAGGCTCGAACCCACGACCCTGAGATTAAGAGTCTCATGCTCTACCGACTGAGCTAGCGTCCCTGGCACCCTAGCCGCCCCTTATTACTACATGAAACGCTCCAAAATATGAACTTTTTGACTATCTACTAAATGGGAACTTCCCGCCTGGCCTTATATGATTTCAGTCTTTCAAAACTTCTTCATGTTGTATGTGTTTGGAGAATAAATTTCATGTTTAGTTTATTACACTCTTTTGGATAAGGGGTTCAATTTTTGTTACTTTTCTAAAAAAACATTTTTTCATTTGCAGACGATAAAAATATTTTAAAAGTATTTCTCAGTAATGATATTATGGATTGTTTCTGTTCTTCATCCTGTGGGTAACTTCCCTACATAGTAACTAGTGTTGTAAAGTGCTCAGACAGTGACAAGTCATGTCTTCTGAGCCCTGCCAGACTGGCCCCCTGTTCCCAGCCTTGCTCCTGAAATAGCTGGCTGCCTACAGAACTAACCCTGGCTTCTGCAAATGCCAGTCAGGCCTCTATGTCTGCCTCATCCCTGACACTTGGTTTATAAGTAAGGGCAGAATTTCTAGTGTTAAAGGTCTACTATTAGACATTAATGGCAGTATCTCTTGCTTTTACCCCATGTGTGCAGTATTTTTCTGAGTCGAACCAGTGTTGGGTTCCGTAGAAGTAGATTGCACTTTGTTTTCTTTTCTGCTTTTTACCCCTAGTCCTATCTCTAGATGATCTCTTGTTTAAGAGCTGACTTTGCTTTCCTCTGTGTTCACTGATTTCACACTGAAGGAATTCGCTGTGGGTGGGAGCATTTTCTTCTGTTTCTCGTTGCCTTTTGCTGGTTTATTTCCCTTAGCTTTCTAAATTTTCTTTGCTTTTTTGATTTTTCTTAAGTAGTCCACTAGCAAATATTGTCTTACCTTTTATTTCATTCATTCTAGGAAGAGGCTACAGAGGAAAGTAATCAGACATCCAAGATGAAGACTATTCCTTGGAAGTATGTTACTCGTTGAGAATCTTATATTTTGGGGATTTTACAGTCCTCTGGAGTAGCAATCCTGAAATGTTCTAAATAGATTTTCCCCCTTCATTTTACAGATGTATTCTACAATCTGTCTTTATATTTTAGACCTTTTGTCTTTTCTGTGTATCTGTGTGTGTCAGGGTTTCTCTGCAGTTTTTGGCTGTCCTGGAGCTCACTATGTAGAGCAAGCTAACCTTAACTCAGAGATCCTTATGCCTCTTGAATGGTAGGATTAAAAGTGTGTGCCACTTCAACTGGCTTATTAGTTATTGTTATATTCAGGATTCTACCTACATAGCCCAGGCTAGCCTCAAACACAGACCATCCCTGCTTCTCCTCCCAAGGCCTGGTATAACAAGTATACAACATCACTTCTGGCTTAGACTTGTAAGAGTGTTGGCCGGGCGATGGTGGCGCACGCCTTTAATCCCAGCACTCGGGAGGCAGAGGTAGGCGGATCTCTGTGAGTTCGAGACCAGCCTGGTCTACAGAGCTAGTTCCAGGACAGGCTCCAAAGCCACAGAGAAACCCTGTCTCGAAAAACCAAAAAAAAAAAAAAAAAAAAAAAGAGTGTTAACTCCTGCCACCATACATAACCCATTTAGGGTTTGACCTGGTTGTCCTTTTTGTTTTTCCTCTGTTTTAGTTTCATTAACAGTGCTGCCTTGAGATGTAGATCCCTAATTCTGATAGAGTTTGTGTATTTTCGTGAATGAGAAATAGTTTGAAAAAAAGAGTAAATAATACTCATGGAGTGCGTAAGATAAAAATAAGTACTCTGCGTGGATGTGTAGAAAAGACGGCTACTGTTAATACCAGAAATTGAGATCCCGAGAGATGGCTCCGTAGACCATTTCCTGTTCTCTAAGATGTAGTTCCAGCTCTGGGCGGTCTGACCTCTGGGCACTAGCACATGTGACACACTGAAACAGATGAGGCGCACATGGACTTGGCTTATACTGTAGTTCTGTCTGGCTTCTTTAGATTAGATTAGGAAATATAAAGTTGAGTATAAAGGAAAATGTATATAAAGTGTATCATTTTCTTTTCCTCTAGTGGAGGTGCAAAATCGTTCGCATTCGAGTCATGCTTGCCTTGGGAATTCTGTATCAGGAGACAAGAAGTGGGGTGGGGAACAGAGGAGATCCTGCACTGTGTATCTTGTCTGCAGAGTTTTTCTTTACCTGGGGACCATGAGCTCTGCAGACCTTTGACCCTCCATTTTTGAGACAATCCTGTCACACTCTTCTGGGTGGTACAATAGTTATGAAGAAAATGGTGGCAGTTACTACTAGTTTTCCCAATGCCTCTGGTTCATGTTCATTCTGTTGTTTCTAGAACACAAAACAATGCTGAGAGAGTCTTTGCTCTAATGCCAGAGAAGAATGCACACTCCTACTGCACAATGATCCGAGGGATGGTAAAGGTACCTTCCATTATTTATTTTCATCTTGAAGGTCTATTGAGTTGGTGATTCTTTTCCACCCTTATACTAACATGGTTGGGAGATGCCTGGGATCCTGAGTGTATGTATAATGTGATTTTGGGGGTGGAGTCGGTTCTAAACAGGGTGTCTGTTTGCTTCATACAACTTTTATACACATAACTTGAAAATAGTTTTGCTTAGACAGGGTCTCAGTATATGACCCTGACTGGCTGGGTTGTTATGCAGACAAGGTGTAAATTCACAGCAATATGTCTGCCTCTGCCTTGTCTTAAAAGGTGCTTCAATACCAAATCAAAGCTCTTTCTTTTCCCACTCTCCTTCCTGCCTGTCTTTCTTTTTTTGAGAGACAGACTTTCTGAAATTGCCCAGGCTGGCCTCAGACTCAACAATTCTTTCCATCCTATCTCCAGAGTAATTGGGATCATGGGCCTATACTATAGGACTTAGCATAATCATTTTATGTAATATCTTTGTGAGTCTAGAGTCTATGCTCTGTTTGTAGCCTGTTAAATGAGGTTCTATTTATGGGACTCAAAATTTTTGAGCTTCTCAGCATCTCAGATTTTGGATTAGGGTTGAACAAGCTTTATTAAAGTTTTTGAGTTTGTTTTCTCTTTATTCATGCGTGTATACTTCTGTCTATGTCTTGTGTTACGTAGGAGTGTGTGTATATGCTTGTACGCATGCATGTACACACACTTTCATTGTATGCCTGCAGTTGATAGTAGACGGTGTGGATCCCTTGGAACCAGTTAACTACAGGCATGGGTGTGGGATTTAGAACTCTGGTTCTTGTGATGAGCACGCTTAAAGGCTGAGTTACCGCTTCCTCTTGAAGATCAGATGGTTGGAAGCTTTCCTGTATGTTCTGAGATGTCTTAGTGTTAGTTGTGAGTTGTCTAACATGCTCTTGCCTCACCCTCAGTGTCATCCCTGAAAATGTCTCCAAAGCATTGCTAGTGTACCTGGAAGATCCCTGCTGCACTAGGATGCAAGCCTCCTGAGAATTGGAGGCTCCTGTTTAGTGTATTCACGTTCCCTGCTGGGAAGGTTTTGATGATGTTGTTTTTCTCTCTCCAGCACCGAGCTTATGCACAGGCATTGAACTTGTATACTGAGTTATTAAATAACAGACTTCGTGGTGAGTTTGGGACTCCCCTCTTGCTGTGTCTTCCTCTATGACTATGGTTTTCAACCTTCCTAATGCTGTGACCCCTTAATATGGTTCCTTATGTTGTTGTGACCCCCGACCATAGAATTATTTTGTTGCTACTTCATAACTATAGTTTTGCTACTGTTGTGACTCCTAATGTAAATATTGGATATCTGATATGCACCTGCAGGTTGAGAAACAATACTCTAACAAGAATCGGTGGGATTTTTGAATTTTGTCTTGGTCATTGACCCATGGTTGTTGTTTGGGGAGCTGTTTGACTTTTGCTGCCACACTAGTGATTAAGATGGGATTAGAGATCTGGTTCTATGACCATTTTCTTTTCACTTCATCTGTTTTGAAGTAAATTTCCAACCTCAAGTTTTGTTAAGGTACTTTCTTTTACAGCTGATGTGTACACCTTCAATGCACTGATTGAAGCAAAGATGTTTATGCCTGATGAGAAATTTGAGGACAAATGGAATAACATACAGGTAAGGAAACACCTTCATTGTCTTCCTGTCCCTTTGACTAAGAAATACTAATTTAGCATTTCTGTGGCGGTCCCTTGCTTAAGAAGCCTCTCTGTTGTGGGGAGGAATACTGATTTGTCAGTGACTACATAGATAGGATGCAGGAAGATTTGGGACACTTAATGTCTAATTGATTTTATTGTTAGGTGCAAAGGTACATACCTACCTGTTGTAGAATTCTAACCAGGGAAGTTAAATTAAAATCACTGGAGAGATTTTTGTCAAAACGTAGAAATAGAATGTGTTTTTATGGTCACCATGGTCGCTTTTTATTTAGTCTCAGGTTGGTGGAAGACTGCAAATCCCCTGTGGTGCATGATAGGATTTGGAGAGACAGACACGTTGACCTATGACAGTGTTCAGAGGCTTTCTAGAAGATGAGATCCCTGTCAGCTTTTGGTTTTGCTGGTTTTCTTTCAGAAAGGGTCTCACCATCTAGCCTTTACTAGCCTGGAGCTTGATATGTAAACCAGGCTGGCTTTGAACTCAGAGATCCCTTGCCTCTGAATCTCAAGTGCTGGGCTACCAAACCAGGCTGTTTGTTTTTTAAAGCAGATAATTATTAAATTAAGGGTATAGTTAATTTGTTTCATATGTGGCCACAGAATTAAATTCTCTGTGCTTTGGCAGATTACGCTGGAGTAAAAAAAATTTTCCTGTTTTGGATTCGCCCAGGATCTGCTGAAACATATGGTCGCACAGAAGGTGAAACCGAACCTGCAGACTTTCAATGCCATGCTGAAGAGTCTCCGGAAGTTTAACTTGCTTGGAAAGCTGCCGGCCTTACAGACATTACGTGAAATGAAACACATTGGAATAGGTAAGGGTACATCCTGGGTCCTCACTGAAGATGAGGTGAGCTGGCCTCTGGTCTCAGCCACAAAAGCAGGAAGTGTCTTTACCTTTACCATTACTTTCCTGTTAGGGTTTCCTTGTGGCAGGTGTAATTTCATGTGCAGTTGCTCCTTTTTGTCTTGGCATTCAACTCAGATAAAAATGTCTGATAAAATCATTGTAAATATGTATATACTGGTTTTTGAACATTCCTAAACAATACAAGAAGTTGTTTGCATAACATTTGTGGCACAGCAGATGTTACTGGAGACCTAAAATGCTTTGACGTGCACATCAGGATGTGTATGAGTCACATGCAAATACGTCACCATTTTATATGAGCATCTGAATAGCCGGACATCAGGGGTCCTGGATACCAAGGGTCCCATGCATACCAAGTGATAACTGTCTGATAGGTGATGCCTTCTATTTCATATTTTTTACAGTAAATACAATGTTACTTTAACACTTGAAAGACTTTTTTGTAGTTCTCTTGACTTTAAAGGGAATTGATGACTTTGTTAGCCAGTTTTAAATTCCAAGATGTTTTTCTAGCATAATTAGGTATTCCAGCTCTAATTATGTGCTACTATATAGTAAATGCTTAGTTTAAGATTCGTTGGGCATTGACTGACTTCGTAGTGCTAAATTGCTTGTATGGATAGTAACAAAGTGTTGTCTTTAGGGTGACTTCACCTTTTTGTGGGACAAGCTAAGAATGTCTTCAAAGGAATAGAAATATCTTTTGCTTAAATGTTACCACTGTGCTTCAACTTTATTTTAGATAACTCTTATTATTTATTTCTCTTTTTTTCTCTCTACTTGGTAATTTGAGAGCCCTCACTTGCAACATACCATCATATTATTCAGCTCTTTTATCAGCGAGGTATGTATAACTTTACATTATTTTGATTTATATGAAAGTCATTTCTTTTGAGTTTTATGTAATTGTTGTAGTACTTGCTCCTTATATGAATTAAGAATAGAGGCTGGAAAGGAAAGATGGCTCAGTGGCTGAGAAAAGAACACTGTTCTTTGAGAGAACAGTTCAGTTCCCAGCATCCATCCACATGGTGCCTCGCAATCATCTCTAATTCCAGTCCTTGGGGATCGATGCTTCTTCTGACCTCCAAGGGCAGAAGCATAAGCATACATACAAACAAAACTCCATACACAGCTGGGCCTGGTGGCGCACGCCTTTAATCCAACACTTATGAGATCTCAGTGAGTTCAGTGCCAGCCTGGTCTACATAGAGAAACCCTGTCTTGAAAAACAAACAATAAGCATACACATAAAAAAATTTTAAAAATTAAAAATAGAGAATTCAGCCCTGTATGGTGCTGGATACCTACAGTCTTGGTGCCAGCACTTAGGAGACCGAAGCAGAAGAGTCAAGGTTGGAGGCCTTCAAGACAGTTATTTCCCAAAAAGATTAGTTTGAACAAAAGGTTAATCTTTAGAGTAGAACCCTTGATTGTGACTAAATGCAAACTGGAGAGGGCTGTAAAGTGTATTTTAGTTGCTTGCTTTTTCTCTTTTGTTCCCTTTGTCTTTGATCTTCTGTTTTTTGTGGGGCCCACCACCCAGCTCCCAAATGAATCACACATGGAAGCTTATTCTGGTGTTTTAGATAGGCACAGTAACACAGCTTCACGTGTGCTCAGTGTAGTAACTTAGTAATCACGTATGGGTAGTTTCAGTATATTAAAGAAAATGTGACATTAGGGTTCAGCAACTACATTCTTTTTCTTTGTGGGTTCCAAGAATCAAACTCCATCATCAGGATTGGCAGCAATTACTTTTATGTAACACCGAGCCGTCTTACCCCCCACAAATTACCCGCTCTTATTCTGCCATCCACACTCCTGTCATTCTTCATACAGTGGTTCCCCTCTACTTTCACATGTCATATAAAAACAGAAGCATCTGCATAATCTGGGTTTTATGTGAAAAAGGAATCTAAGAGTTGTCTGACTTATTTTGTTTAATAGAGTGATCTCCAATTCTGTTCTCCTGCAAATTGAATCTGTTTCTCTTAAATGGAACTCCATATATTCCAGACCTCATGTCATTTGTCTGTAATAATTTGAAAACTCAAAGCAATCAGATCTGATAGATGTTGGGCCAGCATATGATATATGAGTGTCAGAAAAAGGGAGCGAGAGACCCTAGGAAGATAGGTCACTTAGTAAAATGTTTGTTACACAATTGAAAAACTATAGAGCTTGATCCCAGAACCCAAGTGTGGTAGCACATACTTGTAGTCTCAGCAGGAATGGGCAGATTTTTCGCCTTAGGGCCATCCAGCCTGGCCATTTTACTCTTACCTTGTTCTTGTCATTCCATTTTATCATAGCACCAAGACAAACCCTGTTACAAAAAGATGGTTCAGTGGGTTAGGTCTTTGCAGTCCTTGGGAATTTAAATTGGATTCCAGAACCTGTGTGAAGCCAAACCAAGTGTCTAATCCCACCGTTCATGGTGAGACGGGTAGAAAAGACCATAAAATCCCCAGAAACCTGTGGTTCCTAACCTCTGTACCTTAATGTTGAGATTAATAAGCATATTTCCTTTTCAGAAAGTTCTTGCCTATGCCATAGTTTTAAGGTGATGTCCCTTTGGTTTTTATTTAGCATTTTGAGTATTATGTCCTTCATTAGTCTTTGACCCATTTTTAATTATTTCTGTACACAGTATGATTTTTTTCTATATGTAGAATTTTGAAGGCCATAGAGATGGCTTAAGCCAGTGGTTCTCAACCTTCCTAATGCTGTGACCCTTTAAAACAGTTCCTCATACTATGACCTTGAACCATAAAATTATTTTCATTGCTACTTCATAACTATGATTCTGCTACTGTAATGATTATAAATATCTAATATACAGGATCTCTGATATGTGACCCCTGTTGGAAGGGTAATCTGACAACCCACAGGTTGAGAACTACTGGCTTAATTGGTTAAGAGAACTTGTTGACCTTTCAGAGGACCCATGTTCCACTCCTAGCACCCACAGACTCACTTCCACCTGTAACTCCAACTTCTGGGCAGCTGGCATTTTCCTCTGGACTCCTAGAACACCAATACACATATGGTGCTCATTCACATATATCAGTGGTTCTGGGGTCACATATCAGATATCCTGCACAGTTATGAAAAAACAACTAAAATAATTTTATGGTTGGGGGATCACCACAAAATGAGTGACTCTATTAAAAGGTCTCAGAATTAGGAAGGTTGAAAAACACTGATATATATTAATAAAATAAAAACCTTTTATCAAAAGGCTGTGTTTCTACAGTGTGTTTCTTGGTCTTTGCTATATGAATTCATTGCTGAGTCCTCTCTCTTCAGTTCTGCTGGCTACATGTGTTTTTATGATAGTGATAGGAATGTAAGTTTTAGTGCTCACAAAGAAGCACTAGGGAAAACAGTGATGTTAAACACACCGGGTTGTCTCAAGTGGAGAGATAACGTGTTTTCCCTCCAAAAGACGGGAATAGATAGGGTTAATAGCCTGGTAATCTGCATAGCCTCACCACACTTATTCCCCCAGACCCTTCTCGTGTGTTTACCTTGAGCCTGCTTTCTTTGTTAATCTAGAGAGCCTATCATTATGAAAGAGTCCCAATATCCAATAGTTTTGATGTAGCCATGCTTTACTTTACACATCGGATTGAGTTCATCATCACCAGGAAACTTTTTCCACTTTGGGCTGGGCTTAAATATGCCTAAAATAAATACCTAGTTTATTAAAATAAACTCTAAAGAGTTTGAACTAGCACCAAGTATTGAGTTATGTTGAACTGGGCTGACTTCTTGCTTCTTGTGAATTGACATTCTTCTGACCATGGTGTTTGCAAAGGCACCCCCTTCCCATCTCAGTAGGTGTAGTTTTTGCCCTATTTGGTTACCTTTTCCAAAACCCAGTTATTTTGCTGTGTAGTGTAGAATGTCTTGAACTTGCTATGTAGCTCAGGTGAACCTGACTCATGGTCTTTCTACTTCTCTGTTGGGATTAAAAGTATGTGTGGCCATGACTGGCTCATATGACTTCTGCCAATTGCCTCATCCACTATCCATTCTTCAATTGGATATTTTTTCTTGGCTTCCTTATCTGGTTTTACTTTAAAAGAACACAGATACCACTAAATAATTTGGTTAAGTGTGTTGGTTTGAGATTGGGAGCTGTTGGTATTTGTCCCACTTGTTGGAGGGAGTGGGGCTACTTGGTCGTTCCTGGCTCCTCAGCCCCGAAATAATCACACAGAAAGTGTATTAATTAAATCACTGCTTGGCCCATTAGCTCTAGCTTCTTAATGGCTAACTCTTACATATAAATTTAACCTATTTCTATTAATCTGTACATCATCACGAGGTCATGGCCTACCCGCAGAGTTTCAGCACGTCTGTCTCCAGCAGCGGCTCCATGGCTTCTCTCTGACTCAGCCTTCCTCTTCCCATGCTCTAGGCCAAGCCAGTTAGTTCTTTATTCATTAACCAATAAAAGCAACACATAGAAAGACCTCGCACATCACCCACTCGAGAAATTTGAGCTTTTTAGGAAAGAAATGAATAAAAGTGAAGAAATCTAAGTAGAACATGACAACAGAGCATAGTGATTCTTAGAGATTTTACCAGTGCTTAGACTCTGGGCTATATTGGTCTCTTTAAGCAGGTTTTGGCCCTGCCCAGCTCTGCCAGGTCTTAGGCTAAAGATGGAGGCAGCAAATAGGCTTTTATAACTGGGGGCTATAAAGTTGGTTCTGCTTGTGAAAGTGAACTCCTGATTTAAAAAAAAAAATTGCCTTTTCTGCAGCTAACGCTATAAAAACACCATCCCTCATCATCTATGATATTATGCAGGAATTAGAGGGAAGGACATTTTCCCCACAGGACCTGGATGATGGTATGTACAGAAATTACTTGTGCTATTCCTCTAGCTCATGATGGGTGGTTTGCCTGAGTGCCATTAGAGGCCTTGTATTTGGATTGAATATTCTGTAAAAGCCAAGATGTCTGTGGCATAGTAATGTAATTAATATGAAAACAAGGTTACATCCATAGCAACCAAACTTGTGAACTTTACTTTTCAGATAAATTTTTTCAGTCGGCCATGAATGTAGTAAGTGCCATTTCCTATTTTTCCCAGGTTCCTCTCTATTTCTTCATTTTACCTGTAACTGAGAGCTTTGCGTGTCCTTTCAGTTTTAATTCTCTGGTCATGTCTTTGCTTCTACTTTCCTTCTATCTGTACAGTCTATACTTTCAAAACTTTAAAAATCATACCCCAGCTCTATTCTTTATTGTGTTGTCCTTTATGCCTGCTTTGATAGCTTTCAGAATGGTTTTTGCCCATTAGCTTTGTAGATTGATGGAAATAGATTATTATGTTGGTTTTTATTTTATCATCATCATAGGAGAAATTTCATGTTTTCTGGATGAGTAGACAACATCCTGTTTAAGGGCTCATGGGCACTCAGATGTAGCCCTATGGTAGTGTATGTCACAGGAGGGGAGAACTAGTATTTCAAGGCTGGTTCTTCAAGCTGTTTCATGGTGATTTTAATGGTGCACTGGAATTGCTAACTCAGTAACTTTGTTTTAAATTTCATAAAATTAGGGCTTATTTTTTCCTCAATTTTTTGTGACTTTTTTGCTGTCAGGTAATGAATTGAATATTGTTAGTTAAATATTTATGCAAAGAAATATATACTTTTTTTTTTAAGACAAGGTTTCTCTGTGTAGCCCTGGCTGTCCTGGAACTCTGTAGACCAGGCTGACCTCAAACTCACAGAGGTCCACCAGCCTCTGCCTCTTAGGTTGGGTTTAAAGGCTTGCGCCACCACCACCCAGTCCAGAAACGCATACTTTTTCATTATGTATTGAGTCTCTGTTTGGCTTACAAGAATGTCTGGGTAATATTAGTTGCAAATTTTCAGTGTTCATCTCTCAGAGATTTAGAACTTGCTTACCAAGTACATCGTCTTTTAAATACGGGGGACAACCGGAAATTGATTGGAAGTGATCTTCAACTCAATTTCTATTAGTAAGTATGTTACTTTATATTTTTTAAAGAGAGATTGTCAGAGATTGTCTGTGAGTGTATGCACACACCTGGTAAGCCTCCTATCTCTGCTCTACCTTGGAGTTGGTAACATGCATTTGCTAGGAATGCTTGGTTTGTTGCATGGTTTCTGGGATCCAAACTCTAGACCAAGGGCTCTTAACTCTTGAGCCATCTCTCCTTTGATTTTAATCACTAAATTCTGCAATGGGAGAATGTTAATGACTGTTTATCTCAGCTCTAGTTTTAGGTTGTCTGCCCATTATGTCATAGTTATTGAGCACTTGGAGATTAAAGCGGTGGGGCTGAGGAGATGGCTCCATGGGTAAGGTTCTTGTTAGGTAAGAATGAGGTCCTGAGTTCAGGTCCCAGCATGAAGGAAGGAGTAGAAATACACAGATCCAGTAGCTAGATGACCTCGGTGGTCACAGCAGCGGAGCTCTAGTCCAGAGATGGACAACAGTTGAGGACACCTGAAACACAGCCTACTAGCTGTCCTCCATTCACAGGGACAGGCACGCGCATCTGCATACATACATACATACAAACAAAGAAATAAAAAGCAGTGATAAAATGACCTGTCTAGTGTATATTTAGAGATTTTATCTTCTTTGTTAACATTTTATAACTTTATGTGTCGTGGTTGTGTTCTTGATCCCCCTCTGAGTACTTTCAATACAAGTACTATTTACTTCAAATAATAGTTCTAGGATCTGAGCAGACAACCCAAATGGTCCAACTGAGGAATAAAAGATCTCAATTGGGAAATTAATTATAGCTAGCACTTCCTTGGTGAAACATTGACCCTTGTACCTGGAAATTGGAAATAGTTTTTATTATTGTGTGTATGTGCCACAGCATGGGCGTCCGGGGTGGGGGTTCAAAGGACAACTTTGTGGAGCAATTTCTCTCCTACCTTTACATGTGTTCCAGGAATAGAACTCAGGTTGCCAGGTTTATGTGGCAAACAAAATACCTTTACCCCCTTGACCATCTCAGTAACCTGAAATTAGAAACATTAAAAGTCTATGTTCAGTACATGAATAACTATACTGAGATTTGACTCATTTTTTACCTCATTGTTAAGCACACAGGCTTTAATCTAAACATGCCTTTTCTCTCCACAGTTCGAAATTTTTCAGTTTGATTTGTTCAATGGAACAGATTGATGTCACCTTGAAGTGGTATAAGGACCTAATACCTTCAGTAAGAGGATTACTTGTCTTTTGTGTTTATAGAGGGCTGAGTATCTTTCCTGATGGATACTTTAAAGTCATGTTTGTACTTCTCTCTCAGGTCTTCTTTCCCCACTCCCAAACTTTGATAGGGCTTCTCCAAGCATTGGATGTGGCCAATAGGCTAGAAATGGTTCCTCAGATTTGGAAAGGTTAGTGTCAATTTTTGCAATATCATCTTAACTTCTGTTTGTGTTTTTAGGACTGAAAACTTTCATTCTTAACTAAGTTAACACATTTGTGGACTATTGCATCCCAGAGTGCCAACTTTCTCACCCACCAGAAGTTAAAAGTCAGTAGTGGATAAAGGTTCACCAGATGTTTTGCGTTTTGATGATCAGTGTTATTTATTTATTTACTTATTTATTTTTGCTTTAAGATAGTAAAGAGTATGGCCATACTTTCCGAGATGCCTTAAGACAAGAAATCTTGATGCTCATGGCCAGGGATAAACACCCACCAGAGGTAAGACTGTCTTGAGGCTCAAGTTCCATCATTAGATGTATACTGACCTGTGTATTTGCTAAAATTATGTTCTTTTAATGGTTGTTTCCCTGAATTTACCCATCTTTTGTTGGGTTCAGATGTACAAACCTAGATTTAGGTTAAATATGCATTACCAATAGCAAAATACCAATCTTAGTGTTAGCCTCATTCCTCAAGTCTAAAGCAGGCAGCAGGAATATAGTTATGACAGTGAATGCCAGATTATCTTATAATAAGTATTCCAGGGGCTAGAGAGCTGACTCAGTGGAAAAGCACTAGAGGACCAGGGCTCAGTTCCCAGTACCCACATCAGGCAACTCACAAATAACTGCACTCAAGTGCATTGCCTCCTCCCCTCCCCCCCACATACACATAATTAAAAAAGAAGGGTTGGAGAGGTAGCTCAGTGATGAAGGGCAATGTGCTCTTCTTTCAGAGTGCCCTGGTTCGACTCCCAGAACCCAGGTGGAGGCTCACAACTGTCTGGGACACATGCAGTCAAAACAGCCATACACATAAAATAAAAATGACTTTTTTATTATTAGAGTGAGTTGTTTGTGTTTTTCTCTGTAATTGCTACCTGAAAAGATGTGAGGTGGCTCAGTGGATAAAAGAGCTTTCTACCAAGTCTGATGATCAAAGTTCTTTCCCTGGGACCTACATGGAAGAAGGAAAGAACCAACCCTCACAAGTTGTCCTCTGACCTCTTCACATGGGCTCTGGCACCCTTTTGTGTACATCTATACACAGCCAATCAAAGGAAATTCATGATATATTTCAAACATGTAGTTAACTGTATTATTGCAAAGCAGGTCCAGGCTTCCTTTTACTGTATTTCTTGTTAGTCGTTCATGTGATAGTTTCTTGGTTTTAAAATTCTTGTCAGCCCAGCTAGGCACTGACTCTTAGAGCCTCTAGCTTCAGGTGGCATTTGCTGACTGTGCTGCTGATATCAAATCCACATATGAAAGCCAAGATGCCCGGCAGACTGCTCTTGATTGGCCAGCCAACTCTCTACAGTGTATAGCTGTCCTTTTTTTAAGAGGTGGCAGAACCCAGGAAGCATGGTGAGTGTAAATGCCAACATTTATTCTTAAAGCCAAAACATGGACTAAGGTTGATAGATGAGTGTTCTCTAATTCAGCTTAGTGACAGGAACAAACCTGAATGTACAGTGGGGTTTGGGTGGACACTTGCGAATACCAGTTAAAAAGCAAACTTTTGGTAAGGCCAGTGTGTATGGTTTATTTGAGAAGAGGGCATTGTTCAGGCAAGCTGAGAATTCATGTTTCATTTTATATCTTCTGGTTTTCTGTGTGTATTTCATGAATGTATTGGATATCTATTGCTAGTCTATTGTTTAAAACATCTTTTTCTGAAGAATCTTGTCTTTGGGTTGTAGCTCAGTTAAATGTGACCTGTTTGGCATTGTGTTGTCAGTAAAGACAAACAAAGCATTTGCATGGTCAGGCAGATTGACACACTATGAAGCAGGCTGTGATGATTGGCGCAGGGGTACGGACCTCAGCTGAGTCATGGGAGCTGAATGTATGTGTTTTGCCTTTGTCTTGCATGTGGCAGGCTGATGGCGTTCACATATATGAGACTGTTGCCTTAATCTGAGCCTGTTCTTCATACTGGGTTTTAGGGCAGACTGACTCTGGCTTTAAGAGGGAAGTAGGCTAAGCGCGCCCCACTGCCTCTTCTCAGCTGCACATTGTTGGATGGATCCCTCCTGCCCTGGAGGACAGCACTAAAAGCAGTCCTCATCGCTGGCTACATCTCAGCTCTGCCTGTTGAGGTTGTGCAGCCAGAACTAGTTGAGCACAGGAATTCAGGGAGTCTAGGTAACTTCTCTTTAGGTCACTTAGTTTCTGAGCCTGCGAAGAGACAGAGCAGCTTTGTGTGGTTGCCACTTGTTTTCCTGTCAGCAGTCATCTTTTTCTTCTTTGACAGGAAAATGTTGGCACTTTTCAAAAAGCATAATAAGATTCCCAGGTAAGTTGACACCAAGAGGCCTCACCTGGTAGAGGCTTGAATTAGTCGCATGGGCTTTGAAATTTCTTCATGCACCTAAGCCACTGCATTTGAGGGAGGGCTCTTTGGCTAGACAGGCAAGCATTTCGTCACCTACCATTCAGGGCATCCTGAGGGAGCCTTTTCTCCACTCAGTGATCATATCTCGGGGATATACAGAAGGTTATTTTGTAACTTCCCTCCAAAGTTAATGAGGATTTGACTAATAAACATATTCTCAACTTTTCCTGTAAATATTTGACTAAAAGTTAAGGGACTAAGTTGGGGGCACTAGAGAAGTGATTCAGTGGTTAAGAGCACTTTGCTTGCTTTTACTTATGTCTTGATAGGGGAAAAGTGAGTTGGGAACGTTCAGTTTGCTTTCTTTTACAGAAGTGAATTGTTGGAGGAGTTTATGGACACTGCAAAAGCATCTGAGAGCCCTGCTTTGGCCATTGAGGTGGTGAAGCTGGCAAGTGCCTTCAGCTTGCCTGTTTGTGAGAGCCTTGCCCAAAGAGTAATGACAGATTTCACAGTCGACGAAAAACAAAAGTAAGTCTGTGTATCTCCTCTTAGGGTGCTTTTCACTTTCTCAGGTACGATATTGTTCCCTTACAAAGCCAGGGGTGGTGGTGTAATAGTTGTTTCTTCTGTCATATGAACTGTTGGAAGCTTTCCTTGGTTCTTAAAACTGCTGGGACTGTATGTGTCAGGGATACCAAATACCATTTCTTTTCCTTACAGGGAAGCCCTGGGTAACCTCACTGCGTCAAACAACAGTAGCAATGGAGACAGCAGCAGTGACAGTGACAGTGACATCAGTGAAGACAAAAGAAAGTGAGGTGGCTCACCATAGCTGCTGGAACGTTGGAAGTAGTAGCTAAGCAGACACAGGGCTGAAGATGTAAACTCAGTGGTGCAGCACTAGCTAGACACAAGGCCTAGGATTCTTCTCCAGCACCTGAGATGCAGATCTGGGCAGCTTTTGCCTAAACAGTGACCAGCACTATGAGGTCTGTGCAATGCAGTGTCTGCAGACTTCACTCCCATTAATCATCATGTTAGAGCTCACTGGCCTTTGCTGCCCACCTGCTCTGTGGTGTGCTGGCCCTTTGGCCTAGAAATACCAGTTTAAACTGGTTCTCATGCCGGTACATAATTGCTGTTGTATTGATCGTATCCCAGTTTGGGGAGTACTTAATGTGAATAACTGTCTTAGAACCAATTATATCAGAAGCAAGTAACTGGTTTTAGGTTACACAACTGGCAAAATGATTAAATAAACAGTGATTTGGTGTGTGCTTTTATTTAAAAACTGAATATAGTCTTTTTTTTTTTTTTATGTGTGTACATGGTCAGGGGTCAGTGGTGTCTTCTCCAGTTGTTTCTCTAGGTTTATTTCTTGAGGCAGGACCTCTCCCTGAGCCTGGAGATTGCTGGTCATTAGACCAGTTGGCCAGCCCTGGAGATCCGCCTGGCTTTTCTACATAAACACTTGGGGATCTGAACTGAGGTCCTCGTACGCACATGCCAAGCTCTTTACAAAGGGAGTTTCCTCTCCAGCCCCAGCCTTGTCTTCTATACCCAAGAATGTTTTGAGTTGTATGAGTGGTACAACTCTTGCTTAAGCACATTCTTTTTCTCCTCCCTCCCCCAACAAGACATTTTGGGCCATATGGGCACTTTATAAGGGGGCTAGTGATAACAAAAGGATGTGAAATGTCATGACACTGTATTGCTACTGATCACCTTGATCAACTTTATATTAATCGTGTTTCTTTTAAATGATAGTAATGGATAGTCTTTCATCTCCAGTATTTTTGTTGTTGCTTTTTTGTTTTTGAGACAGGGTTCCTCTGTGTAGCTTTGGAGTCTGTCCAAAGACCAAGCTGGCCTTGAATTTAGAGATTTGCCTGCCTCTGCCTCCCGAGTACTGGAATTAAAGGTGTGTGTCACCACTGTCTGCCCAGCTTCATCTCCATTACTAATAAAAGGTTACGTTTTCTGTGCCAAAGTTGAGCACCACTCCAGTTTTTACTTTCTGACCCAGCCATGCCTTGAATTTCATCTGTCTCAGTCCTATGCTTGCTTTTTATTTCACTGGTTCCCATTCCTTGGTAATGAGATTGCACAAATTCTTACAGAACTCTACTGCTGGCCATTTCTGAGTGTTTGACTCCCTGAGTGATCTGTTTGCCATTCCTACATACCCACATTACTCTAGTACCACATTCCTAAATGACTCTTTTTTTTTTTTTTTTTTTGGGATTTTTCGAGACAGGGTTTCTCCGTAGCTTTTTGGTTCCTGTCCTGGAACTAGCTCTTGTAGACCAGGCTGGCCTCGAACTCAGAGATCCGCCTGCCTCCGCCTCCTGGGATTAAAGGCGTGCGCCACCACCGCCCGGCTAATGACTCTTAATTAAATGGATTTTTGATGCTATGGAACCCATTTTCCCACTATGTATACCATGCTGACTTTGATGGGCAAGCCATCTTGAGTGCCAAAATTGTAGCTGTGTGACACCATGCCTGGCTTTCATGTTTATATGGGAAAGACTTGCCTGTAATTCAGTTTCGCAATTTTAAAACAGATGGTATGGGATAGAAATTTGGAGTTGCAATTCACATCCAATTAGCACCAGAATCAAGGGGTAGGTTTTTCTTTTTTCCTTATGCACCCTGGGTTGGTCTTGAACTCATAGGCCACATGCTTAGCCTTCCTGAATCCTGGGATTAGAGGCACAAACTACCAGCTGGCTTGAGAAGCGTTGGAACATCAAGAGTGGGTGCTGCTTAAAACAGGTGCCAGCCCTGACACATAAGCCACCATAAGAAGAGCAGCAGACTTTCTGAGACTCTAGAAATGGAGCACTAGAAATGGAGCTAGTTGGTATGATATGTGTGTACATGAGACATGTTGAGTTCCCCAGTGGTGCTAAGCCTGTGAGGACAGGATGTATCTGAGTGACTTGTAACAGGAACTGGAGAAACTAGGGCACCAATAAAACAAATGGGAGAAAGGATTCTCATGGAGCAGCGAGGTAGGACCTTAGGATAAAGATTGATTTACCTGTATGCAAACGTGCAGGTGCCCAGAGGACACTTGATCCCCTGGAGCTGGTGCCACAGGTGGAACCTATTGGGAATTTGTCCTCTCTAGTCCCTTAATATGGACTTTAATGGTTAAGTGCCTCCTCATCGACCAAGACCCACTGGTCTTAAAACCTTTGGGAAAACCAACTTTTCTGATGACCATAGCTGCTGTAAGAGACATAGCATGGGGAGGAAACACTTTGTATGTGCTCTTCTATAACAGTTATCTTCCTTCCTAGAGGTCACGGGGGGGGGGGGGGGGCTCAAGACAGGGTTTCTCTCTAGCTTTAGAGCCTGTCCTGGAACTAGCTCTATAGACCAGGCTGGTCTCGAACCTTCTGGGATTAAAGGTGTGCGCCACCACCGCCCAGCAAGGTCACTTATTCTTAAGGGCAGCCTCAACCTTGTGTACCATTAGGATGTACTCTCACAGCAATGGCCCCTTTACTAGATAGTGCTTTATAACCATCCAAAACTCATAAAACTATCAATCAAGTTTAGAGAAACCATATCACCTCCCTGCCTCTTACAGCCTGAGAGTGAAAGAAGCCTAGACCACTGAACCCGATAAATGTAAGCTTCCTACCAATCAAGCCTTTTTATTTGCTCTTTGTGTTAATGGAGATGGCCTGTTCTTCTGTACTGAGTTCAAGCAAGTTACTTTGAAACTGGTGGGATTACTCATTTGGGATTTGCAGACTGCTTTTATCCAGAACCTGTTGAAAGAACAGAGGATGAACGTTAACCCGATGTTCTGTGTTTAAAGACTGCTTAAGATTCTACTGCATGAACATAGCTCATTAGTTTTCAGCCACTGGCCTTTTGATTTTTTTAAAAAAAAAAAAAAAAGATCAGGTCTGGCCTTGCGGATTTCTGATTTTCCTGCTGCCACCTCCATCTTGCTGGGATCCCAGGTATCCAGCACACTCAGTTTGAACACTCTTACAGCAATCAGGATGAGGTATGGTGACGGAAACACTGGACCCAGATGCCTTGGCTTTGTGTCAAGTCCCAAGTGGCCGTGGTATTTGTTCATATGCAGTTTAAATGGGATGCTGCATGAAGCAGGCATGCCCCACCTGACTGCTGGGCACCCCAGACTTTGTTGCACAAGCCCACGAGAATGCAAAGCTCTCCATTTCACTTTAGCAGTTAGCCCGGGCTAGGCACAAGTAAGGACAGGCTAAGCAGGAATTCCCTTCCTTTTTAAATATAATAGAGGTAGGTAGCAGTTGGTCATAGCCACTGTCCTAAAATTTGAAAGCCAGGGGCTGGGAAGATAGCTCAGTCTGTGAAGTGCTTGCTACAGGCAGGCCTCAAGAACCTGGAGCTCATCCCCAGAGCCTACAAGCACCAAAAAGTCATGAATGTGCATGCTTCAAACACTGGCCATCCCGCTTAGCTTACTAATGAGTTTCAAGCCAGTAGAGGCCATGTCTGAAAAACCAAGTGGAGGACACCTGCACACAAAAAAAACATCTGAAGCCTTCATTACTTTGATACAGAACTAAAAGGAAGCATTGTGTTGCTTCTGGTGAGCTCAAAGAATCACATCATTTGACACACACCTGAGTCTGTGTGGCCCTGAATGGCCTGACTTGAATGTAGGCATGAACCATAATGACCTAGTCACGTGTGAAGAAAGCCTTTCAGGGTTTGAAGAGAAACTAGATTTCCTTACGATCTAGTATATTCTTGTGTTAAGAACAGAAATGCTCGGTTTACATGACACATTTTACAAACTAACGTACTTTTGAGATGTAATCCTATTAGAGATGGGAGTAGGGAAGTGAACAGTCCAGGTAGTCGCCAACAGTGCATCTACCTTCAGAAACAGGGCACTCCACATCCAGGTGCTCCAATCAGACCCAGTGTTACCAAGCCAACGGGCAAACAAGGTCAGTGCTATGCAAAGACCTCATTACCCATTTTGAGAGGCTATAGGTGTGCAACTATAGAAAGGCAATACAGAAAACTGCTCTGATGTTTTGTTGGTATGTTTTCTAATACCCCAACAAAAAGTTAAAAACTGGCAGGATTTTTGTAGAGATGGTAGTATTCAGGGTATGAAGAATTAAGTCAAAAGTAAATATTTAATGTTTTTTCACTATGGCAACTGTGCCAAACTCAGACTTCATTGGCAGTCTGGCTAAATTCTGATTCCAGGTTCATAACCTCCATCTACTCCAGGTACTGGGAAGCAATACCACAGCAGGAATAGTGAGCTCAAGAACTCTGATAGAGTACAGATGTGTGTGTGCTGGATCCCAGTAATGCAGCTTTTCCTCTGGGGAAATTCTTGTGCCTTTCAATCACTGAGTGCGAGGTCCCCAACTATACACACACTGGCACGTGGCTTCTACATCACTCCTGACTTTGACCATCAGGAGATCCATTCACCCAAACATTCAAAGCCAAAGCAGCAGCCCTTGGATTTCAGGTTACCCAGCTCCGAGCTCTGAAACTGTGACCACAAGTCCCTACCACTGGCTGCTTCTCGTGGAAGCTTTCTGCTCACACAACGAACTGGAAATGGCAATTTGAAAAGGGATAGAGTACTCAGTTTTCATTGTGTTGCTTTATTCAGTTTGCTCCAAGGGCAGAATCAATAGTAGGGATCACAAACATTATTTTGAGTGGCTCACAAGCCTGATCAGTAAAACCTGAAAAACAGGAAGTGTTACACAAGTTGCAAATAAAGCCTCCTGGAGTTCATTGGCATGATAGCAGTGTAAGGACGGTAAATGCAACAGGTGTTAACATCTTGCACAGGACTTGGAACCTGCTCACTTGTAGACGATTCTGGGACCCTGCTGCAAACCCTGCAGATAACAATGCTGACTTCCTCTGACATGAATATGACATTACACAGCTCCTAGGCCTTACTCTTGCTGCACGTGAGTGGTTCCTATCCCTACGGCGCTGGCGTATGCAGTCAGGATCTCCACTATCTGCTTCGTTTCTAGGGTCATTCGCGCCTCCTTCAGCCAGTCCTGGGCCACTCTTCTCGACTCCCCTTTTAGCTGATTGACAAACTTTGCTGCCAGCTCCAGGTCACCATGCTCAATACAATAAGAAGCATAAGAGAGCAATTTAAATGTGTTTATATCCTCGGGGTCGAGCTCTGCCGGTGGCTTCAGCTGCTTAGGCGGGAACAGGAGCAGGGACTGCAAGTAGGAAAGGAAGTATTGGTACAGGCTATTTCTGGTTTCGTCAATCA